AGTCATGATTTGTGCAAACGTTTGAGATTTTTGGTAAACTTTAGTATACTTTTAGAAAATGTCTTTAGTAACACTTGAGTAATTATTAGTTAGTTCCAATGATCTTCACTTTAAAATACGAATCCAAATAATTAGTAATTCCCACAGAAGTATCTAGTAACACTTTCATCTGTGAGCTATTAATTACTAATTCGTTAATAAGAGTTTCTTTTAGTTAATAGTAGTTACTAGATTGTTAATAAACTTTTTTTTTTAGTAGTTCTCTGGGAAGTATTAAAAAAATAGTAGTTATCGATTACTTAATAGTAAACTACCACTTTCGTCTGTGCGCTATTACTTACTAGTTCGTTAATCAGAGTTTCTTGTTAGTTAATAGTTACTAGATTGTTAATATTGTGTTACTCATTAGTTCTTGTGTAGTTAATCATTAACTAAGGAACCGTATTCTAAAGTGTTACCAAAAGTTTTTTTAAAGGACTCTCAAATATCTTAGATGTTTATTATTTTTGCGATATATGATATGTTCACTAAGCCTAAAATGCAACAAAAAGTATTTTCTTTCCACTAAGTGTAAACCGTTGTTAGATACTATTCAAATTAAAATATACTATTAAAAAAAATAACATTTAAGATATTTGGCGTTCTAGCAACAAAAAGCCTGCCAAATATGATCTGCCAGATACAATGCCGATATTTTTGCAAATATCGCCCAAATTGACTAATTGATTGTGTGCGTGTCTATATAAGTATATAAAAAATCATTTCATAGGAAGCTTATATAATTAAGAGCCAAACTGATTATATGAAGTCTGAATATATAGTTATAATTCTGAATATCAATGTAAATCCTGAATATATAGATATAGGTCAGAATATATATTTAAAAATCCTGAATGTATTTAGGGCCTGAATTTTAATTTTTGTGGATATTGCACAAAACTTTACTCATTCCCACAAGGTCCATGTTTATAATGTGCCTTTAGAAAAGAAAACGCACAGAACACCAAAGTATAGAGTAAAGAGGAGACAAGACAAAGAAAGGCTGAAAATGAAGGCTATGTATTAACAGAAAGACGATGGACTAATTATTAACTAGACACTGCAGGTGTGACATGATTAACCATGGTAACCAATGAACAAGGACAAAGGAATCTGAACAGGAAACAGTGCCAATCACATAGAAACACAACTCAAGCTAAACTCAAACACAGAACAGACTTGACACATCAAGTCATCAATAAAAACAGAACTGAAATTAAATAGGTTTAGTTATTTTGTTTTAGTTAACGTTTGTTTAGTTTTACAAACTACATCTTGAATAAAACTTTTTCTAGTATATTATATAAAATAATAATATAAAATCATCTAATAATTTATTTTTATTGAAGACCTTATAAGAAGTGAGAATATTAGTCAGTTTCGGCAGCAGTAACTAAGAAGCAATATGACTCCCATTAGAATGACAAGTCAGGGTGAGAAATGTGTGGACCAGATGGGCTCTGATGGCTCCTGAATCTAAGATTAGAGTCGAGCAGTGCTTTCTGTCTCTGTTTACCGCCCGGTAGAGTGGCTTTGCAGTAGGTATTTTTAATGGTCCCCAATCGATTCCCATCCCAAGAGCCTTTGCTGGCATCGACAATGTCATATGCTCCGTCAAATCTGCCAGAGCAGCAGTCTTCACTTCAGCCAGCAGCGAATGAATTCCCCCGCATGAAAAACACCTTAGTCGATCCTCACTCCTAAATCAGCCATCTCGTATAAAAACTGACAGCTTCTCTGCATTCGGAAGGATCTGGCCTTTATATCAACTCATAGCCAATGTGTGAACAAGAATATCTTCATTTCATAATCATTATGGAGCAAAAGAGTTGCTGGAGATTTGTACATATTTTTAGTGATAGGTATGTTGATACCCAAGTCATTTTCAGGAAATGGTGTCATTATCCACATGAGTACCCATATAGCAACATTGTGCCAGATGTGGGCTGGATCTGGGAAGACACATTGAAAGATGATCTGGTCCACATTCAGTGTGGAATGACGGCCCTTGGGTGGCTCACTTCTGTTTGCCAGATATGGGCCACAAGCAGGCCATAGCAATGCCACAGTCATGTCAGCCAAGAACAAAGAAATAAACCAGAACTGGACCGTATCTGAGCCACAAAATCGGTGTATTTTAAATATGGACTCATTTCAGCCTTAATAAGCCTATTAATATGCAGATTCGCTGATGGAAAGAAGAGAACAGAAAAAAAGACGAGCAGAAACACAAGAATTACAACTGACTTCAGAAACAGCCTTAGATCAAATCAACTAAAGAGAAAAGAAGACATTAAATCTCTGAAGATCTCAGCAGAGGAGGATTAAACAACTCCACAAACAGCATTACCAGCTTCACTTATTACGGTATAACCTTTAGAAAAATAACCTTGTAGATGGGTGGATGTGTGTTTGATAGATGGAGGGATGGATGTTTGTATAGATAGATGGATGGATGGAGGGTTGGATGTTTGGATGGATGGATGGATGTGTGTATAGATAGATGGATGGATGGATGGATGGATGGATGTTTGTATGATAGATGGATGGATGGAGGGTTGGATGTTTGGATGGATGGATGGATGGATGTGTGTATAGATAGATGGATGGATGTTTGTATAGATACAAGGTAGGGGTTTCATCAACTAGTCGACTAGTCGACTAGTCGACTGTCACAACCACTAGTTGGCGCTGTTGGCCTTAGTCGACTAGTCGGAAACAAAATGATGACATATATATAGATTTATTTTTTTTGTTAACTATCCCTTTAAATACAAGCGGCAGTACTATATACTATAAGCACTATAAGGCGCACCTTCAATGACCTATTTTAGAACATTTTTCAAACGTTTGACTGGGTTTGCGTTATGCATCCACTAGATGTGCTAAAGGGAATGCAGCGAGTGCGCGGCGTCGGAGGTGAGGCGTTTATTTAGTAAGCGTGAGCGCGCTGGGGCGGGCACGTAACTTACATTCGCAGCCTGCTGACAGCAGTGTCTGTTCGTGTGTGTGTTAGAGAGAGCGCTCGTGAGCGGGAGATATTTTATACGAGGTTGAACTGGCCGTGTGACAAAGCGGATGGATTATAAAGCTTGAGAAAAGGCCAGATTGAGAAAATTAAAGGCTTTTAAGTGCGCTTTATAGTTCGGAAAATACGAGTACTACTCTCGCTTTTAGACCAGCACGCGACGTGTTTAATATAGCCGCATATTAGCCTACAGCAGATTTTCTCTCAAATGTTTGCTTTCACTTTCTATATGGGGAGGCTGCACTTTAGACATAGCCAATTCTGTTTATGTAAACATTGTGTGTATTTAACAGTATTAGCATAATAAGACTTGAAAGATAACTTAGTCCAGTATTCAGGCGCTGTTCGACAGGCTTCTAATGCCTGTGAGCGTCGGGGATATGCCGCGCGCTCAGGAAAGCGCACGTTAGAACAGCGCGTGAATTAAATGTTTAACCGGCAAGGCTTATGCAAACAATGAACTTTTGTGAATTGCAGTGTCCCGTACCTATTCCTTAATGTGTGATGTTTAGGCTACGTCGCGTTGTACAGTTGAGAGGCGCCAGAACTGATAGAATGCACTGTAACACGATACTACTACCATATTTCTTCAAAAGCAGATCGTGGAGACATTTACTATTCGTGTTGTCGCACACCCCTAGAATTTAACGACTAGTCGACTAGTCGTCGACTGTTATGCAAAACTAGTCGACTAGCAAAAATCAGTAGTTGTGAAACCCCTAATACAAGGATGGATGGAGGGTTGGATGTTTGTATGGATAGATGGATGGATGGATGGATGGATGGATGATAGATAGATGTTTGTATGGATGGATAGATATGTATGTTTGTATAGATGGATGGATGAATGGATGTTTGTATGGATGGATGAATGTTTGTATGGATGGATGTATGGATGGATGAATGTTTGTATGGATGGATGGATGTTTGTATGGATGGATGAATGTTTGTATAGATGGATGGATGAATGGATGTTTGTATGGATGAATGAATGTTTGTATGGATGGATGGATGGATAGATAGATGTTTGTATAGATGGATGGATGGATAGATGTTTGTACGGATGGATGAATGTTTGTATAGATGGATGGATGAATGGATGGATGGATAGATGTTTGTATAGATAGATGGATGGATGGATAGATGTTTGTATAGATAGATGGATGGATGGATGGATAGATGTTTGTATAGATAGAAGGATGGATGGATGGCTGGATGGATGTATGGATGGATAAATGTTTGTATGGATGGATGGATGGGTGGATGGATTGATAGATGTTTGTATGGATGGATAGATAGATGTTTGTATAGATAGATGGATGTATGGATAGATAGATGTTTGTATAATAGGTGGATGGATGGGTGGATGGATTGATAGATGTTTGTATGAATGGATAGATAGATGTTTGTATGGATTGATGGATGGATGTTTGTATAGATGGATGAATGTGTGTATAGATGGATGGATGGATAGATAGATGTTTGTATGGATGTTTGTATAGATAGATTGATGTTTATTTATTTATTTAAATTTTTAAAACAGGAAAAGATTTAGGACAATCGGGCCTGGCTCAGTATAAAACTGATTTTCAGCAGGTTCCTGCTCTGCAGAACATAAAAACCACATACACAACTAAGCTCACACACTAGACAGCTAGAGACAACAACAGACACACAAACCAAGATATTGGGCAACAAGAGGGGCTGTAAAGCCGTCTCAATGGTCACAGATATACCTGTCCATTAAATGGCGAGCAAATGTTATTTTAAATAGTCTTCTTGATGTGATATGTTTGATGTGTTTTTTTAGATAGATGGATGTATGTATGAATGGATGTTTGTATGGATGGATGGATGAATGAATGGATGGATGGATAGACAGAGAGACAGATTGATTTGTTTATTTTTAAGTGCTCAACAAAAGGTAACATACCTTGTACAAACAGGTCCGCTGTTGATCTGCCGAGTCTGGAGGGGGGCAGAAGTTCACATGTGAGCTCCTGTACAGTGGGGCTGAAAGAGGCGTTCATCAAGACTAACTCCCACACTGAGACAGCAGACAGCGAGTGATTCATCGTCAATACACTGTCATCTTTTCCCATGAGACCATGAACCACAGAGATGCTGAGGATCGTCCTTCCACCTAACAGCCACGTCATGACATCCCAGGATTCATCAGTGCTGCAGTTAAAGTGGACCTCACTGCCTCGCAACACAGTGGCATTCTTTGGTTCTAGATGGAGAAAAGAGGCTACAGCTGTGAAGAGGAGAGACACAGTTTAATACATCTCATGACACAGATTCTTGGTGTTCAGATGTATTACTTTATTCTAAAAAAATGTTCTGTTCAGTGTTCTCTTTTAGAAAAATAACCTTGTAGATGGATGGATGTTTGTTTGGATGAATGGGTGGATGGAAAGTTGGATGTTTGTTTGTTTGTTTGTTTGTATGGATGTTTGTTTGGATGAATGGATGGATGGTTGGATGAATGGATGGATGGATGGATAGTTGGATTAATCATTGGTTTGTTGATTGGTTGTATGAATGAATGGATGGATGGATGTTTGTTTGTTTGGATGGAAGGATGGATGGATGGGTGGATAGTTGGATGGTTGGGTGGATAGTTGGATGTTTGGTTGGATGGATGGATGTTTGTATGGATGGATGGTTGGATGGATTGATAGCTGGATGTTTTTTTCTTTGTTTCTTTGTTTGGATGTATGGATGAATGGATGGATGGATGGTTAGGTGGATGTTTGTTTGGATGGATAGATAGATGGTTGGTTGAATGGATGGGTGTATAGTTGGATGGATGTTTGTTTGGATGGATGGATGGATGGATGGATGGATGGATGGATGTTTGGATGGTTGGGTGGATGGGTGGTTGGGTGGATAGTTGGATGTTTGGATGGATGGGTGGATGTATGGATGTTTGGATGGATGGATGAATGAATTTATGGTTGGTTGGATGGATGGATGGATGGGTGGATGTTTGTTTGGATGGATGGATGGATGGGTGGATGTTTGTTTGGATGGATGGATGAATGGATGGATGGATGGATGGAAGGTTGGATAGTTGGATGTTTGTTTGTTTGTTTGTTTGTTTGTTTGTTTGTTTGGATGGATGGATGGAAGGTTGGAGAGTTGGATGATGGATGTTTGGATGGATGGATGAATGAATTTATGGATGGATGGGTGGATGTTTGTTTGGATGGATGGATGGATGGATGGATGGATGGAAGGTTGGATAGTTGGATGTTTGTTTGTTTGTTTGGATGGATGGATGGATGGAAGGTTGGAGAGTGGGATGTTTGTTTGTTTGGATGGATGAATGGATGGGTGATAGCTGGATATTTTTTGGATGGATGGATGAATGAATTAATGGTTGGTTGGTTGGATGGATGGATGGATGGATGTTTGTTTGGATGGATGGATGGATGGATGGAAGGTTGGATAGTTGGATGTTTGTTTGTTTGTTTGTTTGTTTGTTTGTTTGTTTGGATGGTTGTTTGTTTGGATGAATGGATGGATGGTTGGATGAAAGGATGGGTGGATAGTTGGATATTTTTTGGATGGATGGATGGATGAATTAATGTTTGGTTGGATGGATGGATGGATGGATGGATGAATGGATGGATGGATGTTTGGATGGATAGATAGATGGTTGGATGAATGGATAGTTGGATTTTTTTGGATGGATGGATTAATGAATGGTTGGATAAATGGATGGATGTTTGTTTGGATGAATGGATGGATGGTTGGATGGATGAATGAATGGATGGATATGTGGATGTTTGTTTGGATGGATAGATAGATGGTTGGATGAATGGATAGTTGGATATTTTTTGGGATGGATGGATGGATGAATGAATTGTTGGATGGATGGTTGTATGGATGGATGGTTTGATGTTTGTTTGGATGGATAGATACATGGTTGGATGAATGGGTAGTTGAATTTCTTTGGATGGATGGATATATAGATGGTTGGATGAATGGATGGGTGGATATTTTTTGGATGGATGGATTAACGAATGGATAAATGGATGGATGGATGGATGGACATGGAGGGAGGGACACAATTTAATAAATTACATGACACTCATTCTTGGTCATTCTTCAGATGTATTACTATATTCTAAAAAAGCATTTCATACGTACAATATCCATTTAATTTATAAACATCGTTTCCATTTATGAATTAAAATTATTTTGTTAAAAGACAAACATGTTGATGTACTTATTGCAATTAGGAAAAAATGTATAATACATATTTTTAATAATCCATCCATCCATACATCCTCAGTTCATGCAGTAGAGTCCCTGAAATGTGGTTCAATCCTTCAGATTACTTAAGTCTCCGCTATTCTGTATAAATGTACATGCCACTTTAATCCTAAAGCTAATTTTCTTGGAAGCAAATTCGTGTAGTCGGATAAACACACAAACCTGTACTCAGCAGATGACACACTCACCTTGGATTGTTACACACAGCTGGAGGATGTGGCCATGCATATTGCCAGAGAAACAGTCAGGCCATTGTTCAGCACAGCAAGGACACGGCGGAGAACATATTTGCTATTGCTACAAAATATAAAATTGTTGTAACTTTTACCTTATTTACAACATGGGTCACACACTGAAATTGTTGCAGTAACATTTATATAAAATACCTTACAGTAAAGTGTTGTGAAATGTGTTCAACATGCTTTTCTCAGACTATTTAAATACATTTATTCAAATTCATTACACACAGATTATGTTAGTATAATCTGTTCACTTAATAATATTTGTATCATTATATGCCAATGGTGAGAGTTCAAAAAGGGCAAAAAAACACACACTTCTTATTTTATACATCAATTTAATTTAATTATATATTCTTATGGAAATATATATATTTATAAATTTGATCATTTATAAATGTTTAATTTATGTTTAATTTACATTTATAAATGTACATGTTTAATATATATTTTAAAATATTTTATATTAGGTCTTAAAATGTGCATAGTTGATATATGGAATGTGTCCCTATATTATTATTATTATACACACATGCTGAATGTGAAATATTACATGGCCTAAATATACACTTTCCCTTCAAAATCCAAATAAATGTATATATTGAAATTAATAACAATAAATAAATAAATAAATAATTCAACTTTTACTTTACAGTAACAAGACATGTAGGGAAAGTGTGTAATTTTGATGAAAATAATATAATAAAAAAATAAAAATAAAATTAGTCTAATTTCTCTGTGAAAAATAAATTCTTATTTTTTTTCTTTTGAGTTACATTACAATCATGTTCTGGTTTTGTAAGATTCACCCGAATACAATTTATATGTTTGTTGCTGTAAAAATAAAAATAAAAATGAAAAACAAGAATAAAAACAAACTAAACATGAGACGTTGAACCCACATTATAGTGCATGAGTCTGCTAACACTGTAACTCTAAAACATGACAACACGTGAAAAAGATATTGTTTGACCTTATAATATTGCAATGGGTCACCGTTTGCACCTGTGACCCACATTTGTCCAACTTATAAAATACTTAAAGGATTTATTGAATTACTGAATAACAAATCCTGCTGCTGCATTCTTACCTTGCGTTTCCCAGGATGGGTCATACAGTATTCCAGAAAGCTTGTCACACACAGAGATCCCGTTTCCCACAGTCAGTACAGTAGCAGATTGTGTGGAACTGTGGGATGTGGCCAAAACCAGCAGGTTAAATATTACTGAAAGCAAAACAGCTTTTTTAGCCTTGAACTGACCACTGCAAAGCTGCAGTGACTCACATGCCGCTGTAAATATATTAGTGACGGCCTAAAATAACGTCTGAAATTTGCTGCTATTGTTAAGTCAGACGTGAGCATGGGGAAACCTCCTTGTTGTCCATTCACTATCTCTAGGGAATATCTTTGAGGTCACATCCTGTTTGTTGAATCGGCACCACCCTGGTTGAACATTTCTGCTCTTTAGATACACACAATGTGTCAAGAATAGAACATAATGAAGCAGACGGCGCATTTAAAACTCACACTTTAATGGTAAATAAGGGTACTTCCAACCATTCACTTCTGTCTACGTACAAAGTGCATTCGAGCTACAGAGAATGGCTTCCCGCAGGGACTGACGTCACATATTCAGACTGAAATCAGACACAATAGGAGGGAATTATGACTTATGCGCTTTTTACAGTGTCATTGTCTAATTTTAACTTCAACTGTGGTTGTAACCAACTTTCAAGCATTTTGTGTAGTCTAATTTTGCCCCAATGAAGTATGTATACATGTACATTTAACTACAGACAGTACAAGTTTTGGACAGGCCTACTCTGTCTTTATTACTACTGATATTACTACTTATATTTGACATATTTCAGGATGCCAAGTATGTAGTGGCCGGAAATATTAAGCAAATCAAAACTATTATATTTTAACTGTGGTTTATAAACAGTATTTTTTACCTGAGGGCCAAACTTTTAAATTGTAATTTAAAATATCAGCAAATATTGTTAGCCATGATTTCATATTCAACTAGCTAAAACTGTTTGGGCAATTTCCAATCATACTGTAAGATGATCAAACATTTATTTTACCATGAGCTGTAAAGACCCAACAATATGCAAAATTATTGACTTATGGTGAAAAATATCATTGACAATATTGGATTTTAAATTGAATTCTCTTTCATGCTATTAGCAAAACAAAACTATTAGTCAATGTTCATTTTCATGAACCATATTTATTGTCTTTTGGATCAGTTTTCTTTTGCCTTGCGCAGTTTTATTCAGTTTTTGAGGATAATGGGATATCAAGTACCTGCAAATGTTAGCATCTACAAAATGTTATCTTACGGCTAGCTTTGCTAAGTGCAAATGTTAGCATCTACAAAGTGTTATCTCACAGCTAGCTTAGCTAAGCATCTACAAAATGTTATCTTACAGCTAGCTTGGCTAAGCGCAAATGTTAGCATCTACTAAATGTTACCTTACAGCTAGCTTGGCTAAGCATAAATTTTAGCATCTACAAAATGTTATCTTACTGCTAGTTTGGCTAAGTGCAAATGTTAACATCTACAAAATGTTATCTTACAGCTAGCTTGGCTAAGCGCAAATGTTAGCATCTACTAAATGTTACCTTACAGCTAGCTTGGCTAAGCATAAATTTTAGCATCTACAAAATGTTATCTTACTGCTAGTTTGGCTAAGTGCAAATGTTAGCATCTACAAAATGTTATCGCACAGCTAGCTTAGCTAAGCGCAAATGTTAGCATCTACAAAAATCTTACAGCTAGCTTGACTAAGAGCAAATGTTACCATCTAGAAAATGTTATCTTATGGCTAGTTTGGTTAATTGCAAATGTTAGGATCTACAAAATGTTATCTTATAGTTTGGCTAAGTGATTGATGAATTTGATCGAACACACAGCCTTTGATGACACAACACACAAGTTTTCCCTACCGTCTAGAAGTTGATAAAGCCTATGAATTTGCTACGAGTTGATTTTACAATTTGCATTTAGCATTGTAGCAAAGTATGTCCAAAGTTTGACTGGTAGTGTACTTCATAACACAGAGAGTTATTGCAAGTATTGCTTTGGCACATTTAAATGGTTTAGCATTATTTAGCACTAACTATTTTGGATTCAATAGTACAGTCACAAAATGTTAGTTTAAAGGTTATAGAAATAGCTATCTTCTATATGTACAGTAAGAAAAAAAAGACATCCCTTTAAAATTCACTTGAAACTTGCCAGTTAAGCAATAAAAGCATACAAAGGCATTTTGCAGCCTCATCAGTAATAGGATAAGGCACAGTTATCATGGGCAGCTTGGAGTCCTGAGAGCATGTTCTCCAGTGCAGCGGTGTCACATTTGGCTCGAGTAATGCTTCGGTGAATGTGTTTGTGGGGGATTTTGGACGGCTCCAGGGAACTTCAAGCTGGAAGGTAAAGCACATAGTAAGGGTTGTGCATTCATAAATGTGAAGCATCAAAGGTTGCTCGTCAACATCATGATCCCCCTCCCAATTATATGTCATGATGTTTATTTCCACAAAGAAAATGAAAAATAACAACAAAAAAAACTAAATGGAAAATGTGTTTATAGTAGTATGCTTAATTGTCACTGCACAAAAATACAGGTTTTATAATTCTCAACATCACCAATGACCACCCACCACATAATTAACAACTTAATTATACTACTAAAAGTACATTCAACCTGGATACATACAGTGCAAGCAGTATGTACTATAAAGCAGATCCAAACTACTTGATAGTTTTATCACTGAAAATTGTAAACTATATTAAAGGTGCAATGTGTAAAATTTCTGAGGATCTATTGACAGAAATGCAATATAAGATCCATTACAACGTGTTCAGTGGTGTAAAAAAGACCTGTTATGTTATTATTTCCTTATAATGAGACATTTATATCTACATAACCGTGGGCACCCCCTTCTATGAAGGTTGCCATATTGTTGTGACGTCATGTTTCTACCGTAGCCGAACGCGAACGCACAGCGCTATAGAGCGGGTTTCATCACTACCTTGAAAGAGAAGCTACAGAAAGCTAGAAGCTAGCTATAGACATTATGAGTAATGACTTTTCCCTTGTCAGTGATGTAAAATATGTAGTTTGACTGTTTCGTGTAACTTGGTTCGTCTCCCTCGACAATCAATTGTCCTTTGACAATCAGCTGATTAGTACTATTGATCGTAAAACAGTAACGTTACAGGAGTCACCAACCCGTCAATCGCGGCCGACAAGTCGATCTTGGAAGCATTTTAAGTCAATCGTTTTCAAAACCAGAGAAAAAAAACAAACAATATTTTTATTCATTATTATTTATTAATTTGTGTGTAGTAAATGGTGTCTATGGGATGCGGAGGCGCTCATGCGTTATAGTATATATTAACGCATCAAGTATAAACAAGGCTTTACACTTTAACCAGCTCAGCCACAGTAACAGCTCATATTAGCCAGCTAAAGTTTTACTACCCTATTAGAAAAAATATATAGTTGGATAGTTTCATGTGGTTCTTCTCCCTCACTGTATTATGGGTTTGCTATGTGGGGAGAAATGTGCTGGTTACGTTTTTGAGACAATCAGCTGATTACTATTATTATATTATATATTAAGACCCTTGATCCTGACCTGACTATGGCTTTGTAAACTTTATCCATGATGTGGTTTATAATGGATGAAACAGAAACAGTGACAATGTTACACACTCTTGGCTTACTCTGGCTATTCTTTGCTGTCTCAGACGACGAAATGTTTGTCCCGTTTTAGCCACCGTAGCTTCTTCGAAAGGGAGGGGTGAGCAGTGGGCTGAGCCCTTAGTGCAACTCACAACTGAACCGCTAGATGTCGCTAAAATCTACACACTGCACCTTAAACGGCCAGAGATATTTTTTAAGTTGGTGTGGCAAGCAGGGCGGGGCCGCGAGCCGTGGGAAAGGAGCGAGGCCAGTGGTGAGAGGGTTTATGAGCATCACACCGGTCTCGAGTCTCATGTTAAGGAAGAGTGATTTAAAGTGAGGACCCAGCCTGGATTTACTGTGGTTGTTTAATGTTCATACTTGGGCTGTCAGTTAAACCCGTTATTAACGGCGTTAACGCAAACCCATTTTAACGGCGTCAATTTTTTTATTGTGTGTTTAACAGTCTTTTTGGCTTAACAAACTTTGTAGTTTACTTTCACATGCTTTCGCAACAAGACGCTGCAAGTGTGCGCTGCGCTCTGAAACCTATTCATTTCAATGGCTTGACCCGCACAAGGACGTTTTGTTGCTTCGTCGACCGAAGCGCAAGCGGATCTAGCTAGACCGTAAACAAAGCAACAGGCACGCCGCAAACACTCGTTTGGGCTTGCGAGCCGGCCAAATAGTTGATTAACGTTACGTTTTGAATGGATGACGAGCGCGAGACGCCGAAATGGACGCCAATATGATTCTGAATGGAAATTTTACTTTTAAAAAGTTGCCAAATGGTTCCATTGACAAGACCAAAGTGATTTGTGTGTTTTGTTGTAAAGTGAGCTATCATCATCGCAGCACGTCCAGTCTGAAATACCGCTTGGTGATGGCACACACACGCACACACACACGCAGCTGATGCGAATTCTCCGCCCCCTCGTCAGTATTTCTTACATTGTGTGAGATTATTTGCTCCAAGTGAGAATTTTAGTGTGAATTTGAACACAGTATATGCCAACGTTGTTTTAAATGAAAAAAACATTTGCACAAAGCAAGCTGATCCACTTTTCCATGTTGATAAGAGCATTAAAATGATAAAAAATAATGGGACAAATGATAAAATCAAGAGACATTTAGAATAGATAAAAATGTCTGATTAATTGAGATTAATCACGAGTTAACTACATTAATGCGATTAATCGCGATTAAATATTTGAATCGTTTGACAGCACTAGTTCATACGCTTTACTTTTTGTTTTGTTGTTTGATTATTTTGTCTTTAAAATTCATCGTTTCCCGTCTTCTTTTTCCCTAAACACAAACTTAGTTAAAGTTGGATATATGGGACATCCTACACTTTAATAAATAGGAAATCCCCGATATGTGATTGTTTAGTAATTGTTTTATCGCCACAAAGCTCTCTATATAAAGTTCAACATATACCGTTTATACTTTATCCACAGCAGTAACATAAAGTGATACCGTATATACGGTAAACTCAACTTAATTTTTTTTATTTGATCGCTAATGTAATTATATTATCACCTAGGTCTTTATAATAACTTTATTATAAAGTTGTACATACAGTACATTAATGTAGGACGATTTTATACAGCTTATTTCAACTGCTTGATTGCTTATTAACATATTATAAACATTAAAATCATCATTTTCAAATAATTGAACTTGACTTGATGCTTAAAATAAGAGAGTTTAAAGCACAGGCATTATTTGGGGACCAAAAAATGGACCCACAACGTTTTGCCATGGCCAATTTTGTCCCCACCTCTTTATGAAATAGCTTGTGGCAGGGAACATCTCCAATTTTAGTTTTCATTTCATTAGTGAGTGTCATTTTGTATGTTTTGTTGAGTGTGTCCGAGAGTGACAGCAGCAATATCCGTGATATAATAATCTGTACCTGTACCACCCTGGACCCTCAATGCAACGAGATTAATTCCAGACCAACTTAAGGTATTCTGATATTCTGAATGATACCAATCCACAATCTGGAATCCTAATCACATGTTGGTTCATTTCTTTTCTCGCTGATGGAGTTTAGGTTCTTTGCCACTGTAGCCTTTGGCTTTCTTAGTTGGGGACACTTAATATTCAACACTATTATTGATTTGACTGCACTGACACTATTGGGTGAGAACTGAACTGAGCTGCTTTATAGATTAAATGAGCTCATTTCATAATAAATGAACTTTACACAGTTATTGAACTGAACTGAATCAACACTGAACCGACTTCAGCTGAATAATACATGCTTACTATTGTCTTTTTAGATTTGCTTTCCAGCAGAATTGAATTGTTTGTATCACTCAATCATTATTTTCCTGTTATCACTGCAAAGCTGAAACAATCTGTATTGAATAAAGTCCCATATAAATAAAGATGAATTGACTTGACCATGCTTAACATTCACATAATATATAATGACCAATAAAATACTGAACTGTACAGTGGCTGAAATATACATCAAATTAAATATTTCAAGTTTATGTGAGCAATTAAATTGATCAGCATGTATTATTGCCTTCTCAAATCACAGTGTATCCCAATGTGACGTGGAAACTGTATTTGTCATATTGCATCTTATTAATTTCGGTTAATCGCTGTATATGAACCATTCATCAAAACAGTTTCAATCATTTGCGCAAAAGTATTTAATATGTCACTCTTGTCTTTATGAAACCATATGAATGGTTCATCTCACTTGCCTGCTATAGGTAATCATGATAAGGGCATTACTGTCATTTGTACAATCTTTTTATTTAGTAAAAATGTATATAATAATAAATAATATAATTTATGTTGAATAAATAAATAGTAATTTATCATAATTCGCTAAGTGATAATTATAATAATGAGAAAATGATGCATTAATTGTTAAGTATCAGATTTAATTTGGATAAAAGCGTATTTGATAAAAGTTCTGACAGCAATGCCACCCTGTGGTCTCTTTCTTTTCATACTGGAAGTTACATTTGGTGCCACCTTGCGACTCAAGACAGTAAGACATTATATCAAATAAATATTACTGTTACAGTTTTAATATTACAAATTAATAAGTGGTATGATGTACAACCAGCTGGTCATAATCACAAAATAAATCCCTTTGCTTTGTGTCAGATCACCCTGTTGTGGTTTATTTCTAGATAATGACTGGCTAAATGTAAATTATCCCTATATTGGTTTTAAACTGTATTTTACTATTTATGTAACATTAGTAAAGGTTTTTATTTTTTCCTCTCTATTAGATTTCACTTTCTACTTAGAATTAAACAGCCCAATTTTGCAGTTGTTCCTTTAAGAAACTCTTCCCATGTGAAATGAACAGCAGTACTTTGATTAACTTTGACGGGTGCCTTAAAATAGTCCCAGACTAAAATACATGTTTGAACTGGTTTAACTGAAAGCAACTTTACTAGACCAGTAAGGTTTACATTTATAAAAATTACTTAAATGTCCTAAATGAACTAAGGAAATCCTGGCTTAATCTAACCCTGTCTGTGAAACCAGGCATGCTTAGTATTTAAACTATGAAAGTCACAGTATCTTTTCATAGTACAATGAACTCTTTTATCTTAAAAGATAAAGAAAAAAATATTCCTCATGACTTTAAAACTGTGAGGTAATTAAATATCGACATATTTTAAACATGCTTATAAACAAATGCAACAAACACAGCAAGTCAATTTAAGCCAATATGATAAACATGTATGTCATTTCTGGCAGGATCTTTCTTTTAAGAAATCAGCTGTCTTTGGTTCCCAGGCACACACATTTCTTTAGTCCTGGACACTTTTGTTGTTTTTTACAGAAGCAAATGGTATCCTACAGCGCCACCAAGTGGCAGAGAAGACAAAAGAAACATGTATTACCTGTGTGGGAAAATCCAGGTCCAAAATCCTCAGTTTCAGAATACTAGTCTTCCTGTGAATGACAGCAATCACACAGTTAACAACATATTGCTCCTACACTGTAAAAAAAAAATGTTGTTATAACAAAAAAAATTTTTTGTCAAATCAACTTAAACAATTTATTTAGTTCAGATAACATATTATTTTGAGTTTCTGATGATTAAATCAATCTCCTTCATTGTATTAACTCAATTTTTCGAGTTTAATCAACTTAAAATTTTAAGGCAACCAGGTTACTTACTTTTTTAAGTTAAACCAACAATATTTTTTTACAGTGTAGATGTGCTATTAATGCCTCCTGTATAATGTGTTTGGTGGTAATTCTATTCTATTTTTAATTTTTCATCTATCCTGGCTCTTTGAGGTAAACATAACAATTTTGTGCAGATTTGTATTATCTATGTAAATGAATTATTAATCAACCTGAAAAGTGCAGCCTATCGATTACTCGTTAGTTTATCAATTCAGATATCTTTAAGCAGCATCAGCATATTGAATAAGTCAAATGCTATTCCGATCTATGAACAAACGATTTCTTCAAGACAAGTTTGGTTGTTTTTGTTGTCTTTATGAAGTATTATAAAGATATCAGACAATCATTTTTATGTGTCCATCAGTCTGTAAAACTAAACAAATACTGTATGCAATAATGTTAGAATAAAATCTAAGAAGGAAGGCCTTCCAGCATTTAAAAGGAGAAGGGTCTTGAAGGGTTAGTTAGTTCGTCTAATAAAAAACAAAGTCTGATTAAACAAAACACCTAGAATAAATACTTGTTGTCTTTATTAAACACACTGACCCAACAATTGCAAACATGTTAAACTGTTAAAGTGTTCAATAAAAATATAAAACTTGTTTGATCAAGATGAAGCTGGTATAAGCGAAGTTGGCCAAGTTCACTTTCGAATCTCTAATTTTCTGAAATTCCTGAGCCACGTTTTATATTTCAAAGAAATGTGAGAACACTCCTGAGATATGAGCAGAACAAACAAGAAACAAACTATTTAGGTCACTGTGGAGTGAAGCAGCGGGACTGAGAGCTGTGGGAGCAGAGGCCTCGTCACCGGCCTTGCTCCGCTCCCACGGCTCTCGGCCCCGCCCTGCCTCACACCACTGGTACCTTTATCACTGACTCCTGTCAAATAACAGTGACATTGCAGACAATGACACATAAGTGTGATATGACTTCAAAAGGGAATATTGATGCAGCAGCTTTAACCTCTGCAACAGTAAGAAAACAATCAAGCAACTCAATGACACAAATGTAAAGGTAATTTTTTTCAGATGCAAGTGTCTAGACCAGTAGTTCTCACCCTTTCTGACTCAAATGGTGCTTTTCCATTACCAGTACCAGCTCGACTCGCCTTGCCTCACCTTGCCTCACCTCGGCTTGCTTTTCGCTCAGTTTCCCATTGCAGACTCACAAATAGTACCTGGTCGCCATAGCAACCAAACAAAGTCTACACCTCCTCGTTTCACCACAGCGTATTCGTCCGAGTAGCCATAATAATAGTATTAGTAGATTAGATTAGTAACTATCTCTGGCCAACCTATTTAAAAATGACGGGGTTATTCTGGATACTCCATCTGGCGCGTGCAATGATGACGCAGTGAATAGTGACGATTCTCTCTGACCAATCAGCAGTCGGTATTGTTTTCACGTGACATTTTAGTATCGCCTTAGCTCACTCAGAACCTCGCCGGAGGTGATACAAAAAAAGTACCCGAAAGCAGGTACAGGTACAACTTTTACACAGTGGAAAACTAAACAAAGGTAAGCCGAGTTGAGGCCAGTCGAGCTGGTACTGTGTAGTGGAAAAGCGCCAAAAGACAATATTTGAAGACCCCCCACCCCCGGCAGTCCACGACGTCACACACGGACCACCAGTGATTATAAAAGAACACCTGAATTACACGTCATCAACTTTTTTAGTCTTCAGGAGTCGTTTGTTCATAGCACGTTGTAACAAAGATGAAACTATGGAGAAAAAACCTAATGTTTTTAAAAATATTTTATAGTAATAATTTCAGTTGAACGAGTTCCAAATGAATCTAAAACAACATAAAGACAGTATATTTTAAATATTTGTCTAAAAGGTAGGAAATATACAGAAATTTAATAAAGTTATCAAACAGTTTGAACTGCATACATTTTAAATTATATCCACAAGTTTCCTACGCCCCATGAGGCCTTGCGTCAAAAGTGGGCGTGACTTCCGGTTCGAAGTAAACAAAGCGCGAATTGACATGCTTGACACTCGTTCAATCAACAGTTGACAGTCATTCAAGTTATAGCGATCCAAACTAGCTAACGATGTGGGAACACAACCTCAACGAAATTCAAAAGGGTGAAATAACAGTGCCTTTACCCTCCGCAGTAGTTGGTTGGGAGTATTATAATAACATTATTAATAATCAATACTCATCAAGGCATGGTGACAGACAGTTGTGCGAGCTGACAAACAATTAAAATAAAAAATACACACTTAGTCATTGTGCTTTGGAGTTTATTTAAAATTATAAATGAATGTGCTACTTGAATACATTAACTGGCACATTTGGTATTCTGTCAACACAGGCTTTGATCCTGAGTTTAGGTGTAACATCAGTAGCGAACAGCCAATCACATGCTGATAGAGTTTATAGAATATTAAGAATTTAAACAAATGTACACAGAAAGATTCGTCGTCTTTTGGGAGGTGATGGAAACTACAGTCGTTGGCAGGATCAGAGACGGGCTCTGGCAGGATCACTCCGATTTCGTTTTCAGCTTATGTTCAAAACAATCACGTTTAAGCCACTGAATTAGTTTAGTCCGGTTATACGTACAACCGCGAACAGCACATGTTGTCCCTGAGCTCCGTAACGACATCTCTCATAAAGATTTGCGTCTTTAAATAGTAAAATAATTCTACGAAAAACAGCTAGCCTCTTCGCTAACTAACACACAAAATACCATTGGAATGCTATACTTCCGCCGCCTCACCGGAAGTTTCGCCCACTTTATTTTTTACAGGAGCGCCCCTCGGAAACTTGTGGATATTAATTATTCCTTATTAAAGTTACAAAAGTTCTTTAGTCAAGAGCAGTGAGTGTTTTTCTCTGTTCCTTTTGTTCTTTGATTAACTTTACTGACGGAAAGCTTTATTGGCTGCTGTCCCTTTAAAACCAGCCGCTGCTGACAGAGAAGACTTTATTTAACTAATTTATAACTGATCAGTCTGCTCTTATGAGGATACTCAACAAAACGGACATTTTGGCATAATTGCGTGCGTTAGTGTTCAAGGCAAAAGAAAACTTGATTCTGGCGCTCAATTGGCTTTATGCCCAGCTCCACTACTTCCTGAACTTCAGCCAGCTCCTTGTTTCCTGTCTGCCATTATTGGACACATTGATTAATTCAGGTGTGCTTGACCTCAGTAGTCATGGCAACAATAATCATACACACTTGAATGAATCAATTAATCAATTTTGCCCAATAATGGCAGACAGGAAACAAGGAGCTGGCTGAAGTTCAGGAAGTAGTGCAGCTGTGCATAAAGCCCATTTGTCTTGGCTTGAATGGTTTAAAATTATTTGCATGAATAAGAGCGCATCATATAATATAACAATGCATTCTCACTATATGACAAAACGCTATATGACAAAACGGCGCTATACTATGCACATGGCACCCTTTATCGTTAATATAACACGCGCTGTGATGGTTAGGTTTAGGTGTGGGGTAGGGTAGGGTAGTCTGACATTACACTGAAGGATTTATGACGCCTTGGGTTCGCGTGAATATTAACGATAAAGGGTGCCATGTGCGTAGCATAGTGCCCTTTTGTCATATAACGTTCTATGTGACGCTAAAGGATGAGAACGGGCTGAATATAACGCCAGCCAAAGAATGACAGAAAAAACAGATGCTGCGTTACTTGCGTTATTGTTATTATGAGTCTTCTCCTCCCCTTTCTACCAGTGATAATTCAACTTCCCGCAGATATCGACAGCGCAACTGGGTTGTAGGTTGCCAGGTTGAGCTTACAAATGCGTTGAAATTTGTATGGTGTGTTGATTGCGCGAGTAGGATGGGTTTCATACAAAATCTGGCAACTGGACAACCATGGAATAAAATATTGATGTGATTATTCATATAACGATGTTTGGGTCTTACAAATTTTACGGGAGAATTAACTAAACTGGGGGGGGGGAAATACGGGATGTTAAATACGGGAGCTTGCGAGTGTTGACAGGTATAATCTGCACCCTGTGTGTTGGGTGTTGCTGCTGCTGCCGGTGAAATGGAGACTCAGTTCCTGGGGCTTTGCAGGTCGAGCTAGCTGAGGAATTTGAGAAAGGGATTTTGTTTTTTCAATCCTTGTTGCTAGCTGGGGTGATCTGCTGGATCAGGAAGCCCATTCTTTGGCTTCTTCCATCAACCCCACAAACGAGGAACTGTTGGATGTAATGGCCCACACCATGACCAGGTTGAACCTGACTTGGTCGCGCAAGAGACAGGGCGTTGGTCACAGTAGACTCGATGAGTGATTTCTGGTGAGTTTTATTCGTCCCTCCTCCAAGAGCATGCTGTTCCTTCCAGATTTCTTCAACATAAATGTTGAGGGATTGAGCGAGCAGGGATAAATGAAGATGCCTCCTGTAGAAGAGACGCTGGCTAGCAGAGTGAGGCATCTTCGGTGAAGTCTGCAGTCTTGCCGTCTAAACCATTACAGACCACTTTGTGGTTCATTGGTAAAGCGTTGTATCTCTTCTGCTGAGAGACCGGGAGGCAGGGATTGTCTCCTGAAGACAGACTTGGCCCTCTGTGCCACCAAACAAGCAGCCACTCCCATCAAACAGTGGTTACGGAGAGGCATCTGTAGTTAAATATGTCAGACATTAAGGAGAAGGAAAAAAACTTCCTTCACCCTATGAACTCTTGGGCACCTCTGTCGAGGCGGTGTTGGGAAAGTTCCGAGAGGTGAAGGCGCAGTCTTAAGTAAGTGGCATGTGTTGCAACAAAACATGGCCCATCATCTGATAGGTCTAGTGCAATCCTTTATGTGTTGAGGGTAACAGTTTACAAAGAATGGATGCGGTGAGATGATGCAACCTCCTCTTGTTCCAGTTGCCTCTTTTAACAGGAGTAGTGTTTTTTGTAAGAGTGAAATATATATTAATCTTTCACTCTTTGAATTCTCTTCAGTACTTCTAGAGTGTGCAAGCTTTCGAGATTGGTGAGACAATGTGGAAAGAAAGACATTACCATTCCTCATCAGTTTTCCTCTAGCGTATTGCTGTGAGGTTATGATGCGAGTGGGTTCTATGATGAAATGTGGAATTCCACATTATACGGAACTTGCATCATCATTCATGGCCCCTTTCGTGAGTAAAAATATTTGCTTTGTTGTGCATAAGAATCCCACCATGGATTTGGTCATATAAAATAATTTATTGAAGTATCCAGATCCTTCACCACGCGAGCAAGCAGCTAGGCTCCTGATTGGTTAACGAATTGACGCCAAAGTTTTTTCAACTCAGATGGGAATTCGCGTCAAACGCGTGAATGCACAAATAGCACTAACTAAATCAACGCACCAGGCGCTCAATTCGCGCCATTCGTGTGAACTTGACGCGCCAATGAGGCGTATTTGCGTCTTTCACGCCACGCTCTATGCCTCATTCACGCCGCAGGAAATTTTTATACACGTAACGCGTCTTTGCATTGACTTAACATTGAAATCATTCGTGCCTGACGCACTATTCGCGTCCATTGTGAACGCACCATAAGAGCCTTCTCCGGCAATATTGCTGAGGTGCAATACCTCAGGTGCAATACCTAGACTAGTCTGGAGTTCCTTTGTAAATATTTTATGAAGCTTGGGAGTTTCACCCTAGCGCCTGTGGATATTTGCTTTAAGGAGTAGCGCAACTATATAGCATTTTGCAAGTCACATAGAGTTGACACAGCCTTGAGTTCCAGAGTCATTTAGTGCTATACCGACTTTGTTTGTGAATATTCACAGCTATAGTGAGGCAGGCATTTCTTCAGGATGATAAAGTGGGTATTGGTTACCCATTGCATCGTCAATGCATTACATGTAACATGAGTTAAGTAATCTAATTACCTTTTTCAAGTAACAAGTAAAGTAATGCATTACTTGGAGTGAGGTGCAGCTAAACCGCTTATGGCCCTAGCGAACGGTCCACTCGTGTACTGCTCACATGAAACAACATTTGCTCAAATCCCACTCCAACATCATATAACTTTGCAGTGTTGCCAACTTAGCGACTTTGTCGCTATATTTAGCGAGTATTCAGACCCCCCTAGCGACAAATTTTCAAAAAAGCGACTAGCGACAAATCTAGTGACTTTTTCTGGTGTTATTAGAGACTTTTGGAGACTCTCTGATGTGAAATCAATCACATATCGTTTTTCCTCATCTCAACGAGCAGCGAGTGCTGCCGTGGGTCCCACCCCGTCCCAAATCACTCACAGGTGGCCCAGTCCTCGCGCGGCAGCCCCTCCCAGCTGTAGACAGACAGAGCAGGGAGATGTTCTCATCCGCGTACAAACTGCAAAACAATCGCGCAAATGAGTCGCTATTTTTAGCGACTTTTCAGACCCCGACTTTTTGCTTTTCTCCCTTTGCTTTCATTCACTCTACGTCTACCCTGTTTAGTGAATGGCTGAGAGGAGCAGATCATGTGTTGTACGCCACTGACAGAGGTGAATGAGCAGTGTTTTCCCACGGACCTATCACTTATCTGCTTTCTTGAAATAATAATGTTTTTTAATTAAACAATTTAGTTTCCTTTCTTTTCTTGTGCTTGCTGTATTACTTTTTTTGTCATTAACTATATCACTCGTTTTGTGTGACAAAAATACATAGGAAATGAGAATAGCTTTATTTTACATTCGTCTATATTATATTATAACATATTAAATACATTAATATGTGAGCTGAGCATTAATTTATAGAGAAAACACATTAGGCAAGGGGAACGCAAGTACGACGCGATGACGTCACGAATATGCTAATTAACGTATGACATCATCTAGCGACATTTAGCGACTTTTAGGGAAGGCGTTAGCTACTTTCATTTGAAAATAGTTGGCAACACTGTAACTTTGTACATACATCTTTCTGTTTATGAATTTGAATTTGCAGCGCCTCGTTCCCCTTCTCAGGGAACCGGGTTGCATTGGCAACCTGAGATGATTTACACGTTTTTTTTACTCACTTAGGGGTTTACTCACCCCTAGCGGGTCCTGGACCCCTGGTTGAGAACCACTGATCTAGTCAATCTAAAAGATTTCAAACAAAACTGGTGGCATGCACCGGTGCCCCTGGCCTTCCCCGACAACAACATGCTTAAAACAAGCTAAAATATTCTAGAGTACCTCTGAGGCATGTTCCTCTTCCTCCTGTGATTGTGAGGAGCAGATAAGAGTCACACAAAACACATGGATTAAAACATAAGAATGCATCAAGGTATTTGAGTGAAAGAATCAACTACTGAGGGAGCTGAAGGTTATGCTACACACAGAGAGAGGATGAGCAGGGGAAGTGGGTTTGAGTGGATATATATGTGTGTGTGCTTCCACAATAAAGAAAGATCATAGAAGTGACAGCCAGAGGAAAAAAAAATTCTCCTGTAACATAAGTGAAATGAGAGATGGAATGACTGGAAAAGAAAAGATAAGAAAAGACAACTGAGAGAGATGAGGAGACCTTGAAGCAGCAGGTCTGGAGAAAAGGGAGAGCAGGTGAGGATCATGGAGAGGAGTTTACTGCAACTGAATGTGGAAAATAAAATTGGTGTGTACACGCTTATGTCAACAAAATAAAAATATCACCTGTGTCGTGACTCGTGGCCGTGTGGTAAGTGCACGTTTTAGCACACTGAGTAGTAGTGCTTATGTGAAGGATTTGGGTTCTCAATACTGATCATGGCATATAATTTCCTTGCATCATTTACAACATGATAATACTAGTATTCAAATGTGCAGTCTGGGGTATTTGTATTTATTGATATCGTATGTTTCAATGTCTAAACAAATGTAGTAAAAAATTACAAAAAACATGCATATTATATACCTTTAACAAGAAATAACAGAAAAGTAAAAAGTTTAGTAACCTTCTAATGTAATTTGTTGTATTGTTGTGATGTGTAATATATATATATATACAGTATATAAATAAAAAATAAATAAAAAATGTACAAAACAATATATATATATATATATATATATATATATATATATATATATGAAGAGTTCAGATGCAAAAGCCTCTAAATGCCATTTGAAATTTTCTTCTTTAATGATGATTTTTATCAAACTTGTATATTTAAGTTCAGTAATTTCACTTAAATAACAATTAATAGGTAATTTTCATTGTCATTTAAGTGAAATTACTGAACTTAAATATACAAGTTTGATAAAAATCATCATTAAAGAAGAAAATTTCAAATGGCATTTAGAGGCTTTTGCATCTGAACTCTTCATATATATTTGTACTTTTTTTGTTCACTACCTCAAACTGTAACATTTGAGGTTGTGTTTCAATTTGGGTCTGTATTTCTCTTAACATAAATAAAACAAAAAACAAATTACAGAAAAATGACAAATTTAAAATGTTATCAAACTCAGGTTATGACTTGATGCACAATTACAATAAATCCTTAATTATGGAAACCAAGGCTGTATTTATTTGATCAAAAAATACAATGAACACAGTTATAAATAATTAATTAAAAGGCCCTAAATTGTCATTCTCAGGTCGATGCATTGTGATGCACTGATGCCTTTTAGACACTAACCTTCATGTGGTATATAATATTCACTGAGGGACTGAAAGTATGAAAGTATTGTATGTTAAATTTGGTCCCAAGTACTAGAGAATAGAAATCAATTACAGTTAGAGGAAAGAAAAAGAGAGGAAAGAAAAAGAGAAAGAGAAGGAAAATAGAGACAAAAAGTGGGGGAAAAACATGTATCAATCTACCTCAAGCTCTCGCAGTTCTTCTTCCTCCTAGAGGGGAGAACAGACTGAATCAGATGAGAGGAATGTGAAAGCTTGAGCTGAAGAGACGCATGCAGAAACAGAGAGAGGAGAAAGAGACTGACAGGAGGCAGCTAGATCAGGGAGTGAAACAGGAGGTTAAAAGGAAGAATGAAGGAGGAAAATCACTTGCGAAATGTGGGGGAAAAAGTCACAAGTAAAGAGATATACCGCCCATCAAACCCAAGTTACCTCAGACACCAAATCATCTTCTGCCTGTAAAGAAAAAGGAGGGAGAGAGAAGAAGGGATGTGTGCAATATGCTTTAGACAGCCAGTCTGCCATCTGATTTCATTCAATACTTATATTGATTTAAATATATATATTTTTTACCAAATATTTGTGGTCACTGTGTATTTAATCCTTATTAAAGCAGGAATTTTTTTCATCTAATATTTAATTTCAGCTTTATCCCTTAAAGGGATACTCCACTTTTTTTGGAAATAGTCTCATTTTACCGCTCCCCCAGAGTTAAACAGTTGATTTTATGATATTTAGAAGAATATCAGTAACTAGACAGTTTCTGGTCTCATTGACTTCCATAGTATATTTTTTTCCTACTATGGTACTGACACTCTGGTTACTGACATTCTTCTAAATATCTGAAAATCGGCTGAATGGATTTGAAAACGGTAAAACTGTTTAACTCTGGGGGAGTGGTAAAATGAGCCTATTTCCAAAAAAAGTGGAGTATCCCTTTAAACAGGCAAGAGTGGAAAATGCTAAGCAAAAAATAATTAAATTTTAAATTTTTTATATAATCTGGACTTAAATAAAACATATCCAAAATATAGATTTTTTTTTTTTATTTGATATTTTTTGGAATTTTATGAATTTTATGTCTCCTGAGATACATTGCCTTTATTAGGGTATAAAAAAGGAAAAATGATATATCATTCGAAAGTTTGCAAACTCAAGATTTAGCCAGTGAAATTGGACATTGTGTTACCATAGAAACAGTACTCTAAATTCTTTTAATGGGCTCCTACCCTTTTGGGTATCGTCGTTTTATAATTTATGATCAAAACCTTTTTTAATCTTGACAGAACACATTGTCAGAGTCTTTCTGAGTCTCAAGGTTTCATATTTTGTGACAGAAGTGATATTTGGATAGAAGATTATTAATTTGTTATGGCAGAATGCATACAATTACTGTAAATTCAATGGAATATAAGTCTACCCGGTGGCTATTTTTGGTATTACGCCTAAACAAAATGTCATGGAAACTTCAATTTTTGTGATATCAACTTCAAATTTGGAACACAACTTGGTTAGATATATGGCTTTGATTGTAGTAATATTATAGGAAAAATAATATTCATTATTATAATATTCATTGTCATTATATTATTTAATATATAACATCATTTAATATTTATTCTATAAAAAGAATAAATATTAAGTACAGTATATTTGATTTCATATTAGTTTTAAACTTCCTTAACTTTTCATATTTTAATTTTAGGCCTAAATTAGGTCCATATTCCAAAGCATTCTTGAATTACAATAATAGTGCATTTTAAATAGAGCTAGTTTAATCCTTTTTATACCCTAAACAGGCAACGTGTCTCAGGAGACATGCTAAATAACAACATGAACAACATATTACTTAATTTTCTCCTTCAGTACCTTAAAAAAATGTTCACAATTAATGTTAGCAGTATTATTATTTTCTTTTATTTTTCAGAAGAAAAGTAAGTTTAATATATTTACTGTATATATATATATATATATATATATATATATATATATATATATATAATTTATCTAAATAGCTGAATGTTCTGCACCACTGGCAGCCATGTTGAATTTAGGTCAGGCTAATTGATCACAAAAAAAAAATGAAGCAAATCATGTGACCAGCATACTCAAGACAGACCAAGCTGTCATAAGTGATAAAAGATCTGATGATAAAAGAAGTGATAAAAGATCTGATGAAAGATCTGATCTTCAATCTTTATCGAAGAAATTACGATAAACAAGAACAAAGTGTGCATAACTGCAGCTGTTTTTTCAATGACATATTTGTACTTGATCCAACCCATAAAAATGTACTTGTATATAGGAAATAGTCAGATTAAAAGACCTCTAAGCATTAAATTGTTCAATGAAATATGTGTTTTAAATTCAAATCATATTTGATGCTTTAGATGCTTTATTCCTCATGTGGTGAAAAGTGCATGTTATGATGGTTATAATAATGTAGTTGTTATGGGCGAAACCATATGGAAAATATAATTTTTAATTCAGTTTATCTTAATTTATTTCTTAATTCGGTTAAAAAAACTGTATTATATATTGAATAATTTTTCATTTTTGGGAAGAAATGTGTTACATTGGTGGATAACTTAAAGCAAATGCATCCATGACACCTGTAAGAAAAAGTGGGAAGAAAAATGACAGGCAAAACCCAAAGTAAACGAGTTGCCTTCCAGGTGAGTAAATGACTGTGAGGAGCAGATGAGAGTCACACAAAACACATGGATGCAAAAATGAAGAATGGAAATGTTGTCAGCGAGATACAGAAATGAATGGGAGGGAATAGAGTTACAGATCTAGAATCACCTCTGAGACCAGATGGTTGTCCTCTACCTGGAACAGCGAATAGCGAACGTTAGCTTTCTTCAATTATCTTTTTGACAAGCGTTTTTATATTTTCTGTATTTTCGTGAATAAATAAACGAGCAGATATTAATCAACCTGTTAAGAAATAATGTGGGGGAAACAGGGTTCCCACACTTTCCCAAATCATTCATTATTAATCAATAATTAATTTTAAAAATCATATTATACATGCACAAATGTCTGTAATAAGACAGATGTTTCACACTCTACACAAACTCTCACAATGAGAAATATCTATCATTGAAATACTTGAGGAAACATGCTATATAAACAAGAATACAGTCTTACCTTGTCCTCTTCTCCTTCTTCCTGTAGGTCATAGAAAAAGAAAAAGGGAAGAAAAATTTGTACCATTTCAATTACTTTTAATAGTACTATTACATTTTTGTAGTTGTTAGGTAACAAGTGAACACAATAAAACCATTGCAAAACATTTAGGTATATATATATATATATATAATGTCTGACTGCCTGCCTATCTATCCATCTATCTATCTATCTATCTATCTATCTATCTATCTATCTATCTATCTATCTATCTATCTATCTATCTATCTATCTGTCTGTCTGTCTGTCTATCTGTCTGTCTGTCTATCTGTCTATTTATCTGTTTGTCTGTCTGTTTATCTAACTGTCTGTCTATTTAGTTTTTTTTATTCGCTTTGGTACTATTTTCACAAGTAAGGTGTACATTTTCAAAACTCTTAGTACAAAAATCCAAACTGATCACACTTGTAACGCAGCGAGTCATTCTTTCAAAACCTGATGTAATGCTTTCAGTCAGTTGCACATGTTTTCAGTCCACATAATCATTATTTCAAACACAAGATTATTGTAATATGTAATGAGAACATTTGGTTTAATCACTGAAACACAACAATATGATCTTCTTTCAGTTTAGTACTTTTAACAATCAGTTCATCCAACAGCAAACAATGCAAGATACATGTTTCAAATCGGCCTTAGAAGTGCTGAAATGAATATGCTACAGTACAATAAAAGACAGATTACACAGTTTTACTGTAACATTAGGCAATACACTTACAGTACCCAACATTTACATAATCTATAATTTCCAAATATCCATCATATATGTAGGCCTAATCAAATGAAGGATCAATGAAGACATCCTTTACAATCATTTAGGCAAATTATAGTTTTTATTTTTCAGATATAATTGTAATATAGGTATACTTTCTATAATGAAATGTAACTAAAGAAGAACAAAACATAACATTTAGTGCACACATTACAGTACATAGTGGCCAATTGTGGTCAGACTGTGAAAAAAATTGTGAAAAAATAAAAAAATAAAATTAGCTATAACGAGTATTCATCATGTGTGGTTACTGGTTACATGTAATTTAAATATTCATACAAACACACATTTTATTTTTGTAGTTCTCAAAATCCATATACTGTATATTGCTGAAATGAAAATCTATAGGTTTACCAAATGATTAATTAATTAACCATTAAGATCTGTTGGATTAAATAATAGACAAAAGTATTAAACTGAACAAAAAGAGATGCAAATCAAAAGTTTGATAGTAAGAGCTTTATGAAAGGCAGTTACTGTGAATGAAACAATAATGTAGATGAAACACTTATTTTGTGTTGTGAAAAGGATACTTTGTGATTGTGTGAATTGTACTAACACAGTTGAAAACATGATGAAATGTTTGAAAAAAGTGCACTTTTGATGATCTGTTGTGATATTAGCACTAAGAGTTTTGAAAATGTACACCTTACTTGTGAAAACAGTACCAAAGCGAATAAAAAAAACTGTATCTCTCTGTCTACTTATCTGTCTGTCTTTCTATGTATCTGTCTGTCCATCTGTCTATGTATCTGTATGTCTGTCTGTTTACCTGTCTGTCTGTCTATTTATCTGTCTATCTATTTATCTCTCTATATGTCTGTCTGTCTATTTGTCTGTCTGTGTATGTATCTGTCTGTCTATCTATCTGTCTGTCTATCTATATGTCTGTCTGTCTATTTGTCTGTCTGTCTACCATCTGTCTACAATGATTAAGCCAAGCAGAATTGTTTAAGAACTTTTTTCTTACCTGCTCTTCCTCCTCAGCTGCCTTCCTCTAAAAACAAAGTGAACAAATATGAAAATGAGCAAATACATGAGGCAGAAAAACATATTTACTACACAATAATCACACTGTCAACAAGAAAAACCCTAGTAAGGAATCAAACTAGAAGAGATGAGATGGGGAAGCAGGACATTAGATGTTTATTTCAGTTACATAGGAGAGATTACAGAACCTGCATGAAAAAAACAAACTTGAGGTGAATAGATGAGGGTATTATGGATTATTTGGAAGAAGAATGAGCAGCCATGGGAGGAGCAGAAGATGTTTGAGGAGGAATGAGGGTTAATTAGGAGTTTTTATCAGTCAGTTACACTCTCTTCATCTTCTTCTGCGGGTTCCTCCTCTTCCTCATCCTCTTGTTGAGCGTCCGTCTCTACATTCTCGCCCGGGTCCTCCAGCTCTGCTGTGTGTGCGTCTCCGTTTTGCTCAGCCTCCTTGATTTCCTTCTTCTAGAAGAACAAACAAAGCATCCCAGGAAAGGGGAAATTAAAACTGTTATGACACTAAAGGACAAAAGGCACCACGGGATCATGGGTAGTTTTACAACAGGTCCATCAGGATGAAAACAGGAATGAGTAAATGAACTGGGTTTTCGGAAGAACAATCACCAATGAAATTTGAGAAACAGGACTAAGAAAGAAAAGAGGGTTTGTTAGTTAGACAATGTTGCCAAAAATAGTCCTCAAAAGCACATCTATATTTTTTCAAATCAACATTGGAAGAAAAACATTTTCCTCAAACAAACACAGGTACATAGAGTTGTAATTACATAGTTTGTAAGTAATTGCAATTACATAGGGTTGTAATTGCAGTCATGTCTATTTAACTTTGAAATTATTGTCAATCAGAAACATCACATTCTGAGCAAAATGTCTGCATTAAAATTAATTAAAATTGCATTTCTTTTGACTGAACTATTTGAAAAAGTGAGAAAGCATGCCTGATTAAATGTGATTAATAACTCTACAAAAATGCAGTGGATTAAGAGGAACAGCATGCGGAAATGTGGAAATGTTTATATGTGACTGTTTGGAATAGCATACTATCACTGTCAAAAAGATCAATGTGATTACTCAGTTCATGACCCCTTTCATATTTTCATTTTAAACAAATTGAATACACAATTATAATGCTATACTTTGTGTTATACACTCACCTAAAGGATTATTAGGAACACCATACTAATACTGTGTTTGACCCCCTTTCGCCTTCAGAACTGCCTTAATTCTACGTGGCATTGATTCAACAAGGAGCTGAAAGCATTCATTAGAAATGTTGGCCCATATTGATAGGATAGCATCTTGCAGTTGATGGAGATTTGTGGGATGCACGTCCAGGGCACGAAGCTCCCGTTCCACCACATCCCAAAGATACTCTATTGGGTTGAGGTCTGGTGACTGTGGGGGCCATTTTAGTACAGTCAACTCATTGTCCTGTTCAAGAAACCAATTTGAAATGATTCGAGCTTTGTGACATGGTGCATTATCCTGCTGGAAGTAGCCATCAGAGGATGGGGACATGGTGGCCATAAAGTAATGGACATGGTCAGAAACAATGCTCATTTAAACTATGCCTAATTGGCACTAAGGGGCCTAAAGTGTGCCAAGAAAACATCCCCCACACCATTACACCACCACCAGCAGCCTGCACAGTGGTAACAAGGCATGATGGATCCATGTTCTCATTCTGTTTACGCCAAATTCTGACTCTACCATCTGAATGTCTCAACAGAAATCCAGACTCATCAGACCAGCCAACATTTCTCCAGTCTTCAACTTTCCAATTTTGGTGAGCTCTTGCAAACTGTAAGAGCCCCGGAAATGTGAAAAGGGTCAATACATTAAACAAATTCGCAAACGTTAGCCATGCAGGAATTTCTTGCAAATGTACCCTGAACAGTCTACATAATGCTGAAGTAGTATGAGTAGTATACTTATCTGAACATGGTGTTAGGTTACACTCTCAGAAAAAAAATAGTACAAACGCTGTCACTGGGATGGTACCCTTTCAAAAGGTTCTTATATACACCATCTAGGCACTAATATCTACAATATAGGTACTAATATACCTTTAAGGTACTAATATACACCCTTTAGGGGTAAATAAAGTACAAAGCGTCCCTTTTTTTCTGAGAGTGTCAATTGTGATAGACTGGTGAACAAAAACTTAGCAGTATCATAGAGCTGACGAAGGGCATACAATAAAGACGCGTGTCTGGAAATGCACTGGAAGTGAATTTTGGTTAAATATATATAAACCAAAGACTAGAAGAAATTCAATTGGGTATTACTGTTGTGTCATCACCAAGATGGTCCTCTGTGCCAGATCCATTATGAAGCTTTTGTGAATGTTCAGCTTGTTGTGCCTCCTGCACCAAGAGAGATTTTTATTAAAGAACTGGAGAATCAATTCAATCACTGTCAGCAAGGGAAAATTCACCAAAGTTGCTAAAAAAGAGAGGAAAAAGACAGAATTCTACAGTGATATGTGATTCTACATGATTAAGTGTGATTCTACAGACGTTTATCCATCCACCACCAAGGACTTGTCTGGTAATTGTTGTGCTTGATTCAGAGGATGCCAAGGAGCCTGGGATATCTTTACTGGCTGTTGCGTTTCAATCGATTTGAGAATTTCTATGTATTAAGCTTGATGTTTTGGTGGACAAAGGAAAAACATTCGATTTGGGTGTACTTTTGCTGGGCGAATAGTGTCTCAAATATATTTCTCTTTTGTCTCTACTTCTGTATTCTGCTTTACTAAAACTTTTAATAAAGTCATTCATTCAAATATCTGAAGATAGTTGAGGCCTAAAACGGTACCAAAGGGATGTTTGGGTACATGACTGGGAACAAGTGAAAAAAGATTTGGTTGTTATTTGGCCTAGTTGTTAAAGGGATAGTTCACCCAAAATTAATAAAAAATTATGTCATTGTTTACTCACCCTTCATTCACGAAATGAAGACATTTTCTATTAAATCTGAGAGCTTTCTGTCCCTCCATAACCAGCTACGCAACAACAACTTTGACGCTTCAAAAAGTTCAAATTCACATTCTTGCGTAAAACATCGTAACACATGAGAATGTACCTAACTGGTTCTTCCTGAAGCTCAAATTTGCTGTGTAACACGAGAATGATCCTCATTGGTTCTTCCAGAAGCTCAAACGTGCTGCGTAACACGAGAAAGAACCTCATTGGTTCTTGCAGAAGCTCAAACTTTCTGTGTAACACACGAGAATAAACCTCATTGGTTCTTGCAGAAGGTCAAACGTACTGCGTAGGCTTGCTAGGGTAGTCGGTGTTACCGGTGTTCAGTCGCAACACCGGTTTCATGACATGCCCACCGCGGCACCACGGTTGGCATGTGAAAAAACAAAAGTTTAAAGCCTTAAAAATATTGAACGCAATTACGCAGTAGTCGTTAAATCCTGCCTATTAACACACACACACGACCCACAGAAAAGACGCGCGTCGGTATCGAGTTCTCTTTCGGGCTTGAACAAACCGTAACACACAAATTATGCCAAAATGTCCATAAGAGCAGTCTTAAACGAACGTAGAGATTTGTGAGAAAATGGGACGCGTGACAGATCGGCTGTCCGAATTCGCTCACTCGTTTTTACCTACTCCTTCTCATTCACTCCTTCAATTGAGCAGTATTAGTAGACTAATGTAGGTAATAGGCCTAGTAAATGAGGGTTTAGGGGGCGATTTCGGATTCAACCCATGTTCTCGAGAAGTGAAAAATAGAGGACACTGACAACGCATTGACAGACAAGACTGAGCAGGTAATATTTAATATGAAACAGTCTCAACTTTCAAATTTGTTCAGTCAAAGAAAATTAAACGCCTACTGTTTTGTGGCTCTTTAATGTGTCGTGACAGATTGCCTGATAAAGCCAAGTTCCACCGACGTTAATCTATAACTCTCCTGACTGATTTGTCGGACAAAAATGGTGATTTTTCAGATGGTCAGATCACATGTCTGTCAATCAAAAGTTAGTTTCGTTTTCAAACTAGCGCATATTCAGGGCACAATAACAATCCCGCACTACCGCAACATTATGTATGCCCGTGGAAACGTGCGCATTTTACGTTTGCCTTTAAATTAGCGATTTAAAAGCCCACGCCGGTGACACCGGTATTACAGGTGTTTTTACATGTCGATTAACCGGTGAGAAAATATCCTCACCGCCACAACCCTACTGCGTAACACAAGAATGAACCTTATTGCTTCTTTCTAAAGCTCAAACGTGCTGCGTAACATGAGAATGAACCTCATTGGTTCTTGCAGAAGTTCAAACGTGCTGCGTAACATGAGAATGAACCTCATTGGTTCTTGCAGAAGTTCAAACGTGCTGCGTAACATGAGAATGAACCTCATTGGTTCTTGCTGAAGTTCAAACGTGTTGCCTAACACGAGAATGATCCTCATTGGTTCTTGCTGAAGTTCAAACGTGTTGCGTAACAGGAGAACGATCCTCATTGGTTCTTGCTGAAGCTCAAACGTGCTGTGTAACACAAGAATGAACCTCATTGGTTCTTTATGAAGCTCAGACGTGCTGCGTAACAGGAGAGTGAACCTCATTGGTTCTTTCTGAAGCTCAAACGTGCTGCGTAACAGGAGAGTGATCCTCATTGGTTCTTGCTGAAGCTCAAACGTGCTGCGTAACACAAGAATGAACCTCATTGGTTCTTTATGAAGCTCAGACGTGCTGCGTAACACAACAATGAACCTCATTGGTTCTTGCTGAAGCTCAAACGTGCTGCGTAACACGAGAATGATCCTCATTGGTTCTTGCTGAAGCTCAAACGTGATGCGTAACACAAGAATGATCCTCATTGGTTCTTGCTGAAGCTCAAACGTGATGCGTAACACAAGAATGATCCTCATTGGTTCTTGCTGAAGCTCAAACGTGCTGCGTAACACGAGAATGAATCTCATTGGTTCTTGCTGAAGCTCAAACATGCAGCGTAACACTAGAATGAACCTCATTGGTTCTTGCAGAAGCTCAACCGTGCTGCGTAACACGAGAATGATCCTAATTGGTTCTTTCTGAAGCTCAAACGTGCTGCATAACACGAGAATGAACCTCATTGGTTCTTGCTGAGGCTCAAATGTGTTGTGTTGCATGAGAAAGATCCTTTAAAGATTATGTGTATTTTTAGTCATCTTTATTCAGATGCATTTACATTGTCACTGTGCCTCAGATGCAATCAACTCTATCTGTGTCTGTAAAGGTGTGAACCAAATGGCCCATACAGATGTATGGCCCATAGAAAATGATGGGTGTGAATGACAAAGAAGCAACATTGCTCAGAGTAGATTGTAGTGTAGATCATTCTCCTGTGGGAGGTGCTAACCATTTTCTATTGTATGTAGTCCTTTTGTCTTCTTGTATAACGTTCTGCCACATAGACAGAACTTTGGGTTAAGATTTTTTGAAGGCCAACACGCTGACATCACTGCTGAAGAACTGTTGTACACTACTACCTTCAATACATTTTCATTGGTTCTTGGAGGAGCTCAAACGTGCAGCGTAACATGAGACTGAACCTCATTGGTTCTTGCAGGAGTTCAAACGTGCTGCGTAACACATAAGAATGAACCTCATTGATTCTCACACGTCAATGCTTGAGCTTCCGTTTACCACAACTGATGTGTGAGTTGATGGATGTTTATGTATGAATAAAAGCCTAAATTTCATCTGTTCATGTCTCTTCAGAAAATTTGGAATAAAACACTCAATTCACTGGATTAGATTTACAAACTCTTTTAAGGGTAGCTTTCAACAGAGGGACAGAAGGATCTCAGAATTCATCAAAAATATCTTCATTTGTGTTATGAAGATGAGCGAAAGTCTTACGGGTTTGGAACAACATGAGGGTGAGTAAAAATTACAGAATTTTCATTGTTGGGTGAACTATCCCTTTTTACTGGTATCACTTTAAGATACTGCACCAACGTGTTACTGCACCAACAGATCCAGACCAATGCCGACAGTCACCAGTTTACAGTCATTTCAAGACCGGCAATTCAACATGTTCAATCGGCAACAATGAGAGCCAACACACTCATTCAACAAAACCTGAAAAAGTGCCTGTTGCTGTCTGTCGGTGCTGTAAGAATTGGCCTTAAGATGGTTTTCTATCAATCAAGAAAAGCACACAGAAAGAAACTAAAAATACAACAACCTTAGATCCTGGTGGAGGTGTCAGACCCAAAAATTCATAGATTGTGTTGTCCTCTTTGGCATCAAAAAATGTGTCGTAGTCCTGCAATTTAGGATAGGAAACCATCATTAGCATTTTAAAGCAAATAATCAAGCAATTAATGTGTCATTTCTGATGGAATTCAAAGTAATTTTATATTTTTTTTTCTATAAAACATTAGTGGATGGGGACATCTGCTAAATGCATCTGCTAAATGTACCATAAAAGTACCATAAAATGAATGTAGTCGAAGTAAGTTGTTCATATTACTTGATTTAAAATATCATGAAGCCGTACAATAGCTTTTATAGGAGAACTTTTAGTCATTATTCCAACTTTTACATTAACTTTAAGTCATTATTTCAACACAATCTCACTGCGGTTCATAACTATATCACATTTTGGTAAATTGGTGGATAATTCATAAGAATTCATTCAAATTCCAATTCAAGTTCCTCAAAGAAAAAAAAAATTATTCCCTAAAACTGCAAACAATCACGGAATTAAAATCTGAGTTTAATTTATAATGTAATTTATAATACTGTTAACCATAGACATTATTTTCCTCAAAAAAGCTTGAAGCATTTTACAGCCCCTTAGGATATTCCCAATGGAAATTGTATATGGTAAATTTCTTCCAAGTTTTAGTGCTATTAACTATGGAAGCTTGTTTCCGCCATAGAATAAAAAACAAATTAAAAAATAATTGTGACTTTTTATCTCACAAATACGAAGAGAAATGAAGTCAGAATTGTGAGAAATAAAGTCGCAATTGCGAGATATAAAGTTGCAATTCTGAGAAATAAAGTTGCAATTGCAAGAAATATAGTCGCAATTATGAGAAATAAAGTCACAATTGCGAGATATAAAGTCACAATTCTGAGAAATAAAGTTGCAATTGCGAGATATAAAGTCGCAATTATGAGAAATAAAGTCGCAATTGCGATATAAAGTCGCAATTCTGAGAAATAAAGTTGCAATTGCGAGATATAAAGTCGCAATTATGAGAAATAAAGTTGCAATTGCGAGATATAAAGTAGCAATTATGAGAAATAAAAGTCGCAATTGCGATATCAAGTCGCAATTCTGAGAAATAAAGTTGCAATTGTGAGATATAAAGTCGCAATTATGAAAAATAAAGTCGCAATTGCGAGATATAAAGTCGCAATTATGAGAAATAGTCGCGATTGCGAGATATAAAGTCGCAATTATGAAAAATAAAGTCGCAATTGCGAGATATAAAGTCGCAATTCTGAGCAATAAAGTTGCAATTGCGAGATATAAAGTTGCAATTATGAGATATAAAGTCACAATTATGAGAAATAGTCGCAATTGCGAGATATAAAGTGGCAATTATGAGAAATAAAGTCACAATTATGAGATATAAAGTCTCAATTCTGAGAAATAAAGTTGCAATTGCGAGATATTAAGTCGCAATTCTGAGAAATAAAGTTGCAATTGTGAGATATAAAGTAGCAATTATGAGTAATAGTCGCAATTGCGAGATATAAAGTAGCAATTCTGAGAAATAAATTTGCAATTGCGAGATATAAAGTTGCAATTATGAGAAATAGTCGCAATTGCGAGATATAAAGTAGCAATTATGAGAAATAAAGTCGCAATTGCAAGGTATAAAGTCGCAATTATGAGAAATAAAGTCACAATTGCAAGATATAAAGTCGCAATTATGAGAAATAGTCGCAATTGTGAGATAGAAAAGTCGCAATTATGAGAAATAAAGTCGCAATTGTGAGATATAAAGTAGCAATTATGAGAAATAATGTCGCAATTGCAAGATATAAAGTCGCAATTCTGAGAAATAAAGTTGCAATTGCGAGATATAAAGTCGCAATTATGAGAAATAGTCGCAATTGTGAGATAGAAAAGTCGCAATTATGAGAAATAAAGTCGCAATTGTGAGAAATAAAGTTGCAATTGCGAGATATAAAGTACCAATTATAAGAAATAAAGTCACACTGCGAGATATAAAGTCTCAATTCTGAGAAATAAAGTCGCAATTATGAGATATAAAGTCGCAATTATGAGAAATAGTCGCGATTGCGAGATATAAAGTCGCAATTATGAAAAATAAAGTCGCAATTGCGAGATATAAAGTCGCAATTCTGAGCAATAAAGTTGCAATTGCGAGATATAAAGTTGCAATTATGAGATATAAAGTCACAATTATGAGAAATAGTCGCAATTGCGAGATATAAAGTGGCAATTATGAGAAATAAAGTCACAATTGTGAGATATAAAGTCTCAATTCTGAGAAATAAAGTTGCAATTGCGAGATATAAAGTCGCAATTCTGAGAAATAAAGTTGCAATTGTGAGATATAAAGTCGCAATTATGAGTAATAGTCGCAATTGCGAGATATAAAGTAGCAATTCTGAGAAATAAATTTGAAATTGCGAGATATAAAGTTGCAATTATGAGAAATAAAGTCACAATTCCAAGGTATAAAGTCGCAATTATGAGAAATAAAGTCACAATTGCAAGATATAAAGTCGCAATTATGAGAAATAGTCGCAATTGTGAGATAGAAAAGTCGCAATTATGAGAAATAAAGTCGCAATTGTGAGATATAAAGTAGCAATTATGAGAAATAATGTCGCAATTGCAAGATATAAAGTCGCAATTCTGAGAAATAAAGTTGCACTTGCGAGATATAAAGTCGCAATTATGAGAAATAGTCGCAATTGTGAGATAGAAAAGTCGCAATTATGAGAAATAAAGTCGCAATTCTGAGAAATAAAGTTGCAATTGCGAGATATAGTCTTAATTATGGCCAATTCTCAGGGGGACAAAAGACTAACTTTTTCCCCCTCAGAATAGTTTATATCTCACAATTCTGACTTTATATCTCACAATTCTGACTTTATATCACGCAATTGCGACTTTATATCTCGTAATTCTGGCTTTATATCTCACAATTCTGAAAAATAAAGTCAGAATTGCGAGATGTAACCTCGCAATTGTGGGGAAAAAAGTCAGAACTGTGAGATAAAAAGTCGCAATTACCTTTTTTATTTTTCATTCTTTGGCGGAAACAAGCTTCTATAACTAACTGTACAGTTCTTTTGAATACGTTTTTCGTGGGTTTCAGGGTTTAACCTGGATAAACGACTTGTGAAAACGTTTACTCATTAGGTCTTTTAGAAGCGCTGTTTATATAGGAGCCTCTGTTGTAGAAGGTTCTCACCCCACAATACGTCTCCTCATTGAAAATCTGTGGAGGGAGAGGAATTCCAGTGGTGGGCTTCTTTTCTCCAGGGACGTTTTCCCTCATCCACAGCCGGTTGTCCTCATTTGAAGCAATGTCAAGCTGTGCGTAATCGATTTTAAGTGCCTCAAGAAACCCGACAACATCTTGTTGTTTCTTTTTGATCTGTGGTATTAGTAATAAAAAGATTATTGACGTGAATCCCAAGACACTTTCAAAATTCTTCCAAATTCAAAACATATACGTCACACATTCCAGATAGCAGGTCATCATTGTAAACTGCAGTAGATAATGCATTTGACATGTAAACAGTAATGATGTCAGATGATAAACATGTTTCTTTGACATAAACCATAATACATAAAAAACAGAAATGTTTTCAGAATTAAACATTATAATTCAGAGTTTGTTTAAAGTTTGTTTGCTATATTTAAATATAAATGTAAATCTAAATTTGTTGGCGATAACATCACATGAAAACAGTAAAACTGGTCTAATTGCATCCGCTTATGAGAGGACAAACTGTGGTGTTTTTTAATATGCTTTGAGACAAACCATGTGTAAATTCATAAGTCAACACCATTGCTGAGTATTTTCTCCATAAAACTGCAGTGAACCAAAGACAGTCTCAAAAACACGGTCTGAAATCGCTGGTGTTTCTGATGTCACAAACTACCTTGTAACCAATCAGATCAACGTGTGATCGCCAACGAGTGGATCTCTGAGCTGAGTGAGTGGAGGCGGGGCTCAATTGCATATTTATAGAACCGCGTATACTAAATGAGGCAAGGGTTACATTCAAGCTATTTTTCAACAAAAAAAAAAAGCTAAGATATGTAATTTTGGTGATCAAAGATGAGATTTAAGGGATACAATAATTGACTACATGGGGACTTTATCTAAGTAAAAGACCTGAACCAGAAGGTGGTCTAACGTTACATTATCATCCTAAAATTGCATTTGTGTGTGTGTTGAAAATTATAATGTTATCCTATGTGTTAGTTTGTTTGCTATATGAGACTAGCAGTAAGCTAGATCAACATTAGAATAACATACTGATCATATTCTAAATCTTTCATCAATTCTGTCAGGACCACTATCGTATACGATTGACAATTAGCATTCAGTTTGGATTGGGCGGAATGGGCAAGAACTGCAGCCTAGCATGGATAAGAGCAGCAATAGCGCCCCTTAGATATCAATAATTCAAGGTTTTAAAGTACAACATAATGCGAGAATTTATTCTGATTCAGGGGTAATCAGAATGCCAAATCCTGACTAGGCGAGAGGAGGAGCTTGGGATGGAGGAGGGTAATTAGCTCCTGAGAAACGCGATAGCTGCTGATAATACCGAAGGAGCTTATATATGTATACAGCGATAGGTAGGCCTAGATGTGGATCAGCTGAGAGTGACGTGACCTGCAGAACTGACGCAATGCTTGATGTTGAGCCTTTATAACATTGATTCGTTATACATTTGCTCACCTGTCTAATAAACTACATGCTAACTCTGTCAAGCCGAAGTTAGTCACGAACGCGGAGCTCTCGGCATCTCGAAAACGCCACACCGATATTGATCTTCGTTTTATTTCTCCTTTCGTCCCAAAGTTTTGATACAAAATTCTTACATATTGTACCTTTAAAGGTGCAGTATGTAAGATTGACAGCTAGTGGTTGAAATGGATACTGCAGTCTAAATTCCAAACATTGGAGGGAGTTGTTTCCTTCGTCCCCTCCTCATCAGACTCGACACTCACGCTGGTTGCCAATTTGAGGACACTCAACAGAAACAAGCGCAATTGACAATGAAAGCAGAGGTTGATGCGTTGATTTATTGATTTATGATGAGTTAATATCATGTTTTAATATTCTTCCATCCGTAGATATTTTTAGATGGGTGAGGAGGCTTTTTAGATCGGGTCGAATCTGCCATCTATGACCCAGTTTGTTCGCTGGCTTCCATGGCCGTAATACGCTGTGTTTTCCGCCAACTGGCAACCTGTGGTGGCGAAAGACTTTTTGGTAAATTGGCAAACTGCGGTAACGCACAGACCAAAACAAAAACATTCAACACGAAACGCACATTTCAAAGTTAAAAAAAAACTGTCTGCATTGTTTTTCAGAGAAACGAGAATGTGAACTTAACATATTTACTATATCTGCAAACATATTGCGGTGCTTTAGTAGTCAAAAAATTTCAAACAGCACCTTAAAGGTATTTAGCAGTGATTGTCCGGCTTTTCTATTTACAGCGAAGTAGCCTACACAGTATAATAGCATTATAGTAACAATATAATATGTAACGAAAATGCAGTTCATAAATTAAAGTCCCCGTGAACCGGAAGTTGCAAACGATTTTTCTCCAGTGCTGTGACGTATTTCCAAGTGAAACGGAATATTGAACAGAGGGCAGGGTTTTACTCTAGCGCTCCTCCTCTCCATCTCTCGCTCATAGCAAACTAACGGTTTGAGGGGAGTGGTTAAGCGTTTCCCCACCCAAACTGTGAAACCTACGTCATCAGAAAAAGAAACCGTTCCAGACCGGAAGTAACTTTTCAAATTTTGATTAAAGATTACCAAGGTAAAACATTTTTTTAATATATTTTTACGTGCACGGATTAATTGTTAACCACAAGACTAGTAATATGCGCTAACAAAGTAGTTCAATTTTGATTTCACGGGGACTTTAATTAAAAACATAACAAAAGCAGAACACTCTGATGCACATTCCTTGTTCTTCATTTTCTAGAAGTTTAAAAAAAACTCGCTGTATTTTTTATAAAATTAATGAAGAGAAAGTACACCGCCATCTTCCTCTGACGAAAGTGACTACAGACACCTGCCGTCAAAAACACGACTTCCCACCACGTAAACCGACTTCCCAGGAGGACGAATATTAGGCTAGGTTGTAATAACACTCCCTCATTAGACACGGACGCTAATTTACACGGTGGGTAAACCCTTGAACAAGTTAAAACATGACAGTACCCTAACCCTACATTTTTTGTTAGTGATAAAGTTGATTAGATCATTAGTACTGTTATCTTTAAAAAAAAACACTTAAATCAATAAATAAACACGTCCTGCTGAGTAACTCACATCAGTTCTGGAAATTTCATGTTTAAAGAATTAGCATGCTGATTTCTGGAATGTGATCTCAGAGATATTTAAGGAAACTGGCGGAGCTGCATCGGTTATTAGGTCACTCGAGTCGGGATTATTTAAACATGCTTGAGTCAAAACATTTTAGGCTTTAAAATGCATACGCGAAATGATTGGAAATACGCTTTTGGACTATCGATTGGTACATTCCGCAATCTGAATTAAACACAATCGAGCTCAGCGCGCTTCGGCTCATCGACCTGTTGAATGAACGATAACACACACTTGCTGTCCGCTCTCTTACCGCCGTCGATCCCGATGAGGATGCCAGGAAGACTTTAATGACCATTTTGTAGAAGTGTGTGGTTAAATGATCAGGGAAAAGTGTTTAAAGACACAGAGATCCTCCCCCCTTCGGCTGGAAAGCACAGACACCGCGCTTCGGTCTCAGCCTGAACTCTGGTGTCTATTTCTGTCCTCAGGGCATCATTGGCGCGTTGGTCCCCGGTTTGTCCCAGTTTTGTCTGAGTGATTGGCGATTTCAGCTGTCTGTCCACATCAGGAGCTGCTAAAGTTAGGGTAACGACCAGCATATATGGGCAGAGATGCTGTTTCGGCAGAGAAACGTGCAATTTGCATTGACAACAACAAAAAAAGTGTAGTGAATATTACCTTCATGTTGTTGACTGCAACTCTGAGGCTACGAGTTGGTGCTGTTTAAAAACGGGTCAGTAGTTACTATACTGCTAATCATCACTGTTAATATTGCTTATCGTTTTGAAAATTACACATTCAAACTGGAAAGTTACCACCGTTGAGGGAAATGAGTGAATGTGGTCCCAGGCCCCGTGATGAGGGGTCCTAAGAGGTCTTGTAAAGTGTTGGCTATCTGGGAAGAGAGACCCTACCCATTAAAATTTTGTCCTGGGATCAGACTGTCATGGTTGAGAATGGGTGCTTTTAACTCTGGACAACAAGAAACTAGCAATGCTCTTCTACAATGACCCAGAACACCCAACAAAACTCAGCTAACAACTTGCCAGGACGCATTAAATGTCCAAATTAATATTAACTAAGATTAATAAATGCTGAAGAAGTATTGTTTGTGTTAACTGGGGTAGGCTAGCTGACTAATTTTAATAATGCACCTTATTGTAAATGTTACCAAAACTCCTATTGCATGTTTAAATGTAATAACTTGCTGTTCCTGATGATGTCACTAAGGCCTCACAAAAAGCTATTAAATCATTTGACAAATCAAACTTGCACTTGGTTTGACTGGATTCTTGTATATTTGAGTAATGCCCTCTTTTCATGATCCCCATTGAATAAAATAAGATGCCCATTTCACAAAATTGAACCTTTTTATTATTCTTGGTCTTAATCGGAACACATTAAAAAAATGTCTTTAAATATTAACATTATCAACATTTAATAACGCTGTGCTTTCTTGGTTTTCTTTTTATTAGACAGACCATTGAAGGGTTGAGACATGGGGATATGGCATACGGTAACGCAACAAGGCAGTCTGACTCAAAACTGTGTCTGAAAAAATGTGCAGTTCTTACATTCTTTATTCTTAAAAAATATTTTTATTCTACATTCTCTGATTGCATTAGTTGACATTTCGAGTGTCAGCGACACAAAACTAGAACAAGGCACACCAGGATCGAAAAACTGCAACTTACTGTATACAATCAGTGTCTTCTTTTTTCTTCCTAAAAATGAGCTAAAATGTTGCATTTTACAAAAGTATAACCAGGTGTTTTGTGTGAAGTGCACAAGGCCTGTACATACAGCAAATGGATCATGCGTGTGGATCAAAATGGATCAAACGGGTGTTACAATGACATGTCTTATCATATTACATAGAAACAAACCAAATAAAAGTAGCAAGAACAGGTTTTTGAACAATTTGATATCTGGATGTCACTCAAAACATGTCTCGATCCCAAAAGCGCACAAAGACATGCACAAAACTTGAAAAGGCTGCAAAATTATTGCTGAAGTGTTCATGAATTCCTGAATGAAACAGGCAATACTAAAAGAGAAAACACAAACTATGAAAGGAAACTGAACAAGAATAGTGTTCATGAATGATTAACATGGAGGAAATCACTGCTACCAAAAACTAAAACATAGAAGCATTTGTCCAAGATCATCTGGATGTGCCACAAAGCTTCTAGGAAAATGTTCTGTGGACAATTAAGAAAAAAAAGTTACCTTTTTTTACTGTTAAAACCTCTTTTTAGACCCAAATCACACAAGTAAACCAACTAAAGAATGCCTTCTCTGCTAAAGTGGGATCGAGGAGTTACTAAATTCATTCTTTTTTCACCCTGCACTGGGAATGATTACTTAGTATATCCAATAAAACTGTTTGTGTTATTAGCTTAGCCAGAACTGAACAAATTTGATGAGTAATCGATGTTAATCCTCCAGTTATTTCCAAAGGGTTCCTAAACATATTCTTGTTGAAGCAATAAAACTCACATACCTCATTTTCACATTTATTAATTCATGGACATTTTCTTTTTGTAATACAATCAATAAATAGATTAGTAACATTGACCAAAAAAAAACTGTAACACCAAAGCAAGCCCAAATATACAATTATGGTACAAGTAATAAATAAACAATCTTTTGATGGTATCAACTTATATCATAAAGCTTAAACCAGTGTTTTGCCATTTGTTAGGAATGTTCACATGTCAGCATTTTTCCAACAAAATGCAAATAAAACATTTTAACGTCATTAAACAAGAAATTGACTTGAACTGTTTAACGGAACAGCGAATGGTATTTTTGTTTAATTAAAAGAATCAGTGAGATCAGGCCAGATGTCTTGAGCCCTGCTCTTGTTTAGGCCACTCATGAAAATCCAGTGACTGTGTGTGTATTGATGTTGATATGAAGCGGTTAGTTTAACTGATGGCGTGTAGGACGATGGCCACCACCTTGTTGCAGACAACTAGCCAGCATGTGATTCCAACACCACCTAAGAAAAACCAGGGGAAAAAACACTTTATAACACTAAATTCCATGCCGTTATATTTATTAGGGCTGTCAAACGATTAATCGAGATTAATCGCATCCAAAATAAAAGTTTGTGTTTACATAATATGTGTGGGTGCACTGTGTATAATTATTTTGTATATATAAATACACACACATGATTGTATATATTTGAGAAATATTATAAATATAAATAATTAAATATAAATATTTTATATATAAATAATATACATGCATGTGTGTGTATTATATATATATATATATATATATATATACATATACATATATATATATAAAATAATTATACACAGTGCACCCACATATATATTATGTAAACACAACCTTTTATTTTCGATGCGATTAATCGTTTGACAGCCCTAATATTTATTTTATCCAGATGGCATTAATGCGTTTAGATATAGACTTTTAAATCAATAATTTATCCCACTATCCCATCAAAGTGGCCATCAAATACTGGGACATACCTGCAACTCCAGAAGGAAAGGCTACTAGTCTCTCCAGCGGAGCAATCCATTTACTGGGCACAACTGTGACCGGATCTGCGTAATACTTCAATATGAGTGAGATCATGACGACCGCCTAACAATACACAGTAGAAAACAGATCATGTCATTATGAGAGAAATGCACAATGCAGAAACACGCATCATATTAACACTGCATGACATATAAAAAAAATGAATTTCTTGAAATGGAACAATTCATTCAACATTTAGACAAAATCTAAAAATGTAGTATCTTCAATGAGTTTTTTAAATCAGCAGACTACTAACATAAAATGCATTTAAATAATAAATACCAGTTGTCACTCTACACGATTTTTCTAGAACATGATGTACGGGCAATGTTGCTTCAGTCCAGAAAATGTTCTAGAAATATTAATAAGAATATATAAAATTATTTTTGTGTTTACCTCAGATTTTTTTTTTGGGGGCAAAAATAGGCATGGAGCATGGTCTGAAGGCGGATGCTTTTACGATAGAGGGTATGCGTGTGATGTCACCGTCGCCCGAGTGCCTGCAGTTCCTCACAGTGAGTGGCAAAAAGACTGAGCGGCTGTATTTGTTTTCAGCGTGAATTCCGCGAAAAACAAACACAACACATATAAAGTGGGAAAGAGCTTTGCGATTGACTGTACAACTTGATTTGACAAAAAAAATCAGAGGTATATTTTTACAGACTGCTATAGAAAGAGGAGCAAATGGATCGCTGCAATTCACAGAAACAACTGGACTCCAGTCAGCAAAAGGTGGATTTGCAGTTATTATTCTGTGTGAATATGCTGAATTTAGCTGTAAAACCATACCCATATATTTTATATTGTTATATATATATTAACAACTCATCAATTAAATATTTATCATTGCAGTTTCTGCATTATTGGATGTTTTTTAATAAACACTGACAAAAAAAACTATAAAGTTTTAGGGCTGGACGATATGATGATATATATAGGCTATATATAACACTGATATAAGATTTAGACCTACCTATATTGTATTTATATAAAGCGTTCACAGGCAAATTTGCTTTCTGTTTAGGTCTATATTGCTTTTATTTCCCCGGTGTGGAAATCAGGCAAACATAAATGTCAGGCAACACGATTCCTGGCTGCATGTCAATATCCATGGATCACTGGAGCTTTAGTAAGTTGTAAGGAACACTATATTGAGTCCAACATTTACTTTAAATTGATAAAATTGTTCGTTTTAGTCGCATTTTCCCCTATTAAATCCAGCCACGCAGCAGATCTTTTGCCACTCAGTCAGGCTGAGGGGGGTTGTTCCGGCGGGAAAGTGACGTCAATGCATTCCCTCTATTTTACTAAACGGCCTATTACTTATATTGTGTAGGTTTATCAGCAAAATTGATCAGGTTAAAATTTACATATCAAATACAATACAGTAGGCTTCATGGGGTTAATAATATGCAAATTAAAAATGCTCCAAACTCACCTGAGAAATGTAAAATACAATATTCACAATCCATTTCATTTTGGCTTGTTGCGCAGTTCTGGATTTGACTGTAAAGAAGAAGAAGAAGAATATTAACAAAACGCCTCAGCGAATTTCTATAGACCATTTCACAAGATGTAAACAACACTGGTCCAGAAACACTTCCTGTTTCAGTTTGTAACTGTTTTCTTTATTTCACATGTAAAGAAAACATCTTAAAGATGTTTGTTTAAGTTTTTGATTCAGTTTTAAATGTTCTGTTGGTTGTATTTTATCCCAGCTTTTATGTAGTGTTAAAAAACTGAAACAGGAAGTGCTTCTGGACCAGTGTTGTTTACATCTTGTGAAATGGTCTATATTTCTCAAATCCAGTCCCAGAGGGCCACAACCCTGCAGAGTTTCGGTCAAACCCTGCACCTGACTGTCATTTTCCAGCAACTCAGAAGGGAAGTTAAAATACTTAAATACTTTAATACAGCCCATTTAATGTGATTGGTTATCTAGGCACACGTGATCCAAGATGGCCATTACACTTTCTCCAATGGTAGAGCCAATAATAAGATCATCTCTGTGTCTGAAGACTTTGCAGGGTAGTGTTCTTCCCTAAACCCTGCTTTAAAATGAATCATTTATTCATGTCCAACCCTGCTGGTATTCTCAAGTGCTCCTGAAGATCTTAATCAGCAGCTTCATGAGTTTGATCAGAGCTGAACTTTACAGAAAAGCAGTTCTCCAGGAAGAGGATTGGGCACTCATGAGATTTCCACATATTATTCATGTAAATGTTGGTCTGTTGCTCATAACATAAGAGTCATGTGAGCTACATTCAGGGTGCATTTTTGTTCTTTTGGAGGCCAACAGTGTGAATCCCTGTTTACATGGTCAGGTTCTACAGATGTAGACAATGAGACTACACACACGGATCAAAACCATTTTAGACTTTGGATGTCATATCTCACCCTCATGTCACTCCAAACCCATAAAACTTATACTTCTTCATCTTCAAAACACAAATGATTAAGTTTTCTGTCTCTCTTTTGAAAGTCATATGCCACCCAATACTGAGCTAAATGGGTGGAATTTAGAAATCCAATACCAAGAGATTTAATTCAGGTCTTCTAAAGAGACACAACACTTTATATGATGAACAGAGTAAATTTAGTCTTTTTATTCTCATATAAACATTAATCCACATACGTAGATCACATCAAACATGGTAAAAAGAAACTGAAACATGTTTGCTTAAAGCACAAGAACCAATTAAATGCATTATAATTACAGATATCACAAACAAGCTACAAACAAGCACAACAATTTATTTTAAATCACAAATTTTTATCAGAAAATGCTATTACCGGTAGTTTTTATTCCCCAAATAGTGTAGCCCTGGTATAAAGTGACTGTATCTCTTCAGGACACTTGGATTAAACAACTAAATTCATACAATTTCAATGGAGGGACAGAAATCTCTCAGGATTCATTCATAGTCTCTTCATTGGTGTTTCGGAGATGAACAAGTCCTATGGGACTGGATTGAATAATTGATGATATAATTTTAATTTTGGGGTAAACTAACCCTTTAACAAGTTATAACCATGGTTTACTCCAATAACTGTGGCTACACTAAACATGAAGGACAGCGACAGGCGGCAGCCAGGCCATTTGTCTTCCTTCATGAATACTGAAGCCGTTATCTGAAACCCACCTGCCATTTTCCACACTTGGCTTTTGTGAAGAGAAGAAACTTTTGGTTCCTCAGTTTTCACCCTACTATAAAGTGGACAAGGGCGATCAAACAAACTAGCTCACCAAAGCCATTTTGGAGAGTTTCATGCTAGTTTGAGCTTCATCAGATGTGCCGCCGGCTGTAAACATCTTAACACTTGCTGCCCTTTGCTCCTTGTTTTCAATATATCAATATTACACAATTTGTGACACATTTTGGCTGTTTTGTGGGCTTCTTTCGGTGTTGTGCTGGTTAGAAATCAATCATTATCTTGTCACCTCATCTGCAATCTTGCTGCACATGCACCTATAAAGAGTCACAAAAACTTCATGAGATTGTGTTTACCTAGAGTTTTCAGTTGATCAGTCATCTTGTTGATCTTGCGTTCCAGTCTAGCATATCTGGCAAACTCGTCCATCATGTTGATGCTGGACAGCTCCATCCTCATGTTCTGGATCTCAGTCCTCATCTCAATCTCCTGATCAGCATCTTTATGGAAGATCTTCAACAGCTATGCGAACAAACACAAAATCTTATAATGTTACATGTGCTCATTCATTTTAGATGCATTCAAATGTACTCAGATTTTACGCTAAATATCCCCAAAAAAGGGATTCAAAAGGGAGATTTGTTGTTATTACTGATGATCTAAGAAGTTCGTTTTCAACAAAGAATAAAAACATTAAAAATGTCATTTTGCAATGTTTCTCTCACAATTCTGACTTTTTTTCTCTCAATTACGAGTTTGTATCTCAGTTTTGACTTTCTTCCCATCTCTGAATTACGAGTTTATCTCACAATTTAAATTTTTTCCTCGCAATTCAGTTGTTTATTCTCTGAATTCTGAGTTTAGATCTTAAAATTCAGTTTTTTGCCACGGAATAACAAAATAAAAAGCTAATTGCAACTTTATCTCACAGTTGACTACTTTTCCCCCCTCACATTTTTATCTCTATATCACTTTTATATGACTTTACAATGACAACAATAATCTAAACATTAAAAAAAAACAGACATTAGCATGTTTTTGAATATGGTATGTTGTTTTTTGGACATGGTACGAGCATGTTGGAGCATGAAATGGCAAGTTACATTATGATCATCAAGGCATTGCCTGATACATCATAGAATGGCACTTTTTATTGGTTTGTGAAAATATTAATACGTCCACATCAAACGTTTGTTTGGTCCTAGTCCAACTGACCGCTAGTTGGTGTTAACGAATGAGATTTACTTAGTAAAAGCTAAAGAATGGTGGTAGTTTAACAGAGCACCTTTGTTTGCTGTGACTACATGAAGCTCCTGTAGGGGTACTAGCAGACACGCTGTAACACCGAGCATTATAATGGCGTCACATCACGACGAATATACTTTTGAAAATATAGATGTGCTTAAACGTCCCTAAAACCGTTTTGAATCAATACTTACAAATGAAGAAATGGATGGCAGGAGTGTTTTGACGAGGTTGCACAGAAACACACAGCTCAGTACAAGGAACCAGTTAAACCCGGCAGCCATTTTCTTTTCATCACCCTGATCCTCCCCCAATAATACAAACACTGTCTTTAAACGATTCACGTTACATGTTTAACATAATACTTATATAATCTAAAAAAATATGCAACATTACACCTGAAAATATAATGTTTATTAGACAAGGGCGTTTTTTTCTTTCTTAGGCGACGTGTTTCTTTAAATGCATTAAATTGTCTGCAAAGCATGAATATCTATAACCAATGCATTATGGAACCAATGCTAAAAATATATTAACATGCTTAGGTGCTAACTGAAACAACAAATACAGAAAGTGGCGCCTAAAGTACAGATACAAGCAAATCTGTGATTGACATCTCAACCTATCCACACGGGCACTTTGCTTTGGTTTGAAATGTGGTTGCCAGGACGTTTCAGCCAATCACCGCCGAGAAGGGGCGGAGCGTAGCTCGCATCAGGTTAGAGCTATAGTGGAAAGAATATAGAAAGGGGAGATCCAATCCGGTTTCAGCTAGTTTCTGTTCCGACAGAACATTAATGCTTGCTTCAGTGTTTCCTAGACCTGGTTTTTACTCTTTACTTACCAGTGTGTAAGCTATTTTAATTTATTTTCCCTTTTTGTACTAAAAGCACACAAGCTTTGAGCAGCCATGCCGAAAAGGAGCAAAGTAAGTTCAACATTTTTGGATATTTTCATTCTGGTTTATAATGTGTGATTTTAAAAGCATGCAATAATTAAATATGCACGCTTTATGTGAAGTTATATGAGTGTTTACTGCATTTGTGCATGTGTTAATTCGTAATCTAGGGCAGGCGAGTCGGTATCATGAATCTGGCGCCTTTTTACTTAGACTGTGTCGACTGCGAGTGGATGTTTAATTTTTATTATATATAAAAAAAATCATATTCTAAAGCGCATTCTCGCCTTATTTAACATTAAAGATATATATAAAAAAATAATAATCACACAAAGGGGTGTAACCTCGTAATGTTCGAGCATGTTATTCCTTATGGAGAACAGCTTGTCCATTTTAACTGCGGTGTTTTCTGATCTTTATAACAGTATACATGCGAATTAATGAAAGTTGTATGTTTGAAGACATCGTGAGGTCTTTGTTAGGCCCCTGTGTAACTGTAAATACATGTGTAACGTTAGTTGTGTGCGAATCCATATGGTCCTCGAGTAGGACACACACACACCTTAGTCTTGAGAGTCATGGCTGTCTTACTAAAACACGTTTCATGCCTTATATTCAAATGAGTTTGTTTCATATAACGGAGTATTTCCGTGACTGTATTTTTCATTTGACCTTTGAAACGGACTTTGTTAAGTGCATTAAGAAAGTTTTCACCGACTTTATTCACGTTTTATTTAACTACTAAAGGAAAGCTCGACGCCAAAGCTGGTTTATGTTCACAAACTTAGGCGGAATGTGTCGATTTTACCGTGTTTGCTCGTGGATTGTGTATTGGGGGCGGAGCTAATGTTCCCCTCCTCCCTTCGACACGGACATTTGTCGTTAATAATAAAACATCGCTAATAATACGTTAGCTACGCCCCGCAAATCTGCCGTAAATAAGCGCGCTGTCGTAACCTACGCCGTCTGGTAGTTCTGTTTACTTTTATTTTATTTCGCTGTTTTCTCGACGGATGAAGGAATTGGATTGCATATATGACGCTGCACGGGACCCCTCCCCCACATGCACTTTTAGATTACATAATTGCACATAACTTGGAGGGGGTGTGTGGGGTAATACACCTCCCCCTCAGTCAGCCATGTACACATACTAACAGTGTGTTTCCTCTTCTACAGGCTAACAATGACACTGAAGCAGCCGGGGTGAGTCTCAGTCCATATCACTGGTAACGTCACATGTGGAGGGTTCATCGGGGCTAAAGGCACACACCTTGAGTACAGTGAGGTTTTCACTACTCGCATAGTGTATGAGTGCAGAAAGTATATATAAAGTGTATAACATTTATAGAGCGATAGATTTTGTGTAAATATATCGTACATTTTATTTAAATGATTTATTGCATTTATTTTGTTTAAAAATCTTCTAAATGTATGAGATGGTGGAGTAAAATGCTGGTCAAGCATGGGGTGAAATACACACATTATTTATATAAATAGTACTAAGTTAATACTTGTTCAAAACGATCACTTTTTTAATATTAATTTTTGTTCAGTAAATATACTGTCATTAAAATCGTTATATTAAAATATATTCTAAGAATACAGAAACCAAATTCTGAAAGCATTGAAGGAGATCCCATAATAATTTAATATAGATTTACAGTAGTAAACATCAGTGATATTTTATTATATGATTAATATCATATGTTTCTGCTGTGAAACTATTAATCGCATCCAAAATAAAAGTTTGTGTTTACATAAAATGTGTGTGTACTGTGTATAATTATTTTGTATGTAAATATACACGCATGAATGTATATATTTAAGATTTTATATATAATTATATATAAATAAAAAATCTTAAATATAAACATGTGTGTGTGTGTTATATATAAGGATGTGGGCATCCTATTTTGGATGTGATTAATCATTTCACAGCCCTACACCCAACTATATATCATATTTCATATCTGAATCTAACCATGTCAACAAATAGAAAAGTCAGATAGATGTTTATTATGGTGTCTTTTACCCAAATACTATACTTTTAGAAATTCTTCCATTATTAAAAAAAACTGTTGCTTTAATTACCTTTAATCTTAGTTCCTTTAATCAGTTGCTACTAAAATCTTCAACATTTACAAAAATCATTAAATATTAGATCAAATTAGCGGCAAATCAACTTTGCGTTGACAAATTTCCACGTTTATCTTGAAAAGCGGGTGTTTTGGAAAGTGCTGTGGCAAGTTTTTGCCATCTAGTGGTTTAGAGGAAAATCAAATAAAATGTGCCTTAGCCCCGTCGTACCATATAACATTTGGTTATACCATATAACACAGTTTATCATACAACTCTGATGCTTAATGCCTGTTTTCTTTTATTGCCTTCCCCTCTTGTCCTCATCCAATAATCCCACAGCCCAAAAGACGGTCTGAGAGACTTCAAGGGGTAAGTTGGTTTTGTCAGTCCCGCTGATTTCATATTTCCACGATTGGTGATGCACATGGCTTACGCTGAACTTCTGTTTTACAGAAACCCCAAACGACAAAGTCTGAGGCCAAGGCCAAGCCAAAGGTAAATCAGTTACCCAAACGAGCTTTATTAGTCTCAGTGAATGTTATGGGCAACAGCTTAACCGTGTGTTTTCTGGAACCTCACAGAAGGCGGCGCCTGCAAGGGGCAAGAAGGCCAAGGATGTAGAAAAGGCCAAACCAGAGGAGAAGAAAGAGGACGCCAAGCCCGAGGAGGAAACCACAGCGGAGAACGGAGAGACCAAAGCTGATGAAGTGAGTTTCCATTTCACACTGAGGTCCTGTGTGAGATTGCCTGGTTTTATCTGTGGCTAAGGTTGTTTGTTTGTTACAGGAGGACAACGGCGAGGAAGAAGAAGAGGAGGCCGACCAGAAAGAGGGAGCTGCTAAATAACGTAGATCACCAGAGCTCCAATACCTCTTTTCTTGTACAATACAGAGGAATATTTTTATTGACTATTTTCTAAAAAACAAAAGAAAAAAAAAGGGCAGGTTTTTAGTAGTTCAATATTAGAAGCTCATTTTATAGATGACGTTCGAGAGAAAAGCCTTAGAAGAGGGATCCCATCTTTTCCCACTCCAGTTTTTCCTGAAGATTTGCAGTCATGAAACAACTAATGACTACTTGTTATTGTTTTTATTTTTCTAACTCTGTTTTGTTTTTAAAGAAGGGAGGGGAGCGGGAACAGGTTGCGACGGATGATGCGATCGTGTCATTTTTAAAACTTTAAAAACTGGGAGTGTGTGCCTGAGACACTAACATTCCAAAGGCAACGTGACGGACGTCTGTGTGTAGCCCGTATTGTATGGGAAGGGGGTTCTTTGTTTTCTGGTTGGTTTGTTTTTATTGTAAGCTGTATTCTATCAATTGAAACCTCTTTATTCGAACCGTTTTATGAATCAACCGCTTTGAACAATGATTCTGCTCACTAGTACTGGAACACTCATCAGATTTGTGTTTTACATTGACTTTTGTCTCTGTGTGGTGATAGCATTGCAATAACGTTGTTGTATAGCTGCTGTGAAAAGGTTTTCATAATGTCTATATGCAGTATGTGATGGTACTTTAAGAGGATGAAAAATGGAATCGTGTGTGTTAGCAAAGCTAATGACAGAGCTGTGTTACAGTGTTAAACATGCAGGTTGTAGCTTATGTTATAAGAAAATTACTGTAATTTCTTTCACGTGAACATGCCAGCAGTAGCTATATCACTCAAGGTTTTTAGGTTAAATGTACAGTTTCTTTTTTTATTTCCTTTTTTTAATGTAGCTGTCTCTGTAATGAGTGGTATGATATGCCAATAAAATGGGTGTTATATTTCACCATGATTTTTTTTTTGCCCTATTGTTTTCCTTTCTATGATTAATAATAGAACAAAAGATTCAAAATCCAATAGATGAAAGCCAGGTGTAAAGGAACTGCTAGAAAAGTCATACTTTATTGACATTCTTGCATTTTAATCTATAATATTGTGTAATATTTCATATTATTGGCTAGAAATTGCTCATTGGGAGCTTATATGAATATATAAATTAATTTGTCAAAATGTGGGAGCCCTTCAGTCTATTGTCCTTGAAATATTTTAACATTTAGATATTTGAAAATAAATCTGATTATAAACTCTTCATTTGATGGGAATCCTTATTTCACTGTTCTTCATATATCTTAGTATATGTGTCGTTTGCATTGCCATTTGTTGATTTTTTTTATTTGAAGATAATTAAGAACATGGCCCCATTATATGACATTAAATTCATTTTAATGGGAATTTCTGTGTGTGTGTGTGAGAGGATGTTCAATGGTCTCATCTCTTCATGTGTGTGTGTGTTCTGGATTGTGCCAGGTTTTATATATATTTAAAAAAAAAAAAACATATTACACCATTTCCCATTCAATCATATGGGGGTTGAATTGACCCGAGGGATTCTGCGAGGAGAGGATTTGATTTCTATTACAACCACAAATAATCCTTGAATTCAGTCTATATGTTTTCGAATTGTAAATGTGACAATGTCTTGCACCACACCGATGAACACTTCATTAAAATTTCAGAGCCAGAAGTACACATCAGAAGAGTGCATTTGTATTCATAGTGAATCTAATCAGAGTTTCTTATGTTTTCTGTGATAAGGAGATAAAACATCCATGTTATTTAGGAATTAGGGTCTACATTTTTGGAAGCTTTTATTTTAGTGTCTTAAAAGTCAGGCTGAAAGTATGTGACCATTATACATAAACACGTCCGGTCGACAGCATTGTAATCATCATTTAATCAACACTTTGCACTAGCTATGAATTTTGTTCATATCATATTAAAATACAACATTATAAAAGTGTAAGAGATTCACCACAGTGGTCTATAGATATGTGGGCACTCAAGATGCATTTAAAATGTCTTTATGTCCACATAATATGATTTAAGGATGCATGTCAGTGACCGTTTCCTCAAGCAATTGCAGGTGTAGTTCCACCCACCCAGTAACAAAGGACAGAGTAAATGTGACTAGCAACCAGAATGTCTATTTCTATTGCACTTTTCACAATCTTCTGTTGTTTCAAAGCAGTTGTACAGCAAATCACAATGCTAATGAATGTAATATATGAAGATAAGTGCCTTAAATGTGCCTTATACATTTTAACAGATTACTGCTGGGTTTACATATAGTTTACATTTTAAAATGATATGAACAATCAAGAATTTGAGATTTGGCATATAGTATCGCTTTTACATGAAAGCGCGGTCTGTATGTGGGTAAAGTCGGATATACTTATACATCCAACTTTATATATCTGTTTATATAACAGTTATAAACAATATATGATCAGCAATGGGAACTGCATCATCTTTATTATTTAAAACCAAACAAGCCTATTTTGGTGAAGGTTTTGCATTAATAGTATGCTTGCCCTCTTGAAAATAAGTCACTTGATTTGATGTTTTGTTTATCATGCACAGACACTGATACACTTGAAATGTATGCACCTGCCTTTTGATTTAAAAAAAAGTTAGAAGACAAAAGACCGAAAGGATGGGGATATATTTGCATTGTTCTACCTCAGAATCAATATCTGTTTCTGTCAGTGGGCATATATGTGTTTATCAAGTAACGTTACATTCGGCAAAATTTAATATCACATACATCCCGCAAGCTTGTAATAATAAGTAGGGGTGGTGAAAGTTAGTCGTTTGCATATCTTTAAATATTCAAACCATCAGGTTCTCGGACTGTTTTATAGACAAAAGATAAACGGTTTCTACTGTCGCCATTCAACGTGACGTCATGAACAAGCCGCTCGACCTTCCTTGAACATGAACGCGCGTTTTCGTCGTTCTTCGAGGAAAGGGTTTGCTTTTAACGGCACGACAATAAACGTTTCGACATGAACATTCATTGAACGTTTGTGTTTTTAAACCTCCGCGTGGCTTCTGTTTTGCTGAAGGAGAAGACGAGCGGTTGAACCCCCTCCCCCTGTTTCCGGTGCTCAGCCGGAAGTAGCTATGATGAGCTCAGGCCTCATACTTCCAATGGCGACCGAAAACTGGCCGAACAGAAAGCGGGAGCAATCGTGGAGGGGTACGAAGCGTACAATCGACATTAAATAATTATATAATTTACAAACTACACATAAAGTTCGTCTCCTAACACCGTATTTTTTGAGCTATGGCCGATCCTGCAGCCAGAAATGGGAGTATTTCGCCCCTTGAATCGGGTAAGCCACAAAAAAGTAGCATTTAGGAATATTAATAACAGGTACTTTATAGCTTCTGTGTCGCAAATCCAATAATAAACGGTGTCCTTTCGCAGAGTTGTATTACTTGATATCGCGCTATTTGAGCACGGGGCCGTGTCGGAAAGCGGCCGAGGTGAGTTGACTTGAGTCGTCGAGACTTTAATGCGAGAATTGTGTGTTTTAAACGATGCTCGTGTTGAACTGAGCTGGTTCTCATCTGTTGCAGGCTCTCGTGTGTGAGCTGGAGGAAAACCAGGTGTGTTGCTCGAGTACTTTATGTCCGTCAGTCCGTGTGTTGTTTGACTCCCTCTTGGATTGAAACATGGATTCGGCGATATGCTACGTTTCATTATCTCTTGCCTTGAACTTTGTTTACATTTTTTTTTGGCTTGTGTTATTAATAAGAAAACTTGGCGTGAGTCCCTTTCCTTTCACGTTTCTCATTAACCCGGCTTATTTTATTTGTTGGTAGCTCCTTCCACGTCGGCTGGATTGGGAAGGAAATGAACACCCACGATCTTATGAAGATTTGGTAAGTGTTTTGATTTTTTTTCTGGAGCATGTGCATGGTGTGTGTTTAATTCTCACACGTGTGTTTGTTTTGTGACCGAATTATGCTCGACTTTAAATGACAGGCATCTGAATTTTTTCCTTCCGTTTTGTTATACATGCGTATTATCTTTGACAACTTTGATTTGCTCGTAAAGCGTTATTATTGCGAGCGGTTCTTGGGGGTTCTCTGTGTTTTGACTGCTTCCCTATTATTTAGTGCTGTATTGCAGTTAGGGTGGGGCCTCGTCGGGTTGTGGTTACGTCACGATATTAAATCGTCCAATCAGATATCAGGACTCGCTGTCGGCTTTTTATTTTGCATGTGACCTGCACTCTGATTGGCCGATAAAATGACATGATTTGCATAAACTCCTTGCACTCAGCCGCATGAGACGGGCTTTTATTGATGTTTTCCTGAGGGGTCGCGACCACAGTCAGTTATCTTAACCGTTTAAATTGACATAATTTAACAAAACAGCTACTTAAAATTAGAAAATTAGTCTGTTTGATTGGTTAAAAGCACATTGCGACGCCAGAAATCTGATACATCCACTAAGAAAAGAAGAAAAAGGAAAAATGGGATTACCTCAGGTGCAAAAAAGGGCAATATACTTAGTGTTAAGGACCGGTATTGCTGTTATAAATAATTAAATTTTTGTATTTTGGCCCCACTTTATATAGCTTACTATGTACTAAGATTTAAATTAATAATTTGATATAATGCACTTATTGTGTTCATGTTTTTAAACATTGTACTTGTATTTAATGTACAAGTGCATATGATTACATCTGTATTTACATCTTTAATTACAACCCGAATTCCAGAAAAGTTGGGACGTTTTTTAAATTTGAATAAAATTAAAACTATACGACTTTCAAATCACATGAGCCAATATTTTATTCACAATAGAACATAGATAACATAACAAATGTTTAAACGGAGAAATTGTACACTTTTATCCACTAAATGAGCTCATTTCAAATTTGATGCCTGCTACATGTCTCAAAATAGTTGGGACGGGGACACGTTTACCATGGTTGCAACATCTCCTCTTCTTTTCAAAACAGTATGAAGACGTCTGGGCATCGAGTTTATGAGTGTCTGGAGTTTTGGTGTTGGAATTTGGTCCCATTCTTGCCTTATATAGGTTTCCAGCTGCTGAAGTGTTCGTGGTCGCCTTTGACGCATTTTTCGTTTAATGATGCGCCAAATGTTCTCTATAGGTGAAAGATCTGGACTGCAGGCAAGGCCAATTCAGAACCCGGACTCTTCTACGACGAAGCCATGCTGTTGTAATATCTGCAGTATGTGGTTTTGCATTGTCCTGCTGAAATACACAAGGCCTTCCCTGAAATAGACGTTGTCTGGAGGGGAGCATATGTTGCTCTAAAACCTTTATATAGCTTTCAGCATTCATAGTGCCTCCCAAAACATGCAAGCTGCCCATACCGTATGCACTTATGCACCCCCATACCATCAGAGATGCTGGCTTTTGAACTGAACGCTGATAACACGATGGAAGGTCTCCCTCTTCTTTTGTCCGGAGGACACGGCGTCCGTGATTTCCAACAAAAATGTCAAATTTGGACTCGTTTGACCATAGAATACTTTTCCACTTTGAAATAGTCCATTTTAAATGAGCCTTGGCCCACAGGACACGACGGCGCTTCTGGACCATGTTCACATATGGCTTCCTTTTTGCATGATAGAGCTTTAGTTGGCATCTGGAGATGGCACGGCGGATTGTGTTTACCGACAGTGGTTTCTGGAAGTATTCCTGGGCCTATTTAGTAATATCATTCACACAATCATGCCGATGAGTGATGCAGTGTAGTCTGAGGGCCCGAAGACCACGGGCATCCAATAAAGGTCTTCGCCTTTGTCCCTTACGCACAGAGATTTCTCCAGTTTCTCTGAATCTTTTGATGATGTTGTGCACTGTAGATGATGAGATTTGCAAAGCCTTTGCAATTTGATGTTGAGGAACACTGTTTTTAAAGTGTTCCACAATCTTTTTACACACTCTTTCACAGATTGGAGAGCCTCTGCCCATCTTTACTTCTGAGAGACTCTACCTCTCTAAGACATCCCTTTAATCATGTTACAGACCTGATATCAACTTAATTAGTTGCTATAGATGTTCTCCCACCTGAATCCTTTCTAAATTTCTTGCTTTTTCAACCATTTGTTGTCCCCGTCCCAACTATTTTGAGACCTGTAGCAGGCATCAAATTTGAAATGAGCTCATTTAGTGGACTAAAGTGTAAAATTTCTCCATTTAAACATTTGTTATATTATATATGTTCTATTGTGAATAAAATATTTGCTCATGTGATTTGAAAGTCGTATAGTTTTCATTTTATTCAAATTTAAAAAACGTCCCAACTTTTCTGGAATTCGGGTTGTACACTGTTGACCCTTTCCTTTTAACCCACTCCTATTAAACCTACCCATACCAGTAAACCTTTCCTGTATCTGCCTCAATAGCAGCACAAGTGTTTTTTTTATTTTCAGTGGAACATCAACATAATAACTTAACAATTAATTTTTCATTTTTGTTAGTACACAGTAGTTACTGTACGTTCACACCGCCGCCGACTTGAGCTTCCAAAGTGGCCGTAAGTCATTCATTTTCAATGGAAGCTGGCTTTTCTCAGCTGCAAGCAGCGTCAAATCCATCAGCGTCGCGTTTTAGGCGTTTTGAGCGTCAACCAGAAAGTTGAAAGAAGCTCAACTTTATGGTAATGAGCTGTGATTCAGTTCAGCGCCAAGCAGCGGCAAAACGCCAGCAACCAATCGGAATATAGACTTTCTTCACGCTGGCCGATTCCGGAGAAACATTCATGTAAACTTTCGTTCCTACCAAAACATTAGTTCCGAGAAAATGGAAGAGAAGCTAATGATCGCCGTTGCTGTGATTTTTACTGGTTTCATATCATTTATGACATGACGTTGTTTGCTTATAGGGACCGCATGAACGCAACTTTTATTTGAGATATTTAAGAACGCTCGTTTTAAAGCGGAAATGCAATTAATTTGCTCACGGTGACACAGATTTTACCGCTAATAATAATAATAGCGAAATATTTTTTTCCTGACCAAATGTGACCAAAACGGTTATAACATTTTTTTTTTCTTCTGTTTATTACATTTCATGTTGTGACACTTCTATTCTCCCTGCAACGTCAGAGCGTTCAAAGCGTCAACAAGCTTCCTCGTACTATTTGACAAGCGTCCTTAATAGAGCGGCCAGAGCTTCTTTGACGCTCAAGTCGGCGGCGGTGTGAACGTACAGTTAAAGACACCTATTAGTGACCACTTTTTTTTTTTCATTTGGAAATGCACGTCATTAGGAAACCAAGCGACTTTATTGCATCCACAATGGTGTAAAGATCTTTTGTTCTTTGTTAGGTTGCTGCCAACAGACATATCGCACCAGATCACCTTTTGCAGATATGCAAGCAGATCGGTCCGATTCTGGACCGGGAGGTCCCGTCAGGTGTGCCAGGAGTGCACTCTCTCCTGGGGGCCGGGAAACACTCTTTACTGCGGCGGTCTAAAGGTGAGATCAGGCTGAGCTTTCAACCGCATTGGCCCTGGTGCGAGTCTGTCCGTTATCTGAATCTAAATGTCACCACCGCCTCTCTAGACTGCAGCAGCAGATGGAAAGCCTCCACGTTCGCGGCCCTTCACAGAGGGAGACCACCAGAGAGGCCTTTAAGCTGCAGGGATGCCAATATTGGTGAGTTCCTTCAGTTTTTCGCCTGTAACAAAAAGTTCTTGCCCTGGCTGAATTTGAACTGACTCAGGGAAAAATAAAGCTTGCTCTTCTTTTATTGGCATGAAATGGAAGTTGCAAACATATTTTCTTCCCTATTGTGATGCATATGCTTGAGTGAAACAGTAGGGCAGGACTTAATTGTGTCCGTCGGGAATTGATTGGATGGTTGTTGTTTGCTCACACAGAGCACGGCATTAGAGAGGAGATGCTGTTGCGAGGGGAAGGTTTAGCTTTTTCTTTTTGTTTTGCAAGGGTACATGAAACAACTAGTGATGTGCCCGGATTAATCAATTATAATGAACATTAAAATATTCCATAAAAATAAGAATAGCCATTTTTGATTTGCATGGTGAATTTAATTTATTGTTAACTTATTTTAAAAGCAAGTTATTTGTTGAATAAGATTAGGGCAGCCCACGACTAAAGATTTTCTAGTCCTAGTTCATTTAAGTCTGTGGAAAGATGCTAAACCATAATAATGAGCATTTTAAATAGAAATCATAAAGTGCTCAACCGCGTATAAAGCCACAGCGACACTGGAAAACATTGCACAAACTTTTTTTGGGGGGATCAAAATAAAAAAAACTATAAATAACAGTCTTATCTTATTTAATGAAAATATTTTTAAAATGGAGGGAATCAAAAAACGAATAAATAAATAGCCTATGCAGCAAACTTAAACTCTTAAAACAGAAAAATCAATGCAAACATAATCAGGACGATGAACCTGTGGCCTTAACATAGAATGAAAACAGTTTTCCAGAGGTTAAGAACACAAACAAAATAATTACATTATATAAAAAATGGATATATAAAATATAGCAGACTGAAACACTACAATAATATGGACAGTTAGGCTATACATAGACTCACCAGCACTTTTTTTTACTAAATTAATACTAATATTTAAAGTCCAGCTGTAGTCAATAATGGTATCCCTTAAAACTCGTAGTTGATCACCAAAATTACATATTGTTTTTTACTTATTCAGTCCCTCCAGAAAAACGCGATTATGCGATCGCTGAATTCAATGCAAAATCAGCCAAAGTCCGCATATTTTCAAATTCAAATACGCCGCACTTTCGCCGCATAAATTGCCGATTTCCGTGCAAAATATGTGGGGTTTGCATAATTTCATAATCCTCGCATTTTCGTTGCAAAAAAAGTCACATGTATCTTAGCAGAAAGTTGAAAAATGTGCGTTTGCTTCACACAAGAGCAGCCATTTCCCCCTGTTTCCATGGGGACGTTATGAAGTGACGCAATTACGCGACACCAGACAGACTCACGGAGGCGATTGACATCTCACAAATCGAACTCGTATAACTGTCTGTCACATGTTCTACCGCCACGTCGTTCCTTAATAAACAACAATATAAAAGAAGTAGCATCAAACAGAAATTACCCGCACACATGGGGTGTTCGAGGCGCACATATAACACTGCAGACAGTTCAACAGGGAGCGCGCAGCTCTTAAAGGGGCCACACCTTATTTACACTCGTTACAGTCTGAAATAAAACAAGATGAGAAATGAAATATTCCCAGCACTTTCTATGATGTAGTATGCTTGCTTATCAAAGGAAGTAATAAGAAATGACTCTTACATTAGCCTAGTGAGAACAGGATGTTGGGGGAATCACTTTTTTTCTCTTTTTTATCAAACCGCAATTTTTGCAAGTTCCCTCAATTTTTGCAAATTCCTGCAATTTCATCCCATAAAATTGCATAAATATCCCGCATATTCTTTCCATCGCATTTTTAAAGAAAACGGGCCACGTAATCAAGGATTTTTGCCCGCAACAATCACAAAAAAACTCTGCGTTTTTCTGGAAGGACTGAATACTATTATGGTAAATGTTGTATGTAAATCACAAATTTTCATTTTGATCGCAAAAATCACAAAAAAAAAATCATGAAATCCTGGAGGGACTGCTTATTCGACTCTTAAAATATCTTGAATGTAACTCTATACTCTTGCCTCATTTAGTATACGCGGTTCTATGAATATGCAAATGAGCCCCGCCTCCACTCACTCACTCAGTTCAGAGATCCACTAGTTGGCGATCACACGTTGATCTGATTGGTTACAAGGTAGTTTGTGACGTCAGAAACACCAGCGTGTTTTTGAGACTGTCTTTGGTTCACTGCAGTTTTATGGAGAAAATACTCTAAATAAATTGGAGAAAATACTTCTTGGAATGGTGGAAGAACTGTGTTGGCTACTGCAAGATCAATGGCAAAAAAACGTCCAAATGCGGCAAAACTAATCAACTAAATCAAATTAACTATGTTTTTGTGTTTTTCCATGAACAAAACAATTTGGGAAAATCCACTGAAAAAAATCTCCTACATTTTTGTGAAGTTACGTGCTAAATAGTATGTGCTAGTAATAAAACCACTAGTTAAAAACCAGTATTATTATTTCTATGCATGGATTGGTTGTCCTATTGGAAGTGGGGAAAAGAAACATTAGTACACACTCATGAGTTCTCACGCCATGAACGTTGATGTAAGACGATTAAACTTGACACAGCAAACTGAAATAATGGCATAAATGCAGTTGACTCTTCCCTCTCACGTTAGCTCATAGCCATCCCTGATCCGCGTTTCATGCATTTTGACCTCTCTCTATGTCTCTGTCACTGTAGTGGAGGTGTGTCGAGGCCGAGAGCTCACCGGAGCCCAGCGCTTCAGCTCCATCAACCCTGTCAGCAATTATCAGCACATGAGGATGCACAGGAGGATCCTGGGACATCTCTCGGCCGTGTACTGCATCGCCTTCGATCGGACGGGTTCCAGGATTTTTACGGTGAGCATAATCCCAAATCTTGTGTGGTTCTCGGCTCTGGGTCTTCGTTGTCCCATGCTTGACCCTGTTCATTCCCTGACCCGCAGGGTTCAGACGATGCCTTGGTGAAGATCTGGTCCTCCTTTGACGGAAGTCTTCACTCCACTCTCAGAGGACATTACGCTGAGATATCAGACCTCGCCGTTAATTTTGAGAACACCCTTATTGCGGCCGGGAGCTGCGACAAATCCATTCGAGTCTGGTGCCTTCGTACTTGTGCCCCAATGGCGGTCCTGCAGGGCCACAGTGGATCTATTACCTCTTTACAGGTGAGATCACTGTATGAACGATCATGTGATATCACCTTTTATGTTTGTGAAGGATTAAAATGTATTCACGATCTGCCTTTGAGGAGAGATTGCAGGATCATGCTACAGTGCACATGGTTTCAGTTCAGTTCTGGCACCCCGTCCCAACATGCTGTACAACGGCACGTACATTTACATAACTCCACCCCTTGCATTGCTTAAAAAGCTAAGCTCACGTGACATAGCAGTTATTCGTCATCATACGGGTTGGAAATTGGTCAAAATCGATTCCATTTCTGAAATTGGATACTTGTTATAAAATTAAAATTGACCTATGGTGAAGCCACGCCCTTAAATGGGTTGAGCCAATCACAGTGTGCAGCTAACCCAATACACACGGACCTTCTCTACTTCCACGTCCATTGAAATGCTAGGTTCCCTAGAGGCTGGGCGACGATGTGTATTTTTTTTTTTACCCTTTCCTAAGCCACATCTAAGTTTAACTAAGATATCTAAGTTTTATTTTGTACCTTATTTGAATTGCAATTCAGGATCGATAAGAATCAGAATTGATAAGCAGTGTGCATCAGTGTATACATACATACACCATGGGACAACATGTATCAAGGTTGCTCTGTTTTCTTTAGTAAACAGGCGGTTTTTCCGTTTTAATTATTGCAAATTCAGTTTTTTCCATTAAAATCTTTGGGAATTCTTATTTTTTTTACCTTTTACTGATATTTTAGTTGTAAAAAGAGTGTGCCTTTAATGTTAATGATTAAAATGTAGTACGCAAATAAAATCGGAATGACCTTAAATTTATTGAGGTAACAAGAGTCATTTACTCTTACTTTTCAGCACAAATACGCAATGCAACATAACACTGCACAAAGTACTTCAAGTAACAACAAAATATGGTTATGAGCTTTAAACGGTCTAGTGAAATAAATTATTGGGATGCACCGATATGAAAATTTTGGCAGGTACCGATAACCGATAATTGTTTATATTTGAAAGCCGATAACCGATATATCGGCCGATAAACTTAAATCCAAATTTTTATCTAATTACAAAAACAAAAGTCTCACAATTAAATCCATGTCCCAAGCGCACAATTATAATGATGTTCTCATTATAGTGTTGTATAGCCGATATGACAGATTTGCGGTTCACAGCAAGTGTCTCAGCTGAAGGGAATAACACTTTATTTATCGGCTTTAATATATCGGCCAAATTTTCTTACCAGGCCGATAACGATAACATTAAAAATGAACATATATCGGCCGATACCGATATGGTGGCCGATATATCGTGCATCCCTAATAAATTATATTTGTTTATTAGGAATAAACGTATAAGTTGGAATAAAAGTCGCGCACTGTCGAGAGCACTCTCGGACACACTTGGTCTCTCGCGCACTGTCACTTCGCTTTTGTCCAGTCCGGCACCTCATAGACAGACGTGTGTGTATGAGTATAAGGGCTTAGCATTGAGTTTCTTAACTTTTTCAACGACGAAAGCAGTGTTGTGGCGAGCCGCTTCGCCACGCTTTCATTGTTTTGATGCCGTCATTGGAGCTGAAATGACGGGAGACGGTTTGTGTCGCCCGGTCTGCATTTTCCCCAGACATGCGTTCTTCTCCCACACAAAAACTGAATTTCATTCCAGCGTTAAAGGTGCATTATGCAACATTTCATGTTAAAAATAGCCGTTTTCTAACCCATACATGCTTAAACAATCGCCTGATGGGCTGAATGAGCCCTTCTCTGATCACTGAGATTGCCTCTATAATCCTGTACAGGAAAATAAATAAGAGGGATTTGGGCTCGAATTTGAGATTGGAATGTCTGTCACCTGGCTATGTCTGGTAGGTTTGTGTAAGACAACTCGAGGGGCACAACTTTAGTCAACTTTCCACAAAAATAGAAGATGGATTCAAAGAGACCAGCTTGCAGTTCATTCCAAACCCCAACGCAAACGCAAATAAAACTTTTGTCTAGTGCCAGGCGTGGGGATAAGACGAGAGTCAACATCAGGAAGGCTTTCAACAAACGGAGAGATCTCCGGTCTGCTCTAGGGCTCAAACGGGTCCTATACAAAGTAATAACTTGTATTGTTCATGAACGTGTTTCCATAATTATACAATCATAAGTTGATACAGTAAGCGCATAAAACAGTTCAACATGGAGATAGATGGAAACAAAAACCGAAGTTTTCTACTACCCCCGTTTCCCCCTCACACACGCATGTGTGTAATTTACTCAAATGCCTTTCCTTTCATATATTTTAAATGACTTGCAGATTTATAACTGTATTACCTCATTATGACTAACAAATGATGTGTGCGGCTGATGCTCCATTGGTTATGAACAGCTCATGCAAACGTGCGTGTGTGATTCATGAGCGCGCACACCTCTGGTTGCAGTTTCGCTTGTCGCCAGAGGGGGCGTAGTTCTGCAAAAACTCAGAGATTTGCGTTTTGCACCTTTAAAGGGCATATTGCAGGATAGAGGACCCAACGAGTCAATGCATAGAAAAACAAGTTTTTGCAACCTCCACAACCACAATAATTTACCATGACGATGATAAATTAAAATAAAAAAAGTACCGAAAGCACACTGACTGACGACCGCTCTCACTGAACACCAGCCGACTCTGCACTGAGCCGAGGCTAAGGCTCCCTAACGTGACGTAAAATGACGTGATGTTGGGGAAAAAAAAGCTGTTTTTACTAGCAGTCAAAGAAACGCTTACTTTATCTACTAAATTAGTGCCCTTATGTTGTTTAAAAACATTTTAAATCCTGCATTAACTTTTCATATGGTATTTTCTTACATGGTTATCTATTTTTTTGTACCTGCAAAATGCTCTTTAACACTTCATCCCACGTTAATTGGCCAATTCCACGATTCCGAGATCGCGGAAATTAAAAGGCCCTACATCAGGTTGTTTGCTTGCTCTAACAGGTATTTCTACTTCCTCTTTTTCCTTGCAGTTCTCTCCTTTTGTCAAGGGCTCCAAAAGGTACCTGGTGTCCACAGGAACGGATGCAACGGTGTGCTTCTGGCAGTGGGATGTGAATAATAGCTGTTTCAGGTGAGGCTTATTTAAGTTAGATTGAAAATATGAGAAGCCAGTCAGAGATTGATGCTCATTCTTCTTTCTTTCCTTTAATGTTCCCCAGCGATCGTCCACAGAAGTTCACAGAGAAGCCGAGGCCTGGTGTTCAGACCGTCTGCTCTTCCTTCAGCCCTGGTGAGAGGGGCCGAATGTTCGAACTTCTGCTGGAGGGGTTTCTCTCTCTCTCTTTTCACACGTGTATGTTTACGTAAGGCTTTTTCAGTGTGCATTTGTTTCTCTTTGTACAGGTGGCATGTTCCTTGCAACAGGAAGCACAGATGATGTCATCAGGATATACTACCTGGGCAGTGGCTGTCCTGAAAAACTAGCTGAGCTTGACTCGCACACAGTAAGAGCGCCCGGTTTTTAGGAGCAGTTCAATAAATATCTCATTATGGCGTGTCCTGATTCACAATACTTGGTTTCATTTGTAGGACAAGGTGGACAGCATCCAGTTCTGTCATTCAGGAGAGAGGTAATATTGGTGGTTTAATTAAAAAACAATGATTTTTTTTGGGCAGAATTTTTTAGGCCGAAACCATTGACTGAAATGGTTTAGGTAGCGCTTCTCTAATGAGTGCCTATTTCAAAGTAGATTAGCTACGACAAGTGAACGTGAACGTGAGATGTGTGTATGTTAGGGCTGGGTTGACTAAAGATTTTTAATTAAAACATTTTTATGTATTAAGATTATTTTTTTGTCTATGCTGTTTTAGGGCCTGTTCACATATTGCGTTTTTTGCGGGCTCAAGTTCGTTATTTCAAATGTGGGCGCGCGGTGTAATGGAAGCGTTGCGGCGCGCTCGTTTTTTTCCAAGTGCGTCTGCGCCGCATCGAGATAAAAACATCTCAACTTTTCAGAATGCCGCAAGCACATCATAAGCGCACAGTAGGTCACGTGACGAGAACCAACTGGAGCGCTTTGGAAAAAGGAGAATGCGGCGCGCCCAGCGTTTTCGACGCGTTTTTAGTGTGATATGTGAATCTGGCCTTATGCAGTCGTTTTTATGATCTTTTTTATATATATAATTATGCAAACACAAATTGTTACTCTCTCTCTCATTATATATATATATATATATATATATATATATATTAGGGCTGTGCAAAAATTAATTGAGATTAATCACATCCAAAATAAAAGTCTGTGTTTACATAATATATTTGTGTGTGCTGTATATAATTATTTTTTATATATAAATACACACACATGCATGTATATATTTAAGAAAATGTGTTATTCAAATATAAAATATTTATATTTATATAATATAGATTATGTATTTATATATATATATATATATATATATATATATACATACAGAATTTAAGCGCAAATAATTCTTAAATATATACATGCATGCATAGGTATTTATATATACAAAATAATTATATACAGCACACACAAATACATTATGTAAACACAGACTTTTATTTTGGATGCGATTAATCGCAATTAATTATTGCACAGCCCTAATATATATATATATATATATATATATATATATATATATATATATATATATATGTATCATACATGCATGCATGTAAAGGGTGAAATTTGTGAAAAAAACAGAGGGGGAGATGTTTTTGAAACATTTTTATTCATAAAAATAAATCCTGAGAACATGAACTTCTTCACTGCATTTGCAAGAATTGTAAAATATTTTTTCTTATTAACTCATGAAGTAGCCTAATGCAATATTTTTACTCTAATAGTTTTTCTTTCCCCACACATATGAACTGTGATCATGCACAAAGAAAAAAACTTGCTATTAATAAATGAAGGAAATATATCAGCCTCTGCTGAACACGGATTGATTGCAAAGTTAAACCATCAGAGTAAAAATATCTGTGGTAGTCAATTCGCCTCATTCTCACGTCTACCGCGCTAAATGCCTCAATCGCGCCGCAGGACCTTTAGACGCGCGTAAACGCGTCTTTACATTGACTTAATATTGAAATCACGCGCGCCAGATCCTCAAGCGTGAGGAAGTTATCAAAAAACCTTTGCTTTAGCCTCAATTGAGTGTAACACCGTATGTGTAACTTCGGCCTTTCTCAGTGGTGTGACTGGGACACTAACTCTGCTCATCATCATAGAAACAGATAATCAGATTGTAATGTTTCCTGCTTCAGTAATATGCTGCCGTCCTTTCGACACACAGCTCCGCTGCCCAGCCGACCTGCAACCGTCTCGCAAGTGTTGATAGGCTATGAGGTGTAACCAATCAGATGGCGCCGTGGACAGGACATTGAGTTGAATGGTGATTACAGAGAGGCTGCGGCAGCTATAGTAGATCCAGCCAAAGTAGCGCATTTTAAAATAAAATTGACTCTGATCAAACCACAGACCCGTGATTAGTTTTCTGATCCGTCTCACCACTAGTGTAGTAGCACTGATCACTTTGAGGGGGGATAAATTTATCCCCACCGGGGATTTTTTTTATTTATCCATTCATTTAGATGATGCTTTTATCCAAAGCGACATGCAATTGCTATATATGTCGGAGGTCGCACGCCTCTGGAGCAACTAGGGGTTAAGTGTCTTGCTCAGGGACACATTGGTGTCGCACAGTGGATTCGAACCCGGGTCTCTCACACCCATCTCTCGCACCCAAGGCAAATCGCACCCTGATTATATATACTAGTGCAAAATGCCCGTGCAAAATAATGCCCGTGTGTTTTTAGCAATTGTTGGTTTGGTGTGTTTGAGTGCTGAAATGAATAAGCACGATGATTCATGGAGCAAATCTGCTTTCTTCGACCCTTCGGTGCGACACTGTCTTGTGTTGTTTATTCGCTACATATTAAGGCCTGTTTACGGTGTGTTTTAGCTGGATTTTCACCTGGAAGGCTCTATAGAAATCTGGCACCCTATTGTACGAAGTTAAACTAGAGTGTGCGTTCACAGACACCAGAATGAACGCGTTCACAGTAACGTTCATCGGGCAGTAATACAGTACGTTCAGTTCACGTTCGCCCAAAAGATGAACACGTTCAGGCACAACACTGCAGTAACAGATGTAACAATAGAAAAATGAATAATAACAATAAGCTAATTTAATCAAATTAATCAGGTTTTGGGCTTTTTATGATCTATGCATGTACCGTTCGCTCAGTGTTTCAAATATGGAAAGGCATGAATAAAACGGCTCGTAAACAGTCACATACGGTTACATTCACTTCTGGAAAGCCATCCAGTGTCCTTAGATGGTTAGCTGGAAAAAAATTATTCTAAAGATGAGCTTTTTGCTAAATATATGTGCTACTTCAGTTCACAATTTTTGTGGTTTAAATTCAGCTCGTTTTTATTTGAATGTTGCTTATTAAATAAATGTTGCATTAATCTTAGGGCTTGGTAATAAATATCGATTTCTCGATGTTAATCGATTCTCATTTTTACGAACCGATATCGATTCTTAAATCTCAAGAATCGATTAGTCATCCTGTTTCATTTGAATGAATGGGACATTGTATCGCGGCTGCGCGCTTCCAAAAAATCGCAATAATCTTTGTCCTTTGTTACTATTGGTATGAAACAAAGTCTCAGTTTTCAAATTACATCCATTTTCTTTAGAAATTCAAAAACATAAATAGCGTTTTGGCGCTGTGGCGTGAGATCGCTCTGGCGCAGCTCAAGAGAAACAGCAGCGCTGATCTCTCTTCCGGGTTAATAATACCAGTTACAGTGCGAAATAAACATGAATGAGCATCTGAAAGTGTGTTAAAGATAGAGTACAACTTATCGAAATTCGTATCATGTCACATTGATTCGCTCAATCAGCGTTTCAACCGTGGAAAGACGTCAGTTAAACAGCTTGTAATCAAAGTCATGTATCGTCATATTTACCTCAGAAAACCCACATCAACTCGTTAGTCCGCTAGAAAAAATAATTCTAGAGAGGAGCATTTTGCTAAATATATACACCATATTACATGCATTATAGTCTTAATGTTCTTCAATATTTAATGCATATTCGAATAAATCTGGCAAGTTTTTATGACAGCCACCATTTAAATGTTTATATTTCATATAATCTTCTTCTTATAAAAATAAATAAAAGTGTAATTTAAGTGTTTGTATAGCTACAAAACAGTTCATTATTACCTTCATATTAGGCTAATGAAGCCTAGTAGGCTACAACTAGACTCCCATAGTTTACAGCATTAGTTAAGAGATTTGATTTCCTTGAAAATTTGCCATTTATTGTAACTGATATCCAAAATAATCGATATTGAATCGAATCGAAATCGAATTATGAAATTTGTGTCAATACCCAGCCCTTATTAATCTTGTTTATTCCGTTTTTCTTTTTGCTAAATATAACCTGTGTCTGTACATTAATTTTGGTGCATCACTGTCATTGTACTTCAGTTTGTTCTTGCTTTTTTATTTATCATTCTGTAATATCTCTTAGGTTTGTGAGTGGCAGTCGAGACGGCACTGCTCGTATATGGCGACTGCATCAGAGACACCAGTGGAAGAGCATTTTATTGAACATGTCTGCCACTCTTCCAGGGTATGGACAACCTCTGGAAAACTCAAACTAGTGTTTCATTGACGCTAACTTGATCTGCTAATGAAGTCTCTTCCTCCTTGTTTCCTGAAGGTCTGCACCTTTAACAGAGGATGAAAACTTCTTCAAACCCAAAGTCACCATGGTTTCCTGGGACCGCCATGATAACGCAGTCATCACTGCCGTCAACAATTATCTTCTCAAAGTGTGGAATTCCTACACTGGACAGTTGCTGCATATCCTTAAAGTGAGAGCATTTTCTGCTGCACCGATCCTCCTGACCTGTAAAGGTGAAGCTTATAGGATTTGTTTTTGCGATATAGAGCTGAATGAATCTCTCTCCGCCTTCTCGCAGGGTCACGAGGCAGAGGTGTATGTTTTGGAGCCACATCCCTATGACCCCCGCATCATGCTGTCTGCAGGCCACGATGGGAACGTCTTCATATGGGACCTCATCAGAGGCATCAAAACCATGCACTACTTTAATATGGTAGAGTATTCCAATGATCTTTCAGTATTATTTCCCGAACTTGAACGGCCGCAACAGCAAGTGCGCAGTAATAGTCAATAATTAGTTATTTAGTGACTTATAACCTTGTAAAATGGAGCCTCTATATAATACATTTAAAAACTACCCATTTGAATCAGTGCAGGTTTTACAAATATTAGGAGTATTTGTTTTTATTCTGATGAATATCCATTACGGCAAACAGAATAGAATAACAACTGCGTGCGCAGTTGTTGGGAGCGGCCAATGAGCTAATGTTTTGTCTCTACGTCACGACGTAACAGCTAATGACTCGTTTCAAAAACAATTCATTTCATAGACTCAAGAGTCGACTCTCACTTTTGAAAGACAATAACTTTATATACGGTGCACTTTCGGATATAAATCTTTGCAGGATGTTTTTATTCCCCTCGAGCTGTAGTCCACACTACATGAACAGTCATTTTCAAAAAATCCATGATAGGGGCTCTTTAATTTATTAGACATTCACATTTATTTGTCCTAATGTTATTAATTGTGCTTCTGTGGTGTAGATTGAAGGTCAAGGACATGGTGCTGTGTTTGACTGTAAGTTCACCGCTGATGGGCATCGCTTTGCAATGACGGACTCTCATGGACATCTGGTTATTTTTGGCTTTGGGACCTCTAAGCCTTATGAAAAGGTGTGTATGATTTCAAGTTGAGGAATCTGAAGTATAAAACAATTGAAGTTCCTAAATATAACTTCTCCATCTTTTAATGTATTTTTCCAAAATGATCCGTAGCTTCCAGACCAGGTGTTTTTCCACACTGACTATCGGCCACTGATCCGGGACTCGAATGGGTTTGTCCTGGATGAGCAGACCCAGCAGGCCCCACACCTGATGCCTCCTCCATTCCTGGTGGACGTGGATGGGAACCCTCACCCTCCCAGATTCCAGAGACTGGTCCCAGGAAGAGAAAACATTGCAGATGAGCATCTAGTTCCTCAACTGGGTTATGTCGCAACAAGTAAGTTCCCTACTGTTGTCATAACATCCTTGTAATGTGTCCATAGTTCACTGTAAACAGCGCATAGATAAACCAGTTTCAGAACCGGTTCTATTGTATTAAAAGGATTGTGATGCACCAAAATGAAATTTTACCGAACTGAAATTAAAGTTCAGGATCAGGACCCACAATGCGGAGCGGCTACTACTAAATAATTAGACACAAAATATTGATTAGCTCATTAAATGCAAAACTTTTTTGACAAACGAGTAAGTTCCAACAACATTTAAGTCATAATATCACTTATTACACTGCTTTCAACCACATAAATAAATAATGATGGGTACATGAAATAATAATTTGAGAAATAAGAAACGTTTTCTGGTCTTACAGAGAAGTGCTTATTAAATGTCCCTGTCTCGATCAATGTTTTCACCAAATCTGAAAATTCAGTTACATTATATTTTAAGGTGACTTTACAGTGTAATTACTCAAATAAATACTGAGTATGTTTAATTAACTACATATACTTACTATATGGCTTAAATTTGCAGAATTTATTACTTATTTATTACTTTATTACTTAGAATTTTAACTTACAGTTGTCATTTCTATAGTAAAGTATATGCAACATGTAACTTTCAGCTTAAAATATGTGCTTAAATGTTACCGAAAAATCTTTTTTTGGCTCTTATGTATTTATGGTTGCTGGTGCTTCACTAAAAACATTATGATCATGGAGCGTTTCTGATTTGCACCTTTGAAAATGGACATTTATGGTGTTTCAGGTGATGGTGAGGTCGTGGAGCAGGTGATCAGTCAACAGTCTGCGGAGAGTGAGGAGGGTCGTCCCAGCGCCCTGGATTTTGCAATCCGCCAGCTTCAGCTGCATCATGACAGACATGTTTCAGCTCAGGGAGAGGGTGGCGTTCCTGCGGCCCGTGTGCCAGAGCCAGGGACTCCCCGCAGAGGTGCCCATACATTGACATCTTGGCATTTAAATCACAGGATTGTACTCTTAGCTCAACACCCCTTCAAGTAGATTTGCACTTGAGTTGAATCTCCACCAAGTCTCATCTAATATTGCTGTGTTTGATTGCACAGTGTCGGTGAACGAGCGGATGGAGGTGCAGTCTCCACCTAATGTGGGTTTGCGGCGCAGCGGACAGGTAGAGGGAGTTCGTCAGATGCACCAGAATGCTCCCCGCAGTCAGATGGCCACAGAGAGGGACCTTCAGGCCTGGAGGCGCAGGGTGGTGGTACCCGATCTTACGACAAGTGGCTACAGGTCAGTTTTATTTATTAATTACATTTTATTTTCTTCTTTTTTTTTATCTGTGTACACATTAAAGGATTAGTACACTCCAGAATGAACATTTCCTGCGCATTTACTCACCCCCATGTCATCCAAGATGTTCATGTCTGTCTTTCTTCAGTCGAAAAGAAATAAAGGTTTTTGAGGAAAACATTCCAGGATTTTTCTCCATATAGTGGACTTTACTGGAAACCAAACGGTTGAAGGTCCAAATGTCAGTTTCAGTGCAGCTTAAAAGATCTCTACACGATCCCAGCCGAGGAATAAGGCTCTTATCTAGCCAAACCATCGGTCCTCTTAAAAAGAAACGCACAAATACTCATCTTGCACTAGCTCAGCGATGCGTGTCCACGTCTTCACGCATTGTGTTAGAAAGCTCATGTGCACAGTCTTTGTCAAGTATCAATTTTTCATTTTTTTTAGGCTTTTACTAGCCTGGCAAGCCAGACCCACATCCAAATGTTGTGTCTGGGAACTCACCATTAGCAGAGCTCAATCCTAGGGGCGGGATAAACGGCTGTCTTTCAAATTCCCTCTGCACGCAATAGGATAGCGCTACAACCAACCAGAGCGTTTTCTCACCAGCAGAGCTAGTTGATAGATTAAACTTTTGCCGTATCTGGGCAAAAATACGAACACATCTTCTTTTTAAGAATGACTTAAGTGCTGTTCTTTGTTCTTTTCTCAAAGAAAAGATTAACTCCAAGTTAATTGTTCACACCGGATGCAAATAGTGCGTCAGGCACTAATGATTTTAATGTTAAGTCAGTGCAAAGACGCGTTACACGCGTAAAATTCCTGCGCCGCCAATGAGGCATAGAACGTGGCGCGGTAGACACGAATACGCCTCATTCACGCGAATGGCGCGAATTGAGCTTCGGGTGCGTTAAGCGCGTTACGCGCAAATGATTTAGTTGAGTGCTATTTGTGCACCCACGCGTTTGACGCGAATTCGCGTCTGCCGTCCGAGTTGAAAAATCTGAACTTTGGCGTGAATTCACGCCGTGTTAACCAATAAGAGCTTGCTGCTTGCTCACATGGTGAAGGATCTGGTTGCTTCAATAAATTATTTTGTAATATGACTAAATGCATGGTGGGATTATGCACAACAAAGCAAATATTTTATCACTTTATTTCAATATACGAGACATGTTCATTTTGTATTGAATGTTATTTATTCCATATCTAGATTATATGAAATATTATTATGATGTAATGACAACCAACATGCATGTGCATAAGTTCGTGTCTGGACGTGAGAGAGAAAAAAAATCACAGGACAGGTTAATAACTTTTGAAGGCTGGCTCTATTTATCATCAAAACAAAAATAAATGACTAGATTAGGTGGATGAGGGCGAGGGTGATCCTCGCTCCTATGCGGGACAACAGGTCATCAAACTGGGCGCGGGACAGGCGGAAGTACCGCTGACAGCGGCCGTCATCGAGGCGCAGCTCCTGGAGCGAGCAAATGGTGAAACTCGCCAAACGGTTCGCCTCCGAAGGGTCCGGTGGACACAAATACGGGGGCGATGATCCCCACGCCGTTGTAAATACAGAGTGGTCGATGAATAAAAAAGATGTCCGCCAAAGGGTTTTGATTCTGACGCGCGATGCGCATAAATTTCGCTTCAAACTTTTGTTTTTACGCGCCTCAGTTTCACTCTTGATGCGCGAATTAACACAAAGTGGTCAAGCGTCAAACTAGACGTGGTAGACGCGAATTTGACGGGCTATTTGTGTGAGCGCACAGTTAGACACTGGTCTCACTGGAAGCATTCCCGTAACAACAACATGATGCAGCAACTCCATGTCGATTCTCGGACGATAAAAATGACTGATATTGGGGGGGTTAAGTTAAGCCTGGTTACTAGAGCATTAGGACAGGCTGTTTATCAATGCAATGACTTCTTCCTTTAGGGCGCAGGAGTCGTTCAGAATAGCCAAGGGAGATGAGGAGATCAGCCTTTTCAACATCAAGAGAAGAAGAGTGACCCACGCCAGCTTCAGGGTGGGGTTCTTCTTCCTTATGAACTGCATTATGGTTATTAATGTCAACACTGTCATTAAGGTGTGGTGATTTTGCCCATAGGATGATTCTGATGAGGAAGGACCATGTCTCAAACGTGCGCAGTCACGCAAGCGGCAGAAAAACCAGCAGCGTAAAGAGAGTCTGGCTGAAGAGTTCATCGAGTTCTCATGTGAGGAAGGGGAGGAGACCGCATCTTCTGAGGTTGAGGATTTGTTCATTTATTTTTTAGAACTCTGATATATCAGACATGTCGATAATGATGTGCGTTTGTTTGTTATTGCTGCAGGACAGTGAAATGGAGGGCAGTGATGTTAATTTGTCCATTGAGGATGAAGAGGAATGGAGGAGTGATAGTTCAAGGTAGGCAATCTTGTTGCCACCATAATTGTTTTAAAAGTGGAAGTGTGTAATATCTGCAAGTGGCACCAAGCGGAATTGCTCTAAAATTAGCTTCCAATAATTTCTCAGTTAATCCAATAAAAATAGTTCGATCTTAGAACTCTACAAGCCTCCCCCGCTTCACGTCAGGATGTTTTTTGCCTCCACGTCGTGCATTAAAACCTTTTGATTATCACTTAAATACACATTTAGATGTACTGTTTCAAAAAGTAACTGGTTATAGAGTCAAATTTGATTAAAGGGGTCATGAACTGGCTTTTTAAATTGTATTATATTGTTGTCTGAGATCAACTTATAACGTTCGCTTGGTTTCATGAATAGGTAATAGGCTATTTTGTACCCTAGTTTTGAGCCTAGCTGAAAAACGGTCTGTTTTTATGGGCGTCTCGGGGTGTTTTATCCTCTTTGACGTCATAGTTCCCCACTTGTCGTTTGCTGAGGCTGGTGTCAATAAAAGCTTTTATTGAACCAACAAGGACGTTTTCAGTTCTGAAACTTACAGGATTCTTATAATAGATGTCTCATGAATGTCAAAAGCTCAAGGAAAATTTGATTTCTCAGTTTATCACCCCTTTAAATTAATCTGAGTCCACTTTCAAAGGAACAGTGTGAATGCAAAATCAGGTCAGACGTGGAAATGCTCATTTTTGGAGTTCTGTTTGGTGACCAAATAAGCCACACCCTTAAACTGATAAGTCTTCCATAGAGTGATTTAATTCCATGTTGTCATCGCTAACATATTCATGAGGGTAAGATGTACACTGTGTCTCTGTTCGCAACTGAAGCCGCTCCTCCAGTGATTATTCCGACTGGATGGCAGATGCAGGAATAACTCTGCGACGGTCCGCGTCTCCGTCGTCCCGACGGAGGACTAGCCGCAGGATCAGCAGCTCTGAGGAAGAGGATGAGGAGGACGAAGAGGCGGCCGATGAGGACCAGACTCAAGATGAAGAGGAGCAGACGGCTTCACCCCGAAAGCACAAGAAGGCCAAAAGCAAAATGCCAAAGGTGTCAATATGGCCATTCAGCACATCCATTACTGCAAGGCCCTGATATACTCAAGGCGAAGTACTTGTTCGTTCTTTGCATGGGGTAAAAAAAAAAAAGTTGGAAATGTGACCAGCTCTATACTGTTTTTGAACATCCTTAGATGAATGTTATCTCTCTCAGTAACCAAATAAACACACAAAAAATAACAGCGTTGAGAAAGTATCAGATTCTTCTCTTCAGTCAAGTCATGTCATGTTCGTTTTGGCAAGCTGTTTCGATCTCCCGAAACACACCGGTTAGTTACTTGATTTAGCTTGAAGTGTATCAGGGCCTTTACTGTCAGTGTTACAAGTTCTTATTTGATCCTTTAAAATGAAATATAAACTTGGTACTGGGAAGTACTTTTTGAAATCCTTAGTTGTAATTCTGGAGAGGCATTTTTTCTGTTGGTTTAAAAAAAACTCATTTTCTTATCCTTAGTCACCAAAACCGAGGCCACCCATTAACAGAGAGATCTCAAATGAGTTCCGTCCCCCAGCATGGATTACTGACGTCATTCCCCGAAAGTCCCCCTTCGTCCCTCAAATGGGAGACGAGGTACAGAATACATCCCTCTCGTCTGTGTTAAAGTATTACTGATCCATGTCTAAATCCACGGTCTCTTTTTCTGTTCACAGGTCATCTATTTTTGTCAGGGTCATGAGGCGTATGTGGAGACAGTCTGTAGGACAAAACTGTACCCCATTAACCTAGACAGACAGCCATGGAAGAAGATGGAGTTAAGAGTATGATCAAAACAATACTGGGATTTTACTGACACTTTTACTAATAGGCCGTGTGTCCACCAAAGCGGTTTTTCATGCGCCTGCCGTATTTTTACAATTGTTTTCAATGGGAAAGCCGTGTTTTTTTACCGGTCGTTAAACTTTATGTTAAACTTTGGGTAAAACTCAGCACTCATCACTGTCACTGTTTACCCAGCCGTCCAATCAGAGTCGAGGAGAGGCGGGGCTAATACCACACTGACTAACTGACAACATTCTGCTAGTACAATGTCAACAGATGATGATGAGCATAATAACGGAACAAAATAATGTAGCCCTCAATCCGTATTCACTTTATAGCCCTTAATCCTGTAATTGTGGACAAATGTGGGCACAGAGGACTCAGGTGTGATCCTAATTTTTATTTATTATAAATGTTATATCACTGTCTTCGATAAAGTTTTGTCTATCCATTTATTTTATTTTGGGGGTATTTTTTAAATTTATTTACTTCAAAAAGTACCATATTTTCTATGTAAATTATGCTTATTTTTATGTTTTATTTTTTTTAACTTCATTAAAATATCTTTCCAATAAGTTCTTAGAGCTAAAACCTAAAGATGAAGTGACTTTGCTGTCACCTGGTGGCTTATTTTAGAATGCTCTAAATTAGTTTTTCCCATTCATTTCTATGGGTGCCCATTTTTGACCCAAATACAAGATTAAGGAGTTTATTTTCACGCTCTGATCAAGGGAAGTATTTTTTTAAAAATAAATAAACTATTTTGCCCACATTTGTCCAGAGTACAGTTTTAGTTTTAAAACAAGACCCAGAGAAAATACGTTACATTGTTTCGACATTTTGATATAAAATCAATACAGAAAATAAATATGTGTGAAATGAGATGCTAGTAACTCTTCACGGATATTCTGTATTGTAAAACGCAAAGCTACGCTGCCAAAACGCTCTCAGACGCCCACAGCTAGGCGTGTTCAGCGGGCTAAAAACGCTTTGGTGGACTCACAGCCTTATGAATGCATCTAATAACAAGTGAGTTGTAAAACTTTGCGTTTATCGGATTTTAACAGTATGCGCACATGCTTGCATCACTTGTCAGTAGCTATGTTTCCATTCACATATTTTTATGCAAATTTTTGTGATAATTAATGCTCTAAAAATCTTATGCACTCAATTTTTTATTCGGTAAGAAAACATGGCCATAAACTGCGAGGGGAAACGAATCAACCGAATTGGTTCCTGGGTGTGCAACAAATAAAACTCAACAGATCATGTGATTGTAATACCAGTGAACCAATCTCATCTCACCATCTAAAATACTGTTTTAGTCGTGATGAAATGCCTCGTACAATGATTTGGTATAATTACCTCCCAGAACTGTCTTGCACGATTGCGTTCCCCAACACCAGCGTCCGAACGCAAGATACCATATCGCATTTCAAGTCATTTATTATATCAGGAAAGTCTCACCGACTTCAACTGTTCCAACAAATGTATTATTCTATTAATGATACTTTGTGCCACAATCCCATGAAGTAAAGGTTTTGTTTTGAGCACATGGGATGGAAACGATGCTTCATCTGCAAATACAAAGTTTAATTCGCAACCTAGCTAGTGCGGCAAGGCTATTTTTATTTGTCTGCATTTATTTGTTATAGTGACCGGCAACAGGCTACAGATGCTGTCTTAAGGTTCAGTTTCCTTGTATTTCACCATGAACATTGCTTTATTAAAAAAAATGCATGCAACTCAGCTAAGCTTTAATGTTTTCAGCAAGTTTGGCATTGAAAAATATAAATCCTCTGTTTTTACCAGGACCAAGAGTTTGTGAAAATAACAGGGATCAAGTATGAGGTCTCCCCTCCAACCCTATGTTGTCTGAAACTGACCCAGATCGACCCTGGAACGGGCAAAATAACAGACCGAACCTTTTCCATAAAGTAAGTGCTGGCAATCAGTGCTGGGTAGATTACATGCACATTTTAGTCCATTACTAAATACAAATTACCTGATGAAAATTGTGTTTAGTAATTTCAGAACTTGTATATTAGTAGACTCATTACATGCAAAGTGAGATATTTCAAGCCTTTATTTGTTATAGTTTTGATTATGGTTTGCAGCTTATGAAAACCCCATATTCAAAATGAAAATATTACATGAAATCAATAAAAAAAACAAATACAGAAATGTCAGCCCTCTGAAATGTATAATCATGCATAATCAATTATTGTCTCAATCCATGTATGCGATCAGCAAAATATTCACATTTTTTTTGAGTTTCATCATCATTACACATTTTAGGTTATATAATATACCATTTTGATATAAAAATAGGAAGAAAAATTAGAAAATAAATGTTGAATTAGGGGTGGGCGATGTGGAAAAAATATCATATCACGATTTTTTTAGGAAAATCACGATCACGATTTTTTTATCACGATTCTTTTTCAAGTTGGTTTTAATATTTTGCAAGTGGCTGTTCATTACAGCCAAACTAATGTCCCTATGTTAAAAACAAAGCCTTAGGTAACAAAAGAAAAAAGAAAGCCACACATTTAGGCCAGTGGCGAAGATTAAAATCTTTGTCATTATTTTCTTTGTTATTAAAAAAAAAGACAAGTTAAACATTACACAAATTAATATTCATATTAAATAAATAGTGCTTTATTTTTTCAGATGCAGTAGGTGTATTTAGCAGAAGCATTGAAGTAATTAAATGAACAAATATGAAATTAAAACACTACATAGACTTCACTGAATAAATTGATTCTTATTAAAGCTACTATTAAAGTTCTCAGTCAGTGAGTGATTTTCTCCTTGTGTTTTTTTGTTTGTTTTATTAACACTAAAGGGATAGTTCCCTCAAAAATGACAATTGTCTTAATTTACTCTCTCAAGATGTTTTAAACCCGAATAAGTTTCTTTCTTCTGTTGAAAATAAAAGTTATTTTGAATAATGTGGGTAACCGAACAGTTGCTGGTCCCTTATAGTTTTTTTTTTTTATAGGTTCTCTCCTGGAAGTTAATGGGGACCAGCAACTGTTTGGTTACCCACATTAAAAAAAAATTGTCTTTTGTGTTCAGCACAAGAAAGAAATTAATACAGGTTTGGAATAACATTAGAGTGAGTAAATAATGACAATAATGATATTTTTTTTTTTTTTTTTTTGTGAACCATCCCTTTAAGGACAAGCGGCAGTACTATTTATTCCTGTTGCTTTTAGACCAGCACGCGACGCGTTTAATATAGACGCATATTACACCAGATATTCTTTCAAATGTTTGCTTTCACTTTAGACATAGCCTGTTTATGTAAACATTGTGTGTATTTAACAGTATTAGCATAATAAGACTCGAGAGATAACTTAGTCCAGTATTCAGGCGCTGTTTGACAGGCTTAGTGCCTGTGATTGTCGGGGGTTATGCGGTCAGGAAAGCGCACGTTAGAACAGCGCATCAGCGCGTGAATTAAATGTTTAACCGGCAAGGCTTATGCAAATAATGAACTTTTGTGAATTGCAGTGTCCCGTACCTATTCATTAACGTGTGATCATGTGTAGGCTACGTCGCGTTGTACAGTTGAGAGACGGAGGCGCCAGAACTGAACTGATAGAATGCACTGTAACACGATACTACGATATTTCTTCAAAAGCAGATCGTGGAGACATTTTAATCGTCCACGATTAAAAATCGTCATATCGCACACCCCTATGTTGAATCTGAATTACATAATCCAGTTTGCATGTAATCAGTTTCTGATATAAAATTAAAGTTATATTTCAGATTTTTTGTGTTGATTTTTAAGCAAAAACGTTTGTTTTGGTGCCGTTTTTCCTCAGATATCATGATATGGCGGATGTAATTGATTTTCTGGTGCTGCGTCAAAGCTACGACGAGGCGCGCAGCAGAGTGTGGAGGTCAAGTAAGTAGGAGGCATGAGCTGAGAGTTTGTTGTGGTGCCCTGCATCAATACAGTCACATCTGTTCTGTTTCCGTAGATGATCGGTTTCGCTCCGTGATCGATGACGCCTGGTGGTTTGGGACCATAGTTTGTCAGGAACCATATCAGTCCGAGTATCCCGACAGCCATTTTCAGTGCTTCAAAGTCAAGTAAGCCCAAACCGTATTGGGAGCTGTTGCGTAGATCTTAGGCGTTGGCTGTGATTTTGAACTCTCTGATTTTGCAGATGGGACAATGGTGAGACAGAAAAGCTGAGTCCATGGGATGTGGAAGCCATTCCTGAAAACGGTACTTCTGACCACTCAAGCTTTAGCTTAAACCAGATGCACTGTGTACGATTTTTTTCTGCACCTCAGCAGTCGTTGCATTGAATTAAAGGAGTAGTTCACTTTAAAAAAAAAAACATGTGCTGATAATTTACTCACCCCCATGCCATCCAAGATGTCCACGTCTTTCTTTCTTCAGTCGAAAAGAAATTAAGGTTTGTGATGAAAACATTCCAGGATTTTCTCCATATAATGGACTTCAATGGGAACCAAGCGGTTCAAGGTCCAAATGAGAGTTTCAGTGCAAACTGTTCAAAGGGCTTTAAATGATTCCAGACGATGAATAAGGGTCTTATCTTATCTTGTCATGACTCGAAAAAAGATTCGTTCATTTTGATGAACGAGTTCGAACAGGAGAGTCACGAACACGCATCACAGAACAGAGCAAGGCGACCATTTGTGCTTATAAAACGTCAACTTTTTTATTTATTTTTTTAAATGAGCGGTGAGCGTTTCGCTAAGACCCTTATTCATCATCTGGTGTCGTTTAAAGCCCTTTGAAGCTGCATTGAAACTGTCTTTTGGACCTTGAACTGTTTGGTTCCCATTGAAGTCCATTATATGGAGAAAATCCTGGAATGTTTTCATCAAAAACCTTAATTTCTTTTCGACTGAAGAAAGAAAAGACATGGACATCTTGGATGACATGGGGGTGAGTAAATTATCAGCAAAAGTTTTTTTTAAAGTGAACTACCCCTTTAAGGGTGTTTGGTTACTCCTGCATTTCTAACAGAAAGGTCATTTGTGTTTTAATAAAGCAAATGGTCTGTTTGTTAAATTGAGTTGTTTGCGTGCTGCAGCTGAACAGCCGGATTCGGAGGGCGCGGGGGTGCCGGTGACGGACGAGGAGATGATGGACATCCTCTATAAACCTCAGACGGGTGAATGGGGGGACAGGGGTCGAGACCAAGAGAGCGCACGCATCATTGCAGGCATTGAACAGCTTGTGACTGTGGGTGCGTTTGATTTTGCAGTTATCCCTATTCTTTCATTATCTTTATAAATTTTGTGGCATTTCTTTAAAGGTACACTATGTTACTTTTTTCCGCTAGTGGTTGAAAAAGGCGAAACCATGCATTTTGGTCGTGCTTTGGTGCTGCGTGACTCTGCTAGAGAGCGACATATGGCAGTTTATCTGTTCAATAAAATACCGTACTCACCTGTTGAGTAATAAAAGCACTTCTACAACATTTCAAATCCCTCAGTTCTCGTCATCTCTGAAAAGCCAAGCCAATGTTGGTTCTTGTTTTATTACGAGCTCTGTCGCGTTCCCTTCTCTCCAGCAGACGCTCCTCTGTTCGCCGTTTGTTTAAAACGGGTGATTCCCGGAGGATGGAGATTTACCTGCTCCATGTCAAGCTTTCTCACTCGCTGTGACGACTAACCTCTGACACTTTAACACCAGACACACGTCAAAGTAGCCGGAGTTTCTCTATTTACGGATATAACGAAATACTCACGGGCGAGTGACATGTTCACAGTTTCCTGTAAAAACCATCATGTCAGATCTAAAATATAAACGCTTATAATTGCTTGCCAATGGGAATTAGGGTAAGACAGATATATTTTGGAAGGATTGATGTATTTTCATTTTTATTTTTAATTTTAAACAAAAAAATTTACAAAGTGTACCTTTTAAGCAAATCAGATTTAGATGGTTTACAAGGAGGGTTAGTTCACCCCAAAATTAATATTGTCATTTTACCTCACCCTCATTTCGTTTCAAACCCACAAAGATCTTTGTTGGACGATTTGTTATTCATGATTTTTCTTCTTCATCCATTGAAAAGTGTATGTAGTTAACATTTTCAATGCAGCAAAAAGTTCATAAAGACATCATAAAAGTAATCCATATGAATTGAGCGACATAATCCAAGTCTGATGGTTTTGATCATCCATTTACCGTATTTGATGTGCGGTGATCAATGTTTAAGAGCCTGAATAAATCTGATGAACACTTGGGTTATACCACTTAATTCATTTGGATTGGGTTTTTTTTTTTGGATTTTTTTTTTATAATGCTTGAAAACGTTGATGAGAGAATTGTAAAAAATATCTTAATTTGTTTTCCGAAGTTGAACGAGTCAAGTCTTATAGGTTTGGAACGACATAAGGGTGAGTAGATGATGACAGAATTTGCGTTGTTGCGTGAAATAACCCTTTAAATGTTACGCTCTGGCTCATCAATGTCAATTGCTGTCCTTCTGAACAGATATCGCGGCACCTTTCTCTGGTCCGGTCGACCTTGCTCAGTATCCTACATACTGTGCTGTCATTGCATATCCCACTGACCTGAACACCATCAAACTGCGACTCAAGCACAAGTTCTACAGGTTTGTAACTTAATGGGTATTGTCCACCTAAAAATAAAACATGATCATCATTCGGTTTTCATGTTTTTCATGGACATTTTGATCAATGGTATTTTTTGCATGGAAAAAAGGCAGAATGAACAAGTAGTTTTAACAACTTGTAGTCTTTGGTTTTAATCACCAATATTTATTGGGTTAAAGGAGTAGTTCACTTTTGAAAAAACTTATGCTGATAATTTACTGTCATTCTTTCTTCAGTTGAAAAGAAATTAAGGTTTTTGATAAACACTTCAGGATTTTTCTCCATATAATGGACTTCAATGGGAACCAAACTGTTCAAGGTCCAAATGAGAGTTTCAGTACAAACTGCAAACTGTTCAAAGGGCTTTAAACGACACCAGACGATGAATAAGGGTCTTATCAAGCGATTCGATCGCTCATTTAATAAATTAATAACAAAGTTTAAGTTTTATAAACTCAAATGGTCACCTTCCTCTGTTCTGTGATGCCTGACTCTCCTGTTCGAAACTCGTTCATCAAAATGAACAAATCTTTTTCCGAGTCATTTGGTTTATTCAACAAACGAAACGAACGAGTTGACTCAGGAAAAGATTCATTCTTTTTGATGAACGAGTTCGAACAGGAGAGTCACGAACGCGCATCACAGTACAGAGCAAGGCGAGCATTTGTGCTTATAAAACTTAAACTTTGTTATTTATTTATTAAATGAGTGATCGTTTCGCTTGATAAGACCCTTATTCATCGTCTGGAATCGTTTAAAGCCCTTTGAACAGTTTGCATTGAAACTGTCTTTTGGACCTTGTACCGTTTGGTTCCCAATGAAGTCCATTATATGGAGAAAAATGCTGGAATGTTTTCATCAAAAACCTTAATTTCTTTTCGACTGAAGAAAGAAAGACGTGGACATCTTGGATGACATGGGGGTGAGTAAATTATCAGCAAAAGTTTTTTGAAAAGTGAACTACTCCTTTAATTCACCCAAAAATTTGAAGTCTTTCAACTTTGACGCTTCAAAAAGATCGCAAAATGAATCCACATGAATCCGGCAGATTAATAAAAGTCTATTATGGAGACAATTTGTGATAAACACATTTAATTTAGCCTTTTATTCACATATATAAGCTCAAGCACACTTGCCTGAAACACAAGGGCAAGCCTCATTGGTTCTCACACATCAAGTACGCATGTTTGCGCTTGACTCCTATTATTTGTATGTAAAAGAGTAGTGTGCACAGTATTCAAAATATCCAGAAAGAAATTGGAAAATATGGCTGAATAAATGAGAGTTTGATGGTTTTATTTTCTAATTTCCCATATTTGTGTGTTTCTTGCTTTTGTTTTGTGTTTTTCAGGAGGCTGTCTGCACTGATCTGGGACGTTAAACACATCGAACAAAATGCCAAGACCTTCAATGAGCCCCGCAGCAAGATTGCAGAGTCTGCAAAAATCATCACAAATGTTCTTCTGAAGTTCATAAGGTTTGTCCTGGACATTTGTGGCAAACATCAGTTTGTGATATTGTAATGTTTAGCCTTGTAACTCCCCTCCCCCTCTCTCTGGCCACAGTAAACCTCACTGTACAGATATTATGGAGATCTATAACGCCGTTGAGAACATGGAGTACTCTGATGATGAGGTGAGTCTAGTTATTCAACCTGTATTTTTTCTTCGCTTTCCTGGAGAACATGAGATTTAATTCATGTGGCTTTCAGGACCTGGATGACATTGATGCACCTGGACCCTCTGCTGGACAAAGACTTCGCCAGGTAGTGTGAGATATATCATGCATAATAGTGCAATAGTTGAGTTGTGGTTTAATAGAGATTCCATTACATTGTTGAAGGGATAGTTCTACCAAAAATAAAAATTATCATCAACCTTGTATTAATTTATCTCTTCAGCTTAAGATATTTTTAAGTAAATGGTGAACCAAACAGTTGATGGACCCCATTGACTTCCATAGTATGGAAAAAAAGATTAAATTTAAAACGTAGTCCATCAACTGTTTGGTTTCTCCAGTAAAAGAAAAACTCCTACAGGTTTGGAACAACTTGAGGGCGAGTAAACGATTTTTGGGTGATCTGTCCCTTTAATATCGTAGTGTATAGGCCCCATGGTTAAACATTGTAATGACAGTAAATGAGAAGATGGAAAAATGAATGCGTTAAAGATGCTTTCTTTGTGATTTTTTTTTTTTTGCTAGCCATCGGTGGAGGTTGTAATGGACAGGGACGCATGGAAGGATTCCTGCAAACGTTTACTGAACTACATGTTTGAGTGTGAGGATTCAGAGCCTTTCCGGCATCCTGTAGATCAGGGAGATTATCCGGTAAGCATGACCACTTCCATAACAATATTTCATTATCTCTTTCCCTGCCAAAGTGTTGCCAGCCAATTTTTTTGTTTCATATCATTGATGGGCCTCACAATATTTCTTGTATGAATATGCAATTTTATCCACACTTGAATGCGAGTAAGGTGCATAAAAAAGCTGGATTAAAAAAGAGAATAAAATCATGTTTTTGTCAGATCACGTCTGGTTCGGAGTTGTTCACTTTTAAAAAAAACTTTTGCTGATAATTTACTCACCCCCATATCATCCGAGATGTCCATGTCATTCTTTCTTCAATCGAAAAGAAATTAAGGTTTTTGGTGAAAACATTCCAGGTTTTTCTCCATATAATGGACTTCAATGGGAACCAAACGGTTCAAGGTCCAAATGAGAGTTTCAGTGCAGCTTTAAACGACACCAGACGATGAATAAGGGTCTTATCTAGGAACCTTCGAGTCATGACTCGAAAAAAGATTTGTTCATTTTGATGAACGAGTTCAAACAGAAGAGTCACGAACGTGCATCACAGAACAGAGCAAGGCGAGCATTTGAGGTTATAAAACTTAAAATTTGTTATTTATTTATTAAATGAGCGATCGTTTCACTTGATAAGACCCTTATTCATCGTCTGGAATCGTTTAAAGCCCTTTGAACAGTTTGCACTGAAACTGTCTTTTGGACCTTGAACCGTTTGGTTCCCATTGAAGTCCATTATATGGAGAAAAATGCTGGAATGTTTTCATCAAAAACCTTAATTTCTTTTCCACTGAAGAAAGAAAGACGTGGACATCTTGGATGACATAGGGGTGAGTAAATTAACAGCAAAAGTTTTTTTTAAAGTGAACTACTCTTTTAACTAACGTACAGTATATGTGATTACAGAGGTGTCACTTCTCTTAGTGACAGTGTTAGGAAGTGCAACCTCTTTATCCAAAGATAGTTTATGGTAATAATTTAGTTTTATAATACTGTGTTTTCAGGATTACTGTAATATCATCGACACGCCTATGGACCTTGGAAGTGTGCGGCAGTCTCTGGAAGAAGACCGCTATGAAAATCCCATAGACCTTTGCAAGGACACCAGGCTTATTTTCGCCAATGCTAAAGCCTACACGCCAAACAAACGGTCAAAGGTAACGCATTCATGTCTTGACCAATTTTCCCCGTCTATTTGTGTAATTCTTAAAGGCTCATTGATATCCTTGTGCGCTCTTTTACAGATTTACAGCATGACTTTGCGACTGTCAGCGTTTTTCGAGGAGAGTATACGCAAAATCATTTCCGACTACAAGACTGCTGTGAAAAGTAGCTTGAAGCTGCGCCGCAGTCAGAGATTCAGGAAGAAGTTGCAGCATCAGGACTCGGCTCTTTCCCACCAAGGATCCGCACGGTAGGCCTCCACGTGTTTTCTCTGTTTCGATTCTCCCTTATTCTTCTGTTTTGTGTTTTGCCATGCAGAAGACAATAAACCTGTCCTTGTTTCTCCTCCTGGCGCTAGTCAAAAGAGGGCTACTTTAAAGACTCAGGAAAATACAGAACAGTCTACAGCCAAATCTACCTCAGCCAAAGTGTCTGGACCAGAGCGCCGCAGAGTCAACGAAGCCAAGGAGAGCTTCAGACGGAGCGGCTCGTCTTCATCCGGTGAGACGGACAGTTCTCAAAAATTATTAGTTTCCGAAATTAAAATATAATGCATGAAAAGCTCATGGTCTCGCCACCATAGTGAACTTCGCATCTGAAGATGTTCTGAAACTGTTGTGTTACACAAAAGGAGAAGCTTGTGAATCCTCAATGCAGTAAAACTTATCTTTGTCAGTTGGGCTGGGTAAAAAAATATCGATTTCTCGATATTAATCGATTCTTAAATCTCAAGAATCGATTAGTCATCCTGTTTTCATATGACGAATGAATGGAACATTATAACGTGCATCCCATCCAATAAATCGCAATAATCTTTGTGCTTTGTGACTATTATGAAATAAAGTCTCAAATTTCGAATCATGTCCATTTTCTTAGGAAATTCAAAAACATAAATAGCCTTTTGGCGCTGTGGCGTGAGATCGCTCTGGCGCAGCTCAGCTCACGAGAAGAGGCAGCACATGATCTCCACTTCTGCCTTAATAAACCAGTTATTGCGCAAAATAAGCATGAATGAGCATCTGAAAGTTTGTTAAAACTTATCGAAATCCATATATTGGGATATTGAGTCATATTGATTCGCTCAATTAGTGTTTCATCCGTGTAAAGACGTCAGTTAAACAGCTTCTAATCAATGGCATGTAGCGTCACATTTACCTCAGAAAAACCCACATGTGACCATAAACTCAGCTAGAAAAATTAACTCTAGAGAGGAGAATTTTGCTAAATATACGCACCATATTACATATTCATTGTAATTTGTGATGTTCTTCAATATTCATTGCATGTTTAAATAAATCTGGCAAGTTTTTATGACAGCCACCATTTAAATGTTTATATTTCATATAATTTTCTTTATAAAAATAAGTGTAATTTAAGTGTTTGTATAGCTACAAATCAGTTAATTTTTACTTTCAAAAATATAGTAGGCCAATGGAGCCTTGTGTGCTACAACTGACTTCCATCAGTTTACAGCATTTGATAAGAGATTTGTTTTCCTTGAAAAAAAAATTGCCATGTATTGTACCTGATATCCAAAATAATCAATATCGAATCGTAATCGAATCGCAAGCTTGTGAATCGAAATCGAATCGAATTGTGAAATTTGTGTCAATACCCAGCCCTATTTGTCAGTGAATAATGTCAACTTAAGTCTGCTCACAGTTTTCACATCAAGTGACCTGCAAACTTTGTGACCAGATCTGTCAGTCAGACAGTTGAACTCAAAAACCAGATCAGTCGTGTTGTTAATGAGTCATTCTACCTGGTTTTGTGAACTGGATCAACAATTTCAACCAATCATGTAGGGATGCAAAATATATCGGCCACCATATCGGTATCGGCTGATATATGTTATTTCTCAATCCTATCGTTATCTGCCAGATAAGAAAGTTTGGCCCGTATATTAAAGCCAATAAATAATGTATTATTTCCTTCAGCTGAGACAGTTCAGATGCGCACTGTTCAACATGGTTTTGAATTGCTTGAAATATGATTTGAATCACTTAAAAAAAAAAAAGGAGAGACGGCACAAAAAATTATAATGAGAATATTATAACTGTGTGTTTGGGACATGGCTTTTAATGGTGAGACTTTTGTTTTTGTAACCAGCCTCCCAAACATAATATAAAATTTTGGATTTGGACAAGTATATCTGTTATCGGCTTTCAAATATAAAGAGTTATCAGTATCGGCCAAAATAATCATATCGATCCATCCCCACAAACGGTGTTCCCGTTGAATGCACTGTGCTTTGACAGGCAAATATTTTCAGAGATCCACCAGGTGGAGCCATTTATCAGTTGACTGAATATTACATACCGATAAGTAGAACATTGACAAATATTTACTAAGTACTGGTAAAACGGATTATAGGTACATCTCTGATTAAAGGATGAGCTATTCCTTTTATTACACGAGGCTTTTGGCACTTGATGTTCATTCCATAGTTTCTTAAGTTTGTGTTTTTGATTTATAGGGTCTGATCATGACAGCAAACAATCTTTGAGTCAGTCGGAAGAGGATGAAGAACCTTTATCTTCGTCTCGTGGCTTCAGACGAGAGACTAGAGCCACGAGAAGAGCTGCACAGAAAAAAGGATCCAGACGAAAACATGGTGAGACCCCACAATGTGTGCAGTTGGGTAGATATTTCAAGGGCTTTCAGTGAACAAACATGACTGGCTGGACATACACATTTTATGCATCTTATGCCATCCTAGAGAGCCATGCCAAGATGAACGGGCACAGCAGGTCACATGAGCGTCAGAGACCACGACCCTGCAGCGACTCTGACCAGGAGCCTTCGCAAGGTTCAGACTCCTCCGAAAACGAGTCGTCGTCTTCCGTCAGTCGCCGGCCCAGGACCCGCAAGACCGCCATGGCTGCGGTCAGCAAAATGAAACTCATGGATATCATGGAAGACGGTGACGGCTCGGACGAGGAGGGTCGTGGAGGCAGCAGCCGTCCCGCAACTCGTGCTAGCAAACGCTCTGCTGTCATTCAGAGCAGCTCTGATTCAGACCAAGAGGAAGCTTCTCAGGGTATAAACACCTACATCGCTTGCCTTGAACAACCTCTTTCCAAATATCTTGTGTACCTTAAACTCTTTTAAATGTTGTTCTTCTCATAGAGTCAAATGAAAGTGATGCTTCAGCGAGTGAAGAAGAGAAAAGTGGCGTCAGCGTGGACAGTGACTCGTCTTCTCACAGCAAAGAGGAGAGCAGATCTGCTGGGCGCAGACCCTGCAGACGATCAGCAGTAGAGAAGAAGGGTATGTTTGGTGGGATCGCCTTCACTGTTGAGCTCTACAGTCAGCATGAAATTAAAATGATTATCCATCAACTCGTCCCTGTTTTTCACTTTCCAAAGAGTCCATCTTAAAGGAGTAGTTAAAGGAGTATGTATGTCATCCAAGATGTCCATGTCTTTCTTTCTTCAGTCGAAAAGAAATTAAGGTTTTTGAAGGATTTTCTGCATATAATGGACTTCATTGGGAACCAAACGGTCCAAATGAGAGTGCATCAAAATGAACGAATCTTTTTTCATGTCATTTGGTTCATTTCGTTCATTTTGATAAACGAGTTCGAACAGGAGAGTCATGAACGAGCATTACAGAACAGAGCAAGGCGACCATTTGAGCTTAAAACTTAAGCTTTGTTATTTATTTTTTAAATGAGCGATCGTTTCGCTTGATTCATCGTCTGGAGTCGTTTAAAACCATTTGAACAGTTTGCAGTTTGCACTGAAAGTGTCTTTTGGACCTTGAACCGTTTGGTTCACATTGAAGTCCATTATATGGAGAAAATCCTGGAATGTTTTCATCAAAAACCTTAATTTCTTTTCGACTGAAGAAAGAAAGACGTGGACATCCTGGATGACATGGGGGTGAGTAAATTAACAGCAACATTTTTTTTTTTTTTATGTGAACTACAAGATAACTACTCCTACTCCTAACTAACCCTTGAATGCTAATGAGACACTGACAAAGAAAGAAAAGTCAATATATGGTGGAGGGAAGTTGACTATTTTTTTTTTAAATTTTTACATTTTTAGAAACGTCTCCTTTCGTTAATGGACACGGCACCAAAGTACAATGGGAGGACAGTGAGGACAACTCGAATGATGGGGGCAGTCCGAATGAAAGTGTGAACGGGGAGTCGGACGTTGACCTCGTCGTCAGGCGGAAATACACCAGGAAGACCGCGAAAGCCTCTGTCAGTAAAATAAAGAAACTGAACGACACCGATGCCGAAGAAGAGGAAAATTGCTCCAGAAGCCGACGTCAGAAACCTCGGCAAAGCAAGCAGGATCCTGAAAAGAGCTCTGAGGAAGAGGTCGAGGTCCCCAGAACTCAGAAGCACCCTCATCAAAACGGAAGAAAGGTCTCTGCGAAAGAGCTGAAGAAAAGTAAAGCATCGTCAGAGAGCTCAGATCAAGCTTCTGCCGCAAAACAAGTTACCCACAAAAAAACCTCAGCCACAGATGCATTTACGTCAACAACCCAGGACTCGGAGGAACTCAGCGACGTTTCGGAAGAGTCTGACGCAGACAGGAAGATTATTAAATCAGAAGAGGACGAGAATCAAAGCGATGATGCAGAAGAAAAAAGGTCCCCCAGAAACAGAAAACGGGCGTCCAAGGCTCGCAGGAAAAGACTTGACGAAAGGTCGGATGCCTCCAGTTCGAATAGCGAAAGAAAGGTAGACCGAAGGAGGAGAAAAAAGGTGGGCTCTTCCTCCGAGAGTGACGTATCAGAGCAGGACGAGAAGATTCCTCCGAGGAGGAAGCCTTGCATTACAGTTTCATCCAAGGGAATATCACTCCGATCTCTTCCCAAGAAGAACTACATTATGGAGGACTCGGATGCGGAGTTCAGTCCCGAGATCGAGATGCAATCAAAGAACGGAAAGGGCAAGGAGCGGCCCGACTCCCGGGTGAGGAAACCGTCAGGCGGCGACTCCAAAAGGAAACGCGACGTCTCCTCGGAGTCTGAAGACACGGACAACAAAAGTAGCAGGACCAGCGACGAAAACGAGTGCATGGAACCTCATCGAAAGAGTGCGAAACGCTTCAAGCCCTTGAGCGGCTCTTCGGACTCCGGGAGCGACTCGGAAACTAGATGCAAATCGGAGAACGGCCGAGAACTAAGGCCTCAGGAGAAGAATCCCAAAGCGACCCGGCGACGGCGGAAACAAAGCGAGAGCGATAACGGGAGCAACGAGGACGCCAGCACCTCCGAGAGCGAGGAGTCCGAGGAGTCCAAGTCGGACGCCAGCTCAGGTTCGCAGAGCAGTCCGAAGAGAAGACTGAGGAACCGAGGACCCGCGAGGAAACGTCAGAGGGATGCTTCCGACGAGGACAGCGACGTGTCGTACGGGAAACCCCGACGGGCCACGCGCATCCGGACCAGGAACCGAGGCAAGCGGACTGTGAATTACCAAGACAGCGAATGAAGGACTCGGGCGGTCGAGCCACGCGCAAAGACACTAACTGGAGACCTTGAAGACACTTGATTGTCCCAACTTTAAACACAATGGTAGCAGCACTGGAGTCCTCAATATACTGTGAATCAGTTCCATTCAGGGATATTTATATTTTCTATGAAAAACGAAAACTAATGAGTTATAAATAAAATGTATTTGATCGACTGGTTTGGCTGTTCAGACCAGCCCCACTTTGTGATTCGGCCAACAGGAAAGACTTGCGTAGAGAAGCATTGTTTGCTTGGGTGCTATCCTAATATACCTCCTGATTAATTGAGCATATTTGCTGGCTTGCACTAAAAGGCACACTGTAATGAGGTATTTTATACACTAAGTCTGCATTAGAAACTCAGGGGTCAACTACGTTTACCATATTCTCAGACTTGCATTTGTTGTTTTTTTTTGTTAGGATTCTAGTGTCATATTGTCGACATGAGCGTTTAGGTCCAAACACCCTTTACGAAAAACGGACACACAAATTCTCTATTATCGCTGTTAAAGGGATCGTTGAGCCAAAATGTACAAACTAAACTTCTTTTTTTTTTTCTGTCATCCTTTGTGGTTCCTCTTTGTTTGTTTGGGTTTCTTTGACCATATTTCCAGGTTTCTGAGAATCAGTCTGTAGCAAAGCATTGTATATTTAAATTCCTCTCTCAAGCATTATTTTTTTTTGTATTCAATTAAAATGAATTGACATGCCATGAAATATGAATTGGTACTTATTTGCTAAGTACAGTAAATCAAAATGAGTACTTCCAGCAAAGTACTTTGATTTCTCATATTGGGAAGATGTTTTAGTGATCTGTGTTGCATATTTTCAGTATTAATTCCTTTTCTGACTTAACTTATGAACAACTTTTGTACACAGTCTTTGAATTGTGCATCGCAGTTTATGTAATGCAGTTGTCAATTGGCATTTTTGCTTGATGTCTTTTTCATAAGAGCTTCTTTAATACACCGAGGATGTTAAGTCTGTTGGCCGCTGAAGTGAGAGATGGATGACCTCCTATGAATAAAGTACTGTTTCAGGTTGGATGTGGAGTTTTTCTTTAACTCGATTTTTAGCCTCCAATTTTGCTCGAGAAATGTTTAAATGAGCTGATACAAGATAAATGAAAGGCACATCTTAGTCCCTGTGGTGGAAATCAAGTTTTTAATGTAATAGGAATTTACACATGGTGTGTCTTAAAGCATAAGTCGACAGCATTGTTGAGTATTTTCTGTTTAAAACTGCCGTGAACCAAAGACGGTCTCAAAAACGCGGTTTGTAACCGCTGGTGTTTCTGACGTCAAATACCTTGTAACCAATCAGATCAACGTGTGATCGCCAACCAGTGGATCTCTGAGTGATTGTGAGTGAGTGGGGGCGTGGCTCATGTGCATATTTATAGGACCATGAATATTAAATGAGACAAGGGTGTCGAGTTACATTCAAGATATTTTACGGCATGAATAAAAAACATTTCAAGGGAAAAAAACTTTTAAATATGTAATTTAGCAGAACAAAGATGCGTTTTAAGGGATAAAATTGACTACAGGGAGACTTAACAAATATAATTTCTCAGGATTACATTTACACAATTTAATGATCAAGACCATATTTTGGTTATAGATGCTCTGTCGTTGTTGCTTCTATCTACACTCACCTAAAGGATTATTAGGAACACCATACTAATACTGTGTTTGACCCTCTTTCGCCTTCTAAGTGGCATTGATTCAACAAGGTGCTGAAAGCATTCTTTAGAAATGTTGGCCCATATTGATAGGATAGCATCTTGCAGTTGATGGAGATTTGTGGGATGCACATCCAGAGCACGAAGCTCCCGTTCCACCACATCCCAAAGATGCTCTATTGGGTTGAGATCTGGTGACTGTGGGGGCCATTTTAGTACAGTCAACTCATTGTCATTTTCAAGAAACCATGGACATGGTCAGAAACTATGCTCAGGTCAGCTGTCGCATTTAAACAATGCCCAATTGGCACTAAGGGGCCTAAAGTGTGCCAAGAAAACATCCCCCACACCATTACACCACCACCACCAGCCTGCACATAGGTAACAAGGCATGATGGATCCATGTTCTCATTCTGTTTACGCCAAATTCTGACTCTACCATCTGAATGTCTCAACAGAAATCCAGACTCAGCAGACCAGGCAACATTTTTCCAGTCTTCAACTGTCCAATTTTGGTGAACTCTTGCAAATTGTTGCCTCTTTTTCCTATTTGTAGTGGAGATGAGTGGTACCCGGTGGGGTCTTCTGCTGTTGTAGCCCATCCGCCTCAAGGTTGTGCGTGTTGTGGCTTCACAAATGCTTTGCTGCATACCTCGGTTGTAACGAGTGGTTATTTCAGTCAAAGTTGCTCTTCTATCAGCTTGAATCAGTCGGCCTATTCTCCTCTGACCTCTAGCATCAACAAGGCATTTTCGCCCACAGGACTGCCACATACTATCTGTTTTTCCCTTTTCACACCATTCTTTGTAAACCCTAGAATTTGTTGTGTGTGAAAATCCCAGTAATTGAGCAGATTGTGAAATACTCAGACCGGCCCGTTCTGGCACCAACAACCATGCCACATTCAAAATTGCTTAAATCACCTTTCTTTCCCATTCTGACATTCAGTTTGGATTTCAGGAGATTGTCTTGACCAGGACCACACCCCTAAATGCATTGAAGCAACTGGCATGTGATTGGTTGATTAGATAATTGCATTAATGAGAAATTGAACAGGTCTTCCTAATAATCCTTTAGGTGAGTGTATTTGAAAGGCAAATATGCTGTTGGCTGAACCATATGTACATTATACACACTATGTAGCTGGATATAATTGAATATTCTGCTACAGTTATCTAGGTGTTTTCTTGTCCAAAGAATCTGATTAATTTATGTACATGGCACTTGCTTTATATTTAGGTTTCTAGAAACCACAATATTAGCTTAATCAGGTTTTGGGGAGTGGCGTGTTTATGTAAAGTGGAATATTAATAAATTCTGAATGATATCAGAATAATTCTTGTGCTTTTAAATGTGATCATCATGAGTTTGTAAATTAAAATATTATCCATTTCAACTCTAAAGCTCTTTTTTTGGGGTAAGATTGCTGTAGAAATTACATGTATATTTATCTTTGTTTGGTTCTTTGGGCAAATTAAGTGACTTATGTAAGTATCATGTTAATGCAACGAGCATAAAATTCCATAGGTGTTTATTACGGATATGGAGTGGTCTGATGTTAGTCTTAAAATAGTATCTTTACTATTCACAATGACAAATGTTGCAAGATTTCATAGTACAAGAAAGTATAACTAGTCCTTATAACTAGTATTTTAATAACTACTACAAAATTTAACTCTGTCAACAGAGTTGCAGTAAAATTGCAGAACACATGTTATGATGAAGCTGCATGATTGTAATTATTTAAACTTATTTTTATTTAGAAGAATTGTGCAAGAGTAGCCTACACATCACAGACAGCAAACTGAACTTTAGCCTACATGACTGAAGTATATGCGTACAGCTCTGTCCTTATCTCTGGCTTTTGCTCTTGTACACTTACTTATATCAATATTCAAGAACAAATGTGTAATGTAGTTTGAATGAAGTCAAGCATATTGACGAACTGTAGTTTCGTTTTTCTCTGAGGTTGGAGAAGCTGAGTTTTCTTTTGATGTTTTGATGAGTGATTCTAAGTGTAATTTAGCCAATAAAGGATGAATTACATCTGCTTGTTTTTGATCAGTGCCTTGAAATGTTCCTCTTTAATCAGTAAGTGCATTAGGTTTCAATCTTGTCTTTGATCACATTAAAGATTACATTGATGGGATAAGAATTGCTTGGTGGTTTCTTGAGGACTAATACTAACTCATAAGCTTTAAAACCCTGAAGAGGATGATGGGAACATTGCCCTAAATTATGTTCCTTAAGCAACATGACCCTCTGCTCTATTTTTTAAAACCCTATGAGATTTTTCTTAGGATTATTAGGAAAAATGCCAAAATCTTTTGTTCTTTTTCTTCAGAAATGTGGGCTCATTCCAATCCACACATTCAATATTTAGCCTATTTCAAAAAAAAAAAAATAATAATAATAATAATAATAATAAGTTGCTGTCTTGAATTTTAAACTTGCCTTTAAAAAACTTCCTGCCCTGATACACCTGTACTACGGTTCTGATATTGTAAAACTATAAAAAAATTAAAAAAAAATTCTTCAATTAAAAAAAATCGAGTTGAAATCTTGTTTAAATTATTCCGAAGAGTTAATGTAAAAACATATGTTGTACATCATGACTTAGGCTAATTAGCCCTACATCATTTTTAGTATCGAGCTGTTGTCATAAGCTGATTTCACGCAGCCGTCATTTTGAAATGGCTCAGGTGGGAAGAAAACCGGAAGTGTCGCGAATGCGATGGCATATTGTTGTGTTTAATGTAGAAATTTGTTATTCTAAAAATGTACGTACATTTCTTAAGTTTCATAGTTTAGACTACAGTTAAATTTAGAAATGTACAAATACAGTTTTAAATATATATTCAGAACATAAAAAATGTTAACATAGAATAGTTTAAATCGCGGCAGCAGCTTCAGGTTGGTATAAGCAATTGTTGTCTATCTGTACTTCTGGGATTCTTCTCACTGGAGCCTCGCTTTCGGTTTCAAAATGGCGGCTGCATTGGTATGTTACAGTAATTCATTACAGTACTGGGATGAAAGTCTGAATATGTCAATGGTTTAGCGATAAAAAGAATAAATCACCTAAATCAATAAATCAAAGACGCTTTGAATAACGATTGTATTATTTGCATAATTATACCAGTAGGAGGCGACAGTGTATTCGTTATTGAATCATTCATTCAATAGATTTCTTGAAAAACGTTGATTCAATTACTTATGAGTCATTTGCTGAGTCCGAAATCTCCACTCAAAACACTACTCCCTACGCCCCATGTTGGGGCTAGAGACCAGAGCAAGGCCCCTTCTGTCTCGAAAGTCAATGGCATAATAGAAACACTACTTTCGGACAACACTCGATCGTCTCTCGGCGCCGTTGATTACATCATGTCAGCTTGTGCCGAGCCGGCTCTGGGCTAAATAGATTTTTTTTTTAAATAAATACATTACATTATATTGAGCTTATTTCTCCAAAATGTGAAAACTAAAAGTGATTTCTGGCCTTTTTTTTGTTATAATGCGCTACTCCACACATGATAATAACTTTTTACGATCAGCGCAACAATGTAGGGCTTAGGTTAGTGACCATCAGTTGTACACTAGCTACTTTTCAAAATGCATCCTGGGATACATTAAGTGGACTATAGGGTGTATAATAATCATCACTATACATTCAGACAGCACTACAAAATGGCGAGCTCATTATATAGTCCACTATATAGTGAGTAACGGGTGATTTCGGTGATTCTCTTTTGAAATAATGAATTCAAATTAAGCTGTGGACCAATGGTAAACCCACCCTAATTTACAGGAAACTCCAACTGCAACATTTGAAAAAGCCCTTTTACTGTCAAGCAGAACACGGTAAGAAGAGCGAATAGGAGAATGTGTACAAAAGAGTCGAAAATGAGCAGAAAATGTAAGAGAGCACAACATACAGATTAGTAAAACCAAGGAAAACAACTTTTAAGAACATAAACACACGTTTAAGATTCATGCAATATAATTTTGTAATGCGTTTCAGTTTTTTTTAACAAATGAACTACTCCTTTAATATTTTAAAGTGTCCATGTAACTGTAGTAATAACTATAAATTAGGCTATGCATAATCACATGCAACTAATCCTACTCCTTTGATTATTATTGGCTACTCAGTAATTAAATGCATAATTACACTGTAAAAAGAACACCTAACAATAAAGTGTAACCAAAACTTATAATGATAGCAGCCTACATGCAACAACAACAAAAAACATCTGAAACAAGTTTAATCAAATGTACAGTATTACATTGTTATTACAGTGTAACTCATTACAGTATGTGCTAGAATATAAATACACTTGTTGTGATATCTGAAAAGTGATT